AAAATAGCAGGAGAAGTTCAAGGGCTATGACTAGCTCCCGTGCGAGATGACGCCGAATAGAAGGGGGTTTCAATGGTATGTGCTATGCGAACTGGCGGCTGCGAAGATTTTGTTGGGGGTGACGCTGCCGTTCGCGCTGTACTGTTACGTTCGGTAGTTATTCCGAGATGATAGTATCGTGACAATGCTGTATGTCTATGTATGAGACGTCACAAAAGGGACAAAGATAGGGAAAGAAGAAATAAAAATCTTTCTCTGAAACCAATGATTCTCAACCTCTCAGGGAACGTGATTTGGTATCAATCGAATCTTTACGCCCACCTCGGCCGACTCGACTCCTGTTTAAGTATTCACTTCTAGCTGCCTGAGCATTAGGAAAGGGAAATGTTAATGCCCGACATGTCGACACCCTTAGAGATTTCTTGCTATCGAAAAGAAAAAAAAAGCCGTTATATCGCGCCATTTTCTTGGATCGTTCACGACAGGAGTACAGGGGTATCCAATCAACGACAAAGGGTCCATCAATCGGCATGTGGTTCAGCTTGCTTCGAGCTCCTCGCATATCCCTTTTCAGTTGCAAGCAGGCTGGCCATAGTACATATCCTAAAATACTTACATCCTTACATACAACAATCATCCGAAAGGTTTTCATCTACAATTCCCGGAAGATGTACAGAAATCTGGGCCTTCTTCATCCTTGATCAAGCTCAAATACCGGAATGCAAACCAGGTTCTATGTTTTAATACCCGTCCGTCAACGGACTGCTTTTGCAAAACGCACCCAGATTTGTTCAAATTTCCGAATTTAGCTCAACTAACAGGCATAGTCCCGAATGCGACATGCATCGGTACCGGCTGAGCTTGACGTCAACGGCTTTGTCAAGCCTGCTACCCACTTCTTCTTGCTTACCACAGCGTGCCTATGTTATTCTAACAGCAGAATCGTGTGGTCAGAGATCTGGTTGGATGTCAAGTTATAATACTATATATATGCCAGCGTGGCCAACGCTCAGGCCATCTAGTATAATATGTCCAAACTCAAAACACCGCCCACGAAGGTCGCGAGCTCAAGATAGTTAACTATTACACATAAGAGCATACCGGGCTCGCAGCAATAATAAACTTCATAATATTATAAGATGGTATATTATAGATAACAAAGTAGGTAAGGCTCCGAGCTCCCACGGAGCTGGGTAGCTGTTTAACCAGGATGTCACGTTCCTCCTTCAACATATCGGAATCGACATGTCAAATCACCAGCTCCACTATCCGTCATAATCGTTCCGAAAATTCCGTTCCTCGCGGAGTGGTTAATCCACCACCCAGCTTAATACTTCGAACCAGCCACCAGAATTTCGAAAAATAAGCCGAAAATGGTTGACCTGTTAGCCTGAGTTTCTATGTTTCAGAAGCTTCGAAGCTGAACTCGAATGGGTCTGGGTCTAGCTCTGGAAAACATTCAAAGAGAAACGCAAAGAGGCGAATAATTTAATATTTCAGGCGCACCGTCGCAGTGACCTAATGTATAAAGCACGCTTGGACGATATATCGTAATAGGAACTATATTACTTGTGTACCTTCGAACCCCCCACCCCTTCGTAGTTACCTGTGTTTGAAGCCTTAAATTCAGAATGGTCGTTAGGCAGGGAATGCGTCCTTGATACGATTGCATATACATGATATAATAACATACCAACATACCACATGGTATATGTTATGGGTGGTATGATATGAGATGAGATGATATGATATTGGCAATACAATACTTCCACACAAATCAACTATCGAATACAGATGGTTAGCCCAGGTAAAACCTGGAAATTGACTTGAATCTTTCCTTCAATTTCCTTCAATTCCATTCCAAACTGCTTAAAATACGTAATATTGGGTATAATAAGTACTCCAAAGAGGTGTGATTCGTATTAGTCTGAGACATAGAAGACAATATGGTAGTAGCTTTGGAATAGAAAATGGAAAGAAACCAATGAAAATGTCAAAAAAAAACAGGACCGAGCAAAGAAACCTTTTCCATTCATCATGAAAAACAAAGCACAAATAATTGTACAATCGCCGACCTGCCTATGATAAAGTAGAAATATTAAGTGAGTATAATATGGGGTTTAGGGGAGCAGTGGGGCAGGGGGGACGGGAACTCCGCTTAGACAAAGGAAATTTAATGCACGCCTTGATGTAATTATGGGGAATAATGATAAAATATGGAAAAAGTAGGCCCTTAGTGTCCACTCTCGATACAGTATTAAGTAGAAATCAAAGCAGGAAAGAACGTTAGCTATGCGAGGGAAAAGCGCTTGCTCAAGTTATCCTGTCAAACCTTTGACTTCTTCTTCTGCTTTCTTAGAATTAAGCCCTACGCTGATGTTGATACTGCGCAACTAATTGCATTAATTGCTCAGGGTTGCCAACGGACTCGGGGTTCTTATCAACAATATCCCTTAGCATTGCTTGATCTGCGGGACCAAGGTGTAACAACTTCATTAGTTGTTCTACCACGTTGGGGTTTTGCTGGGGCGCTCCATTGCTAACGGAGCTTCCAGCAACCGGAAGGGTAATGGGTGATCCATGTTGAAGACCTGGAGGACTATATTGAAGGTTTGTGACTTGCGTAGATATTCCGGTAGCCAGAGGTGGTGACGCCTGATACCCAACGGGGGTGGGTGACTGCTGATATGCAGAGTAGATATTATTCAACTGCGTGGGTGGTTGCCAACCCTGTTGCCCGGCTCCTGGAGCAACAGTCACTGGAGTGTGAAGGGCTCTTGATGGAGGAGCTGGGGTATATGCTGCAGTGGCAGTAGTAGGAGTGTGGTTGTCCTGGAATGGTTCTAATGTCCTATTAAATACGATGCAGAGCAACAGGTTATCCTTCTCACGCGGGTGAGCTGGGAACTGCGTATTAAGCATATACTTTGGCATCGACTCATCCTTCCCGACAGCAACTACATAAACATCCTTCGTGGGTGACCATGTTATGTTTCCGACGACGCCCGATCGCTGACGTTCTTTGAAATGCGAAAAAAGTTTGGTAAAACCGGTTTCCGCGTCACTAGAGGAAGATCTAGAAGCCGAGGCGTGAATAGTAAAAACCACGACATCGCTAGATCGTGAGCTGTACTTCAATTGTTGCAGATACTCGTTGGCGCGGTCGACCGAAATACGTCCAGTTATTTCAATCGAATTACCGATGACTGTAGCCCATGGGACCTTTGTTGACAAGTCTGGGCCAGCGACATGAGTTGCCTGGGCCTCCAAATCCGCAACGCCTCTCATCAAGACCTTGCCTTTCCAAACAACGCCTTCTTCGGATTCATCCATGTAGTCCTTAGGGGAGTAAGGGGGGGTTTCTGACCCAGCGCCAGGGCTATCATCGTTCCTGAGGAGCATATCTATGTCACGATCAAGCTGTGCGTTGTTGCCATTGGCTGGATGAGCGGTAAGAGGGGTAATTGGAGGTCGCGGGATACTCTGCCGATGCCCTGCATCTGTTGATTCGACATTTGACCATACATTTTGAATATCAAAGCTGCTTGTCCTACGATGGTGGGCCGATCCGCTTGCTTGTTTAGAAGTATCTATCTTTAAAGCCTTGGATGGAGTATCGGCAGGCTCCTGAAGAGCGGTAGGTGAAGGGGACCTTGGTCGGTCAGTCATCTCATGATCCTCAGCGCCCGGACTAGGTGGTGCTGAATGTTCGTCGTCCGATTTCTCTGCTGGGGGCTCGTATCTCGACCCAATGAACCCTGAGCTATTTTCTGCAATCATACCAGTATCTTCACCAACAACTTCTTCCCCCTTGTGGGTTCTGCGAATACGAGGACCAGTGGCCTCAGCCGTCATGATACTTTGTTTCTCGCTCTCCTTCTCCGCTTCTTGTACAATATGCTTCATATCTTCAGTAGCCATCTCGTCGCCTGTCATATCACTAAATTCTTTGGTTCCAAGCTTCCCTGTGAGAACATTATTCAACAAGGGCTCGTTCTTCTTGAGGTTGAATAGGATCGAACGGAATTTTTGTCGGTATTCATCGTTGGGCTCCCCTGCTGTCTGGGCAGAGAGAAGAATGTAAGTGTGGTGTTCGATTTCTAAGGCCAGTCGAGCAGCAAACTCCGATTTTGAGGTCTCGCCTTCGGGAAGTTTTTCGACTGGTCTGAGGGCACCCTCCAAGAACTTCTTGAGGGTCTCAGCGCCTTTTCGGCGAGTTTCGCTTTTGAGGTCGTCGATTTCGACAACTTGTTCCAATTGGTTGTCAGCCATCTTTGGCTTCTTTGGTGGTGGCTTTGAGGTAGTTGTAGAGGAACGGCGGCCAGATCGCGTTTTCGAGCTCTTGGTTTGGGTGGGAGATTGAGGAATTGATCCACGACGGGCTGGGGATGACGCCTACACATTATTATGAGCATTATGGAGATAGAGTACAGCAAGGATTATTCTAGTCGCCTACCTTTCCATCGGGGGTCCCTTCTTCAACGCTTTCGTCTGCCTTTCGCTTCAACGTGGTGGGTGAAGCGACTGATGAAAGCCGTCTACCAGATTCTGTAGGAGCAGGTGTAGATTCCGGAGGTACAGACTTTTCGGGGGACTCGTTTTCCGTGACTTCTTCCATTGCGACGTCTCCTTGCTGTTCTTCCTCCTTATCTTTGTTGGAAGCATCCAGTACCTCTTCTAGGTTGTTAACAACGGTATCTTGAGTGGGTTCTTCAGTGTCCTTTTCGGCTTCGGTAGTCATGGTAGGAGCCGGACTATCCATCTTCATATCTTCATCCTTTTCATCGTCTTGAATTTCCTCTGGGGCTGGTGTCTCAGGAGCCTCGGATCCCTTCTTCTTTTTGCTACCGCCAACGCTCTTCCTTGTGCCCTTCCTGTTTCGCCGTTCCCAGGGCTTCTCACCTCTAGCCATTTTTTCTAAAAGGTCTTTATGGAGTTCCGGTTTGCACTGTTCACAATAATAGTGGTCTGGTGTTTTTTTTGTTGGAATCTGCATGCAGCTTGAGTGCTGCCAGACTTCACACTGATCACAAGATATCATTTGTCTTCCACCTTCATCTGTGTCTGCACCGCAGACGCACCTGATGACTTCACCATCTTCTTCATTACCCCCAGGTGTATCGGCATCGGCATCGGCATCGGCATTGGCATCAGCATCGGCGTCGGCGTCGGCGTCGGCGTCGGCAGCAGGTGACGTGGCATCTGTCTTGTCATTTTTGGATTTTGATGAGCGAGTAGTCTTCTTTTCGTTCTTTTTAGGGGCCGGAGTACTGGGGGCTGTGACGGGTTTCTTTGCTGGTATTTCTTCGTTTAATTCAGCATTTCGAGTATGCTGGCCCTTAGTACTTCGGCCACTGCGGCGGGGTTCCGGGGTTCCACTCTCGTCGCCTAGAGGAAGAGGGGGGAAATGAGGTTGTATGTTAGCAAGATTCCATATCACCAACGTGGGAAGATGCGTAGATATAACATGACGTAACGTAGGAGAGGCCTATATGAAATGAAGGTGATGCAGGTAAAGCCCTGTCTTGTGTACAACCACACGTTGACTAGCCCTGGGAAGGCCACCAACGTCCTCTTATATATATCATATGGACGAATGGATGAGGGGAGTGTCCCAGACGTTCTGCCGAAAAACAGGCATAAAGACCACATCATCTCCTTCATAAGGGGGCGGGTATTCCATGATAGTAGCAGTAGTAGTATAGGTTTTCAAAAAATGGGCGTGATAGAGATGTTGTTGATTTCAATATCAAAGGGAAAAACTTCACTATGCTTACCAGGCATGATGGATGAATGATGAGTTTGATGTTTTGGTCTCAAGCAAGTATGGTAATACAACGTTTCTCTTCTTTACTCGACAGTGTGCGCGCGTGGGGTTTTCTTCTTCTTCCTTCTTTCCTCCTTGCTGCCGGAGAGGCAGAAGAAGAGGTAAAAGTGCAAAAAAAAGCTTCAGAACAGTGCTGAACAGGAACGCTGAAAACAGACAGGCAGTAGCAGCATCAAGGAGAGTTGCTTGTATCCTCCCGGACAAGTGCCACACTTTCCCAAGGCCTTGCCGTGATGAAAAAGAGAGAGAATGAGAGAGCAATGCCGGCCGGGGAACTCGGGTCGCAGCCGAGGTCGCCTGTCGTCCGAGAATTAGGAGACCCGATGAAATATGACCCGGCGAGGGTACCTAGGGACCTGGGAGCAGGTTGTCTGCAGGCGCTTAGGAGAGAATAGCGCGTCCTAGTATAACGCGATGTAGGCGGCGGGGAGGTGGTCTGTTAGACCTGATCGCGCGACCAGGTTTGCAAGAAAGCAGTTAGTAGAATGGTGGTGCCTCTGAAGAGGCTGGCTGCTGGATACTGCTGGGTAACAGTAAACTAAAGCTTAGAATGGTCAGGAACCAGTGCCGGAGAGCTGGTTAAGGCTGGTTAGTTGATGATATCCGCAGCTGGTGACGACTACGATGGTGATGGTGATGGTGATGGTGATGGTGATGGTGGGAGGTTAGAAGCTGGGGAGCGTTGTTGGTGTGGGTTGGTTTAATATGCCGCCCAAAATTTGCCCGTCAAATCAGTCAAATCAGTCCCGTTCCGTTCAATCGCAAAAAAACGCTGTGATGAGCGCCAAGCCGTTTGGTCCCGCCATTGTTAGTGAGGATATCTACGCCGGCTCTGAGTATATTCCATCACTTCCTAACTCCTTAGCCTAAGCCAATGATGTCAGAGTATGGAGTATATACACTACTAGTTAATCCCTACTCGCTGGGTCCTTCTTGAATTACCTTACAGTATATGCCAATATATTAGAGTAGTATAGTCCCAGCAAATGATAGCTATTAAATAGATGCTTAAGTAACCACCTTTGTATTAGTATTTTTTTTTAATAATATTCAATTACTTGTTATAGTTATATGTGGCTGTGCTGAGGTCATCACCAGCCACACCATGGAACTTCAATGTGTGGCGGATAATCGCCTTGAGCCTCACATTCCATAGCACAGACAACTACGATTGGCCAAACCTTCATACTTCACCATCATCATCACCGCCACCATCATCAACCTTCATCGCCACCATCAACTCCTCTCTCCTCCCATTCCCATATCGCTCTTACAATGTCCACGACTGACGCTCGAAAACTTCTCGCTGCCTCCCGAAAATCTCGTCGGATAACCTCTCCATACGCATCCTACTCCCTTGCCGGCGCCCTCTTCTGCAATATCTGCTCCAATACTCCCATAAAATCCGAATCTCTTTGGGATGCTCACATCGCCTCTTCACAACATAAATCCAATGTTGCAATAAGAGGTGGTACCGTATCCACTGGGAAAACAAATAGCCATAAACGACCTGCCGAAAGTCCAGCAATAGATAATGATTCAAGGAATAGGAGGAGTGGTGATGATGGACAAACTGCTTCGAAACGACTGAAGACTGCAAAGGCCGATGTAAAAAATCTAGCGTTGCCAGTTGGCTTCTTCGATGAGGATGAAGATGAAGATGAGGAAGGTATCATCAGTACGGGGGAAGTAATCGAGCCGGACGATGAAAACTCTCCTCCGCCTCCTCCACCAGTACAAAATACAAATCAGCAACAACCAACAACCGCCTTACCATCTTCCTCAACGAAGCTCCCAGCAGACTTCTTCTCTACAACCTCTACATCGAAAACCAAAGGAACAGAAGGAAGTCTCGACGATGAATGGGCAGCTTTTCAAGCCGACATTGCAGAAGCTGAAGAGGAAATTGCGCTGCCAAACGTCACTGCCACTGCAAACCACACAATCTCAGCACCAGCCCTCACAACAGCTCAACTCCAACAAGAAGATGAAGAGTCTGCATCCTCGCTAGACGCCCGTAATGCCCGTACAATAGCTGAAGAAGAAATGGAAGACGCTCGCGCTGCGTTGGCAGACTTCTTTGACGAGCAAAGTTCCCTTGAAGAACGCGTAGCGAGGTTAAAAGAACGAAGAGAAATGCTACGACAAGTTAGCACTACAGCCCCTACCGGCATGCCACCGCCTCCCACACAGGGTCTCCATCGCTCTAACAGCGTAAGAAGCGTAACCATGGGAGGAATGGACGACTATTCAAATCCAGTTCCTGAGCTTCAAAGCGAAGGATCAGATGACGATTACGAAGATGATGATGAAATGTTTTTGAGGCGCCGGTAGCAATTACATACACTGGCAAGTTGAATACGTTCACCCTTGTCAGACGTTTTTGGTTTCTAGCTTAGATCAATATATTATTGGCGGCTTGTACGATATACCGATATACCCAGTTTAGTAGCAGCGATATTCTTATAATCAATAATAGTCGTTTTTGTGTGTTCACACCTCGGTGAGGGCCATTATGTATATTAGACAAGTTCATTGTCTAACTTAAAGACGAAACTTAGTGCCACACGTTCTTTATATAAAGAGAACAATAAACCCCCTTAGGTAAAGAAATAAGGAAGATGCTAAAATATACATAGAAACAACTAGATCAGGCAAGTGCAATCCCATAACTACAAAATCTACTCGGTCTTGCCTTTCTTCAGCCTCCCAAGTAACCCTCTAATCTTCCCCTTCAGATCCACTCGCTGCACCTCATCAACAGCCACAAACCTTCTTACCAACAGATTAAATATACTTCCAAAAGCCAACGCCATAATCGTGCTCGTAAAAATAATCACATTGTACGGCATACTGAAGTCCGGCGTCGGTAACGAAAGCAACAAACTAGTTGTCCTGATCGACGTAGCAGGGATTATTTTCCCGTCCGAACCTTGTCGATGAGGCGGGATCGTTATGATAGCAGAACTAGATAACCTAATCAGTAACCCACGCCTTGTAGAAGTCACGATGGAGAAAAAACCTACGCAACATCAAACCCTCGATTTGCATCCGGTGGATACTCTGTGTATCTCAACACCGCCTTCTCAAAATCATACGTCAAAATAACCACTGAGTTCGGCGGGACAACCAGCTTCGCCTCCAGTTGCGTGCCCCGCTTCCTATCTAACGCCGGTCGATAATACAATTCCGAAATCACATCTGCCTCCCCATCAAATGCTGGCAGAACCTGGGCCTTGAAGGTATGAAGATAAGGCTTCATGAACCAAGGTAATGACTCCAAATACACAACCTCAACAGGATCATTAGGGTTTGGATTCCTGAGAACCGTCTTAACGCCACCATGTTCCTGCCCGTGCCCTGTAAACGACCGTTCAGCGTATAATAGCGGTTCCTGTCGTAGAGGCGAAATTGGCGGCTGCTGCTTCGGAAATGAGAGATCGAAGGGTAAATTCTCTCGGAGCACATAACATTTTAGATCCGGCTGGCCCTCAGTTGGCGCCGGAGCAGCTAGTTCAAGCGTTTCCATGGTCTTGAGTTTATTCTCCGGTGCGTGAATGCAAACATGCTGAGTCTCTTCGGTCGGAATTTTAATAGCAAATGGGCATCCTCCGGAAATAGTACGTCCAAACAAATCTGATAGTGACCAAGGAAGATCAATACTATTATCCATAGGATAACAGTACTCATTGGAAGCATACGGCTTCGAAGTGTCGCAAATCAATTCATGTTGATCCCGTGGGCGTGGTACTGGACTATCCTTCCTTTGCAAACTTCTCGAAATATCGAGTACCATATCAATCGTCTGTTGAATTTCAATATCGCAGGTACCGGTATGGGGAGAACAAATAGGTCGTACATCGATAGACATAGACTGAAAAGAAGCATCGAAGAGTTTGTGGCCGTCAAGAAGTGTGGAAATCCCAGATTTGCCTTTACACGGTAATAGCTTCAAAAATGGCGTCAAATTCTCAGTACACACTGGTTCCTTTGGTAGACTGCCGTGGAGCAAGAATAACCGCGATGTGTTAGTCGTAGGATAGTCGCCTGTAGGATTAAACGACATAACTGGTCGGATGGTCCTTGTCGAGTCAATGAAGTTGAGGGAAGCGCAAAAGAGTCCAGAGAGTGCATTGTTCAAGGATGTCCACCTTGCCTCAGCTCTATGTCCATACTATTAGCATCGTCCCTGTCATCATTGAATACTATTCAAAACGAAAATGGCATACTCAACATCGTTATCAGCCTCAACCCACGCCCAAGTCTCCACACCTGTCCCACCAGCGTTCTGTCCATCTCCAGGCTGCGCACCCCATAGTTCTGAATCCCATCTCCCAAGTGCAAATCGTAAATGCAACTCTCTAGTATGAGTATATTGTAGTATTTGTCCTAGACTTCTCGGAAACAACTGGAACATCTGTTTGTTGAACGCTTCAATCGGGCCATGGCTTTGGAAGTTGAATGAAGCGAGAAGGAACTGGCCAGACAGGGGTTGGAGATCGAGCTTCTCTTTGTACGTGTCTGCGACGACAACATTACCAGATAAAGTGAGAATGATGAGAAGAGTAAGGAGACGTGAGAAGATTTTTAAGGATGGAGATATCAGCCATTGATGGCTGCGGGCGAAAAGTAGTGTCATGCCGGTTTATCATCGCCAGGTGTGTCGCTGGCAGCATTAGGAAGCAAGTGGGCTGGTGGCCTTCAAATGGACACGGGAAGACGTGCCAGAAAACAACACAAAAAATGCCACAATTTGTTTAGAGAAATCCTGGTCTTAGCAAGTGAAGCTGGTGATGGGCTCATAAATTTACAATTTTATTCCATAATCTTGCACTGACCAATATACCTAATACCTACTTACTTACCTAAGTAAGTATATTGCCAAGACGCAGACTCGAGAATTCGACTCCTCTCTCTCTCTCTTGGCCTACAATTACGAAAAGAAGAGCTACCTAAGTAAGTAGTCATAGCATCATAAATTAAAACCATTATATATATAACGCCGATGTGATCATTCATAAACTAAGTATAAATCATAAAAATCCGATATTAACGCCATATGTATCCTTACCATCATAACTGCATATCTAGGTACCTCCAGCTCCATTCTCTTTAATCCCATTGTATAGCATGTATATATGCTGTAACATCGCACCTATACTAGTATGCAAAAACATACACATCTACTCTTATAGAAACTTAAACAATCTCCGTCTCTCTTCGTTTGCAGCAGAAGCATGCGCAGCATGCGCAGCCTCGACACCCTCTCGAACACTCTTTCCCCAAGCTTCCTTCTTCTCATTCGGATCATTAAACGCCGCAACCGCAAGAACATAGTATATCATGAGTAGGAAGATACCCTTCAACCAATGGGTCTTACCATCTCGCATGAAATTCCCAACTACGAGAATAGCGAAGAGTAACGATAAAGCTACAAAGAGCTGGAAATTTAGATCCATATCCAGATTCATAGCCCACCCGACCATGACGATAAGCGGGGTGACCAAGAGGGCAGTTTGGATTGTGGAGCCAAGGCAGTGGTATATTGCTAGGTCAATTTGGTCTGCATCACGGTCAGTATCATATCATTTTGGATTTGTTCTCGATGGTAAGGAAACTTACTATCCCAGGCTTGATTCAATGCAGTCAGGTGTTCAGATGTTTTTTCGATAAGAGGCACAAGGATAAGACCCATGAATAACTCTGAAACCTCTTTTTCCTCTACGATTCCAGGGATCTCTCGAACCAAAAAATAGGCGCAGAAGGAAACGCACACCAACCCAATAGTACTAATGAAGATGGCTTCCAAAACGGAGAGCTTCTTACGGTATTGCTTTCTACCGATGTAAACGCTCTCGGCTCGCTCAAGAACACGGTGGAAACTGGAGCTATGGGTATGTAGCTGGAAGAACAGGAAGCTGATGATTGTTAGCCTATTCCCTCACATTCAGGCACCGATATCAATACGTATTGCTTACCAAAGATATGAGAAAAAAAGCCCAATGCTAACTACCCTACTGACTCTCAAAACCCTCATTTCCGCCCGATGTTCGTTCACATCTTTTCGGTAGTGGATGGTCTGAAAGAACAGGCTCGGTGCCACGGTTCCAACAGCGCTAACAAGTAGAGCTGCACTCGAGACCTCGATGACATAGGGTGCAATTTTTTGTTCTTTCCACTATATAATCCGTTAATTATAATCTCCAAGCCCTAATACAGCTCTAATTAACTTACCGCGATACCACCAGCCAGAAAACAAGCCCCAGAAATCAACAGTAGGTTTGCGAACATAGATCCAAGCAGAGCGGCGCGAACGACGTCGAATTGTTTATCGACGAGAAGAATGAGACATATGATGATTTCGACGATAGCACCGGTGAAGATTTCAAGAGACGCTCCCCAGATCTATTTGAGTCAGCATCATACTAACGAAATAATGTTTGGAAGGTTAATGATAATATCGGTATCATACCTTCGGTAATCGATGTTGTAACTCTCCACTCCCAAAAGCCAATAGATTCCCGCTAGGGATCATAGCAATAAAATTAAAAATAAAAACCAACATAGGACTCTTGTCCCGACTGGTATACCACATGACAATACCCGCTGGAATAGCAGGCAGCAAAATGTGAGTGTATGAGCTCAATCTCGATGTACTCTTTGCCGTGATCGTCAACATCTTAATAGGATGGAAGCGAAAGGGATTTGGAATTCCTTCTGCAATCCTTTCGGCATGGTTGTCATCCGCTGTTTTCGTAGCTACTCTCCAGAATCCGACTGTTTCTTCACCGTCTCGAGGGAATTCCCCTCCTGTTGGAGAAACATCGCCATCATCTCGAGACCCGGGTCTCCAAACCTTCTCTGGCTCTGTGACATCCACGTTGATGCCTCTACCCTTTGACATACTTCACTAATATAACCACCCCTCGAGAAAGAAAAAAGAGTCTAGATGACTATATATAGGTAAAAAGTTCAAGTGAAAGTTTTTTTGATTTATCTAGATAAACGAACGTAAAAGAAAGAAGCGATGGCTGTAGATCCAAATATCTAAGAGACTTGGCACAGCGGATGGGCACTGGTCTTATAAATCTATTACCGCCAGTCAGGAACGCCTCTCATCGAGAAGAAAAAGGAACGCTCCTTCAAGCCTTTTTCAGATACCACAGGAGGGGCTCTTTTGTCGCATTAGTGGGAAGTAAGGGATCAAAAGAAAGTGGTGTTTTGCTTTTAGACGGTTTTATGGCGGGACCTTGGCAATGGGGGAAGTTTGAATCGAGGATCCCATAGACAAGACCAGTGCTTTCGAATCGATTGCTCCAAACTGGGAATCCATGGATCCAACGGGGCTCAATACCCCCAAATTCATGCATATGCGATCATGCAGCATTCGTGAGAAATGTGCTAACGCAAAAGTAGTGTCACACTAATAAGCAAATTCTTTCCGGTGTAAAAAACAAAAATAAAAGAAGAAAAAACTACGAAGTCCATGTTAAGAAGGGGGAGGGAGAAGAGGCTCTGAAAATTATCACGAAGATCGCCTAACTTCCCGTAGAGCCAAGATGATCCATCAAACACCAAGCAAAAGCTTGTTTTCCTTGGAGCGGGCAGTGCAGTCACAGGAATTTAGAAATCGACTTCGAAGCTGGGTTTGAAACTTGCCTGATGAAACCGGGTGGGGGCTTTGTTTGTGGCAATTGTGCAGTGGTCCGGAACGTTGACCAAGCCAGTCTGCTACCGGATAACTGGCATGTAACAAAAAGCCATAGATATCATTCATAGATTTGCAATATTTGATCCCCGATGTGAAGGTAGGAGAACTGAAATCCAGACCATGCGGCGAACCGACATCACGCCAAGATTACGTGTCCTTCGTTTCGAGAAATGGCAAAAATTGGCAGCATGTTTCACGCATAAGGACAGGGCATCCGAGATCCGAGAAAAAATTCCCATGATCATATTACCCTGTCAAGGATTTGCTCGGGAACGAGCCCAAAGATAGGGAGAAGGGTACAGGATACTGCTACGCCTTCCTTGTAGATTGATAGTTGGAATTAAGATATAAAAAGAAAACAGTATGCGGTAATGCACACCTGGGAGAAAGCCGCCATCCATGATTGGGCAATGGGGATTACGCAACGCACGAAATGCGACAGGTATGTTACTATCAACTTACCTCCTTACAATACCCCTCATATCTTACCAAAACATTCCTTTGGGAGGCGATTTACCACAGTTTGATTACGAGACTGGCGATCTAAGGCTATGTTGTATTGGTGAGATTCGTCAACGCAATTACAACTCGTAAAGCGCATTGCTTGATCTGCGAGAAGGTAATCCATCCCAATACCGGTCAGCGATTCAGTCAAATATGACGCCACCGAATTCATGGGCTACCTAGCATTAGTATGGTTCCCTCCATGACAGCCTGAGTAATTTGTTTGGCGTGCTGTACTATACTTACAAGCCCGGACTATTAATATATGGTGCTAGTGAAATGCTAATAGTCTGGGATCGCTATATGGTTTTGAGGCCTCTGACAGCTTCAATTCCAGGAAAGCTAGTAGTACAACAATTCTATCTATATAGTAGTCGTTCCGCAGTAGCAATTAATTCTGGTTTATGAGATAAAAGTCGTTCTCCAAAAAGCGCGGCGATCAGCAAAAAGGGATTCAGCAGAGCCTATGCGCCGCACCTAGTACTCTAGCTTCCTTGATTATTATTACTCCAATCATTATAGAAGCTACTGCATGCTGGGACTATTCTGCATGTCCGCCTTATCGTTCGATATATATCATACATACTATGTACATAGTAGTTAATACAATATGGCTTTAAATTCTAAGGGGCTTGGTGGTCCAGGGCCGCGGTTCCTCCTTCAGGGTGCCTCGAGGGACCATAGTACTACCATTCATAGAGAATACAAAGCCGAAGTCCACGAGGGAAAAGTATTCTAGAGCTACCGCTGGGGTAAAATGGATATCGGATTCCTCGCCTTAGTACGCTATTTTCATTCGAATCTTCTCGCAGCCATGTGCGCGGGATTCTTGTTAACCGTTTGATATTCTTGCTGGGGTTTGAGCGAAAATCTGATCGCAATTATTGCAGAGGCACGATAATATGTATTTCTGAAATCAGAATTAGAACCTAATGCTTCTATTATTTGCGAATAGCAGCTGGTCTCTTCGTCAAATGGGAAATTATCTTCGTAATTCATAGACTAGAAATCGATATCTTTATTCTGCCAACTGCAACACATTCCTCTGTGGTATTTTTATGGGGCATGAGAGCGCCCAGAGTAGAGATCCAACCTAGCATCATACCCTGTATAGCGTAAACCTAGTAGATTCTTTGATAATCCCTGATCATACACCCGTTGGAGATTTATCTTCCTTGGATAGCCTGGACTCGGTAAATTAGATCTATCACACCGTGTGCCCGTGGATCTTCTTGACCCCGGTATACCATGCAAACTAGCATCGAATCATTCAGCCTAGCTACACAGGCCGGTATATATGCATATCTATAGATGGCTAGTATCTACCCAAGCCTTCGAATCAAGCATGTATTTGATCACTATAAGTCGTAAACTTAAACTTAAACTTCGCATTCAAGCCTCTTCTCTTCATTTACGCATACCCGATGTATCTAGGCTGTATGGTTCTAATTCGAATATTCGATTAGAACCTCGTACCGAGAGAACCTTAATACGCCCTGCCGATCCAGTGCAGAGCACAGTCTGCAAACAGCAATTAATACAACAGTAAATCCCACCTCACCCTTCACACGCAATAGGTTCCGGGTGTGGCCAAAGCTCTGAACTATAAACGAAAGAATTTTCGCCCTCCCACCTTCCCATACCCATAAAAGGCCCCACTTACCCTCAGAGGGCTTTCTTATCTCCCCAAAATAAATTATCTCTTTGCTATTCTCTGTTCGCGCACGTAAAAACGACCTCAATCGTGCTCCACTTATAATCACTTCTAGCCAAGTATCTGCTATTACACAACCCAACAAAAAAAAGGCTCTTAAGTCAAAACAAGACAGGTAAGTTGCTACTTTTTGGTCAGTAGAGTTTAGACATTTTGTGGTCCCTGACTTGCACCATTTACATTTATACTATAGTCAAAAACCTCGTCATTAGCTTGGATAGTTCATTGATTTCACCACTTCATTTCCAAAAGAAGCTAAAACTCCTCCGTCATGTCGGCAATTCGAAACCTCCTCAATCCTATCTTTGGCGAAAAAAAGGAATCTTCTTCCTCTGGAAAAAAGGGACCTACTTCGAAATGTTCTTGCAAAGCTGGTGGAGTTTGCACCTGTGGCTCGAACTGTACTTGCTCTGCGGATAAAGACTGCGGGTACAAGAATAAGAAGGAGTGCACCTGTGGTGACAGCTGTGATTGCGGAACCGTCAAGGATTGCGGATGTAAAGGAAACTCTGAGGACTGTAAGTGCGGGCCTGGATGCAAGTGTGGTGAAAAGGTCAACTGCGGTTGTCTAAATGAAGAGAAGTGCGAGTGTGGAGACAAGTGCGATTGCGGAAAGGAAGATACCGCTAGTACTACCATTGCAGGCAGCAGCAGTGCAGCAGCAGCTAAGGGGTGTGGTTGTAAATCAGGTGGTGCCTGCAAATGCGGTGCTATTTGCAAATGCAAGGTTTAGGTATACTAGTTAGTGCAATCCAAAAGGTATGTTGACGCCTCTCTTTTCTCGAGATATATATCTAGCTCTAAGCATCAAGATATCACTAACTGAGGCATCTACTACAAACTAGATTGGAACTCGATTGGCGAGTTGCTATAATGAATTTACTCTCGTTCCTAGAAACACGGCACATCTTTCTTCGTCAATACAAAACCAAATGGAGAGACGCACGACATATCGAAACTACACATTCAAATTCACTTCTATTCAATTTTTGTTGGAGTCTTGGGAATTATCGACTGTTTTGTCTCATTGATTAAGGCGTCGCCGGATAGAGGAAGATATATCGAGGCTCCTTCCATTCAACGATTGTGCGATTAATACAGCCCCGCTGGAGACTGGAAAGCCTAGTATCTGGCTTGTACTTCATCAAAGGGTACAGGCTTCTGAAAATAATTCTTAGTAACTGGTGCACCTATGTTAATTATTGCGTCAAATTAATAACGTTCACTAGATACTGGTCTTTGCTCTTCAGTTTGAGGTCACATTTGGATTGGATTTATATAGAATCAGACTCCAGAGGCTTCACCTGAGCGTCATAATAAGATTGCACTGATATATATCTATATTGTAGTAATTATGTCCAATCGAAATTATAGAGAAATATATAAATATATATATATATGTATATATAAACGCCGCGATGAAAATGCTAACCGATTCGCTCCGCCAGATGCGAAGAAAGCAAGCGAGTGAAAGAAATAGACTATGCGAGAAAATAGATATAATAGACTTTAAGCCGCCAGATAATATGCAAATGAAAACACCAGATATTCACCTCCATAATATGCTTATCACAAAAGATAGAATGGTTTTAATCGCACGAGTCAATCTCTAGTCCAAATTACGTCTCTTCACTTTGCTCGCCGCAATTTCAGCTTGCCGTTTTTCGATAATTTGCTTGAACTCCGCAACTTCTTGTTCCTTTACTGGGTACGTATGCTCCTGAGCAGGGTATGTGCCCGCCTTAACCTCATCTAAATGAAAGGCATCAGTGTACATCCACTTTAAAAAAAAGCAAGGCTAAAAATACTGACCTCGATACTCCCCGATAGCCTTCCTACTAACTTCAAACACGTCCGTATATTTCTTGACGAACTTAGGAAGAAATCGTCCGGACGGGAAGTTACCTAGCATATCAATCTGCACCAAAACCTGCCCACTCGTTCCTTCACCGGCCCCAATCCCAATCGTGGGAATATCTAAAGCCTCAGTAACCAGCCTCGCCATATCAGCGGGGACGGCTTCAAGCACCATACCCCACGCACCGGCATCTTGCACAGCTAAAGCGTCACTTAAGAGCTTAGAAGCCGAAGCTGCTGTTTTAGATTGCACCACAAAGCCACCTAGACTACCCTGCCGTTGGGGGGTAAGCCCAATATGCCCCAGGACCGGTATTCCCATCGTGGTTATATTTTTAATTGTTGGAGCGACTTCTTTTCCACCTTCTATCTTGACACTAGTGGCTCGACCGCGCTGAACGAGGGCGATAGCAGATTGGAGAGCCTGCTGGGGCGAGAGCTCATAAGAGCCCATGGGAAGATCGGTAACCAAGAAAGCCGAGCGAACACCACGAGCTACTGCTCGAGAGTGGTGCACCATATCCTGTGTTCTATTTAGCAGCGCATTCCTGGCTATTTTATGAAATTTCCATACTCACGTCTAAGGTTATTTGGTTGGTATCCTATTCGCAAAACTCAGCCCTTAGTCTCTCCAAGTTAAAATTCGTAAGAGAATACTATGAAACTAACCTCCATCCCCAACCCCACCATTGCCAAACTGTCCCCCACGAGTACAACATCAATCCCTGCCTGATCTGCCAATAACCCGCTCGGAAAATCATGTGCAGTAAGCATAGTTATTTTCTCCCCCTTCTCATACATCTTACGTATAGTATTTATGGTAACCTTCTTCCGGGTAGACAAGTCCGAAAACGACATGGGAGCATGCGACGACGCATTATGCGTTGTTGTGTGGAATTCTGAAACCTTCCCAGAAGAGGACGCATGTGGCTGGTGAGCGATGAGGGTGTGGCTAACGGAGGGGATGGAGGGGAAGACATGTGATGGGGCTAGCAGAGCTGCTCTGTGGAAAAGGTGGCGGTTGGTGGGCGGGCATGCTGTGCGACGAAGCGCTGCTGCAAGGGACGCCATTTGTTCAAGTTATAAAAAGATATTCTTGAAAAAGATAAAATAAAAATAAATGATACAAAAGCGTTAAATTGATTGAAAAAAAATCCGGGGTATAATAAGCCAGCAAGCACAGGTATCCAATGGAAAGAAGTAAAGATCAGATAGTCTTTGATAAGGGTCTATAGGAAGATATAAATTAGAAGAAAATTTTTCAACCGAGCTTGGCGGGGTACTCGCATAAGGATTTCTCAGTAGACTTATAAATTCGAGTTCATAAAAGGACTGCATTTGTAAGGTCCGGCGCATCTAAAGTTTATAAACGGGTCGGTCGGCGTTTGTTCGCATTGGTAAGCTTGAGCTGTTGAATCCTGGCCGAGGGAATCAAATGAGTCTTGTTTGCCGCCGCCTGCCCGGGAAAGTTGGGCGCCGAAAGACGAGCTCCAGTTGGGATCAATATGCCTCGGCCCAGTTTAAAAACGGCCTCAACAGGCAACGAAGCGTGTGAGTAGTCCATGTGCTTTGGCGACCGAAACTGGCCGATACACCGAGTCTCAGCAAAGTTTCGCCGCTAGTTTGGCGGACTTGTTGCATTTTGGTGTGGACAACGCAGGATCTCGATGGAATAGACGGCCCGAGGCAGGATCCAATAGACAGTTAGGATATGTTTTCCACTATGTTCTTTGACTATATCTCTTATAGAAGTCAACATATTCATTCAACATTGGGATTCAAAATCCTGTCGGATCAATGGAAGACTAATCAGGCAGTAAGTTGCGTAATTGCCGGACCCCGGACTCCGTAACCGATTCTAGCTCGAGAAATAGATCCAACAGACATCTCAAAGCTTTGGCATGGGTCGTCATTTCAATGAAGTCAATGTAGTAATACAATAGTGCATGAACTTCAAAACGATTTTCATTGGATTCATGGGCGGTCCTGTTAGGAGTTGTAAGGCCACACCAGTTCTCATTCTTCGCGGCCGGAGCGCGCGCACCGATTCCTATGTCAATATTATACGTAATAATTACATTCACTGCTGAACCTTAGGCTCCCATCAATATATTAGGTTCTTTTCTTTCCGCCAGGTATTCCTAACTACCATTATCTAGTCTCATATATAAATATACTAGCCTTCACGGGAGGGTAGTTTGCTGTCATCATCCGTTACGTTCAGGGCTCCTTCTTTCCTCGTCCAAATGGCCGCGGCAGCCTGCCTTTATTGCATTCTCTCCTGAGACAACTAATTTTGATGGATATATACTAATATTATAATTGAATATGGGTGTAGTTCCGAAATGTGATCGTAGCTCTGCAACCATGAGCTCCCGAATTCGATATTTCGAAATCCCCAACTGATATGATATCACATTGGCAATGGCCAGGCAAGGGCAGGGAGGTGGATATAGTGCCAGTAAAAGATGAGCAAGGGGTCTATGGCTCTGCTCTATCCAGCGATAGGACAGTCATCAGTCAGAAGAACAGGAGCATGTTGATACATGAGGTATCACAAATAATCAATGGAAGTATCTGAGAGCCCACATATATGTGCTACATGCATGGCTAACTAGGTTATTGACAAGTTGACTACAGATCCATTGCTGGCTGGATTTTTTCTCTCCTCCATTTCATGGATTTAGCCTTCTCGCAACTTCTCTGGGGGCAAAGTCATATCGAAACACAATATCCCGAGAGCCACCTCGTCGGCCTGACCCACATCACTGCATTATCCTTCATGTCTCTACCTTTTTCCTAAGATCCTAGTCAGAACATACCAACCATCTCTATACTGCGACTTTCGATGATTTCCGATAGTCTTCGTAATCTCGATGTTACATGTGTGTACACCAATGCAGAATAACGAATGTAGCAATCTTGAGCCTATGCGCTGTCTACACATGTTTAGGCAATAATGCATCCTGCAACGACGGCTCAGGGTCTAGGGTACTGGATGACACGCCTCTAAAAATATATTTCAAAACTGTGCTCTCATTAATTGTATTAGTACATTAGCTGTGATTAAATTTGATGGGTATCGTTGCTTGTGTCTCGCTAGTTAGTTGATGTGACTAGCGGATGTGGCATGGCAGCGGATGAGGAGATAATTGCGTGAACTGGCACATCGATATCACATCACATCCCCCCACTTGCGCACATTTGCACCTGCTTTATCGTGATAACAGTACATCTGCAGGTAATTGCAATACGGTCTTGAAATTTAAGAATTCGGGGATGCCTGGATTATGGAACTAGGAATGCCGCATTTGAAATATCACCTCTTCCAGGCCCGTCGCCGTACCTAGCCGAATATCCAGGTGGCTAGCATATCAGTGTTGGCCTGGGCTGAGCTGTTACATACATTTCGTACATACATTTCGATAGTTCAAGGAACTAATTGTATAGTTTCCGCCTCGGGTTAAAAGCTGGAAAATGTATGTATTGGGTTAGCGCTGAAGCTAATAATCTGGGGAATGTGGTATTGATCCCGTCCCACGATGTGGATTAGTTAGGTAAGAACTACAAGGAACAACAATGTCTGAAGGGGAGAGAGCTCGTCTCCGAGTCCCAACTCCTGCGCTCAGGCGTCAGAGGGAGCCTCAACCTGTCCGCCTCGAATAAGCCCAATAGGATTCCATTTCTTGAAGCTTCGAAAGCACTCAATTGGTCAATGGTCAATTGGTGTAGTTGATCAAATGAATTCGTGAATGCAAGAATGAGATTCTGTGTAACCTGGCCTTCTTCGCATAGCGACTTTTCGATCGCCCACACCCCGAGCTCCGGGCGGATCTCGCGGATTTACAAGTTTTACAAGTTTTCAAGCTTTCCGGGTGAAATCACTTATATACCTATATATATAGCTCCGTTGGTTGTTGTTGAGCTGTTTGATCGTGAGTGGCTGTCGACATGGATGCTGTTGTTCACAAAAAAGGGTTCGCGTCCCAGGTACCAAGCTTGCAAGCCAAGGTACCAGGCCTTACCCCTAGTTGACTACTAAACCTGCAAGCTTGGAAGAAACATACCTACTTTACGCGTCGGCATCGACAGCTGCAACTTCTTAAACCGACCTATCAATTGTTTTTTTTTTTCCTTTCCAGACGGCTACTCGCATTTATTTGTTTGATGAGTGCATTTAATTTCAACATATGAAGAGCTATATCCAGAGTCTTACCTACTCTTTTTCACGGCGAGGAGAAAAGCGACACAGCACGAACCCTACCTACATGAATCACACGACATGAGAGTGGAGCGCATGCTAGAAGAGCTTAAAGACCTCTGTGTTTGACAGTTGCATTATCACAGTACATTTATTCAACTCGGTGTTGCAGATAGTGCAGGGTGTCAAGTGATCATGGGTGCATTACATATATCGGCGGATTTGGAGGGGCTGGCGGTCCTTTCGTGTATTAATTCTGGGCAAGATGTGAAGTAGGGACATAGAACAATAAAGGGTCCCGGCATACAAGCGACCGGAGTGGGGTTATTTTATTTATTCTTTTGTTTTGATGTGACGGCATGACGATTGTTCGCAGATGGCAGCGGGAATCTCGGCGTATATTATTTATCTTTTTCATTTTCAAGAAGAATATGCGGGGGAAATCAGGACGTATCGTCATTATTGAAGGAGGGAAATCTACCGCTAAATGCGAATACCAGTTATCAACCGAAACGAACCATCGATCGTACTGTGTTCGGCGGGAGCGGGAGACTGACGTTCTCATTCTCGTCATTGTCATACCTGACATGCTGTGAAAGTACGGGTCAAGAAAACGTGTCCCCCACATGAGCTCTCGCGCTCTGGAGTGCATTTTTTTCCTCCAAATACTAAAGACGATCCAAAGCCCTCCGAACTTGGGGAATGCTGGATAAAAGAAATAAAAAAAAGGTAATGGTGGTGGGAAGACTCTTGGTACTGTTATCGAGAATGGCAAGAGTCTGCCGACAAACAGCAGATGTCGACATCCTGCATGCATTTGGACTCCCAGACAAACTTTGGGCCAATCGAGACTTATCGGCCAATGAGCGAAAGGGTTGAGGCAGATGTATCTATACACCCAACGTATAAAATTATAATATCACGATGTATTATAGGCAACTGCCATGTCTGCTTCGCTAATTTTGGTGGCGAGATGCTGGTGGCATGTTCAAAGAGCTGAATTATGAAGATCAAGGCAGCGAATGTGAATAAAGCCGTATACATTCGTATATATTGAAAATCCACTAATGCCTTAGAATATTAGTCCGGTTCATGCATGATTTGGATTCAGTTCTGATGTACATGCCATAATATTTTGATCAAAAACACCACTTTTCGCGGGTGGCTGCTATGTCAGACTTCCTGAGGGGAAAGGGGAAAGAAGGTGAGGGTCTTCGAACCTCTGAAGAAGGTGGGTAATTTGTCTCGAGGAATTCGAAATTCGATTGGTATAATAACCAATTCCTCGGAGCATGGGGGGTAAAAGCTGGGGCAGCGAAGGGTGGTGGAGCAGCCACGTATGAAAAGGGACTAAGAAGAACGCCGTTGAATTGAGTAACACAATGTACGTACAAACAGCTGGATGTGGCAATTGTAAGCAGGAAAATAATAATTGCCTTGGAACAATGAGCATAACCAGCGATACTCACAATATTCCCCGGTTTTTTTTTTTTTTTCCCTTTCATTCTCGTTACTGCGCTATTTGCTTGTTGAGCACTTGATTTCTTGCTTGCTAGCTGACTTTGTTGTTCACGATGTATGTACTGTAGCCATTATTGTATTATGGATGGTTGTGTGAATTATATGGGAGGTCTGGCTGGGGTGTGCGTGTTGTTTCTATTTTGGCTAGCGGCTTCGTGCCTTTCCCGCTCCCGCTTATTGGAAGCGAGATCTGGAACAAACATTCAACCAGTTGCTCCTTCCACCAGTCTTTCAGGACGATTTGATTGATGGTGATGACGACACAAGCTTGCCTGGACATACAGTGTGGAAGGCATTCACATTCATACGGCTACGGCAGCTTCATTTCTGTGTACCATCTTCCAACATTCCGGTCTCCCGTACCAGCATATTCCCGTCAAGTGGCTTTTCTAGATCTCCAGCGCAGCTCCATTTGGTAAGCCCGGACAAGGTCACACCAAGCCCTTTTTTTTGGCATGGTTGGGATCAGAATACGCTGACGACAGCTATGATAGCTATGTCATCTCAACTCTTAAGGGACGAACGGAGGGGAAAGGAATAAAGAGATAGAGGACTTGTCGTCAGGCCAGAGCATTGCTGTAAGGGAGCTTTGCCCTGCCTTTGCCCTCCTTCCGCTGCCGCCCTTTGAAGCAGGTCATCCTGCGCAGGCTGCAGGTTTGAGCTTGAGACACTCTGTGAACTGTGCAGCTACATCGTATACGACGCCCGTTTTTCTCGAATTCTTGCTCCCGAGAACCATCCTGCTGGCGAAGAAGGAGACATATTTCCGATGCTAGACTTTGAAACATATGAATCCCGTTCTTCGGATATATCGCCTTGGGACATTGGTATGAAACGCAAAGAAGGCGAAATCGATGATCAGTCCCCGGCGCCTTATGAATTGGAATTATGATCGGGGCAGTATGACAAGAGCCAGCTGCCTTCCCTCTCTTCATAGAGACCCCACCCCTGTACTCGAGTTCATGCAAATGCAGATGTAACGGAGCCACTGGGTTCAATTCAAAGAGGAAAAGTCAAACCACTGGCGGCCAATGAGATCAAAGCCGTACCCTTTTGATGTTCACCTGACACTTTTGCCCACTTCCATGAAAGATACGGAAATGGGGTGGAGGAAAAACATGCTGATTACCCAGCTAAATTACCAAGTTCACAGGCAAGTCTAAGCTTAGGCTCGCCTCACTTTTCAAATGATCCCCTTTCTAACCCTTTGAATTTTTTATTCTTTCTTCTTCTAGATTTAGCTTTTCTTGATGCCAGGCTACCAAGCTATTCAGGGCAAGCACGCTTCAACAATTAGAAGGCCGCCACGTCGACGAGCAAGTCGGGTCGGGCCTATAGGGATTCGATCAGCGAATCACGCATTGAGACAGCATCTGGTCCCTGGAAGATGCGTTGCATCTCTCCTTCTTGAGAACCTGATATCTCGAAGATATCGAATCATGATCATGAATATCATTCAATTGAAAGAGTATCGGTCGAATCGTTTTCTGAGGCATTAAACTAAAAAAAAAAAAAAAAAAAAAAAGAGAGAGAGAGGAAGAGAGCCGATGATTTCCCTAGCTCGTGGATTATCCGAGTTGACCTCATAGGTTTAGGGTGGTGCAGGTCGAAACATCAGATACCGATAGGTCTCAATTCAATTGAGCCAAAAGTACGTGCAGCAAAAAAGGGACAATGCTTCATCTTCCTGGGCCTTCCATTGTTAGAAGAAATGACAGCTGTGAGATGCTGTAGTGGCAACGAACCATTGGATCGTAAATTCAACTCTGGTGTAATCGCCCCGGGGTATGGGCTGGGCTGTCAACTCTGCGCAAGCCGAGCATAGGGAAGGGCAAGCCCCAGGAGCTTAACCATGAATATCCGGCGTTTCCCTGTGAATGCTCTGTCGCGTTACGTACCCCGTGAAAGAATCCAGAGACGTGAATTGGGCGAGGCTTTGAGATCGGAGCTGGCGATCAAGGTACATTACATCCGGGCGAGGCACCAATCGCAGTGCCCTGGTCAGTCCACTTTGAGGAGAGATACATGCGATAGTAGCGACTTCTTTTGGTGGTGACAGACGGGTGCAAGCTTGGAGGAGAGAGAAGAGTGTGGGTTTGCTCCCCCACAAATACCAAGCTGGACCATTCCTGGCTTGGTCACCCTTGGTGCGCTCCTCAAAAAGCCAACCTCACTTTGCCGAAATTGGGTGGTTGATACATGTCGACAGCACAACGACCGCCATTCAGCTAGCCAACATCCTTTGCTTCTCCCAAGAGACGGGCATAATCCAAGTGACCGTCACTAGTGCTTCCTCGCAATAAACAGGGCGTCAGACGGGTGAGCGAGTGAGGAAGTACTTACCACCACTTCTCCACAGCACACACTTTATGCAGCACTATGTGTACAATATGTGCAGGTCGAGCTACTGACTACTGACAGGTAGGACCATTCAGCTCGAGTTTCTTCCTCTTCACCTTCTTCCCTTTCCTCTCTCCCTCCCCATCTTCCCTGCACTTTTTTTTTTGCGCAGCATAGGAGGGTATACATACAGACACGCATAGCAGTGTACATTACTAACTGTACCTACACAATCCCTCACACCCACACTCACACACACACTGACCACCTGCACCCACACCATTTCCCTTATTCTTTCCTCTCACCTCTTTTTCCTCTTCTTCTTTTTCCCTTTCCTTCCTCCTCGCTCGCTCTTCTAACAGCTGGCGTTGTCTTGGATTATACATAACATTAACATCCTCTATCAAAGAAGAGTTTTTCTAACGTTTCGGATTTTGGCAGCCTCGTCTCAAAAGATATTGAAAAAAAGCTTCAAGAGAGGAGAATAAGAAATACCTTGCTCGCTTAGTCCGCCTTACAGAGACCGCAGTTTTCTCGAAGAACGACGGGACGACGATTACCCTCTTTTTCCGATCGAATATTTGTTGGCAAAGGCCTATTCGAAGAAAAGTGCGGAGAAGTTACAGCACTATAACCAGGCCTCCTTCCTCTCACTCCTCCTCCTCCTCCTCCTCCTCTCCTTCACATTCCCTCCACTCCACCTCCACCACTTATCCTCGTCATCTACCTCTACATCAACATCAACTACATTTATAATCCCCACCCCGCCAGACTACTTCCCACTCTCTATCCCGGACCTTTCGCCTGTTAGTGTGTGTTTGCCCTGGTCGTCTAGCTTTCCCCATTCAACCTCATAAGACAGAAAGATGTACGGTCAATAGGTTTTGATATTGTAGCATCATACCCATTCCTTTGCACGCTCTTTCTGTGTCCATATACATATTAAATTGCTATATATACATATACCCATACCCCTTCAGCTGTTGTTTCTTTTTTTTTTCAATTTGGAACCCTCATCTTTCTCGCTGGCAGGGAAAAGAATAAAAGTTGCTTGAAGCTTGAATTCAACTTTGACCAGGGACAGAACTGAATCAACAGGGGACCAATCCACTATCGATTAGGGAAACAGCTGCCACCAACAATACCTTCACCGACCTGATATATCACAACTGAAGTTTGAAGAGGGAGACGCAAATTGAATCCGACAAAATGTTGAGTGCCAAAGTTGCAATGGTGGAGGACTTCAACTCCGAGGTCCAAGAAGTTATTCCATCCTCGAGAATCCAAGCTTTCAAGAAGAGACAATCTGGACTTGCTTCAGTGACAAATTACTCCGACGCTGGCACCGTTGACTCCGGGTATTCTTCCACTTCGGCACCAAATGGCCAAGAGGAGCATGAACTTTTCCCTGAGAGTGACAGCCCATCCCGCCACACACCTCAAAGCGACCTCTCCGACTCTAATATTTCTGAGAGAACACCCGTTAATCGTCCGATTGGCCTTGAATCCGAGGGACGTGCGAGGTCTTCGAATGCTCATCGGGCATCTGGTAAATATGCTTTCGTTCCCGGGTTGAGCCGAAACATCGAACGCATTGAGCGACCGCTTAGCAGGTCGACAAGTAAGAGAGACAGTACCGGCAGAGCTTCCCCTGCTATCCGACCGCAGGATGCCGATGAATGTGACTGCCCTCATTGTGCTAAAGCCTCCAGCAGCGCGCAGCCTTCGCCTTCTATGGCCCCTCCCGATGCTGGCCTAGACGGAAGTTGGTCTTTGGACATGTCCAACAGTCTTCCCTCTTATAACCCCAATTCGTTAGACTATTCTTCCGGCCTTCTTTCTGGATCCCCTGGTAGAACTCGTGGCGCAGCTCGTGAGAGCAACGGCTTTTTCGAAACTTTCCCAACAGCTAATTCCAATGCAAGTGGAAATGGCCGACCATCAAGTCTCCTTTCGAACACAAACCCTTTGGGAGGATTGAGCACATCATATGAATATACAGCATCCCCCAGCACCTACACACCACAATCTGCTGTTAACCCGCTGTTGTCTCCACCTCCTTATCTTGGTGTCGATGAATGGGTTCCCCCTACCACGCCTACTTCGTTACGAAACCGAGATCACACAGAAGACTACGCCAATTACTCTAGCAATGACTACTTGTATGGTAACGGGTCGGGGGCTTTGTCTGCGAGCGGAGGCAACCACAACAACTACGACCTCCCTCCCCGATCTGCGTCTGTACAACCAGCCGGTTTAAGGAATAGACCCCGAAGCAGCACCTACCACGTCGATTACCCAGTTGGCGCTATGGGACCTCCCCAACGTCGAGCATCAAAAGCACCGGCTCCAAAACGCATCCATTCCGCCACTAATAGCTATGATGCTGGTCGCTACGACACTGCTACCCCATACCCCAGCTATGACAGCTACGACAACACGGCCGAAGACTTTCATTCTCCAGCCCACCATCCTATTAGCCGTCGTCTTAGCCGTGCCGGATCTGGGGCTCTTCCGCCTTTGGATATTACTCGAGCTACCTCTGTACCACCAGTCGACAATTATGTTGCTGGTATTGAACGAGCTCGTCGGATGACTATAACACCACAGCCAATGCAAATTGCAAACAGGGATAGAAACCGACGCGGAAGTAATGCTTCTTCTGGTCTTTCTTCCTCTGCGTCAAGAAGGGCTCACGAAGCTCGAATGAGCATGGCTGAGATGATTGACTCTGTCAAGGTTGAGCCCCGCCCGGAACTTGCCGGCGCACTGACTAAACGCGATTCTACTGGTGGAGCTATCGTTAAGCACGGTTATAGCCCAGCCGAGTTTGACTACGCTACCGATGGTGCATATAACACTTATGATTATCCTTACGATAACAGTGGTATGGAAATTCATCCTTACCACCACGAAGAATTCGAGCAAGAGCTTGTACTGAGTGGACCCAGCGAACCGTTTTCTTCCAGGTACGGGATACCGCCCAAGCTACACTACGCTGGCGCGGATCCCCTGCATCGGTCCTTACGTATGAACTCCGACAGAAGAAGAAGCATGCACAGGCGTTTGAGCGATTACCAGCACGGTGTGGATTATTCTCACGCCAATGATTTGGACGAGCTTCGTCAGTTGACAAAGAGCCGAAACTCAGGGCTTGACCGGCGGTTACCCCCCAATCCTGCTTATATCGAAGACGGACACGTTCACGGTTACTAAATCCCTATATATATATTTCTTGCGACACAATTCCCCCTCATAATTTTTCGTTGCCTCTCCTCCCTGCATTTAATCACATATTGACTCATTTCGCCCCTCTACGTTCTCAAAGTTCACAAACTTTATACTTTTAGCACATCGATCGCTTCTCATCATTGATGATTTCTCTCCCTCACAATCGTCGACATCTAGGCTACATTGGCCCCCACATATATTTTTCTTCTATTTATTTCACTTCATCTTGACATATATTTTTCTCTGACGGTTAATGTTATTTGAACGGGAGTGGTTTTCAAGGATAACCGGTGTTTATTGAGGTTGCGGAGTTTGAAAGTGAAAGCAAGAAGGCTTTTTCGCTTTCGTCCCATAGTTGAGGTTTTGGTTTTGTTTGCTTTAAGAACGATTTCCTTGCTGTTTTCACGTTTTGCTTGTTAAAGTTTTATTCTCATCGTCATTTCAATGCCTTCATCTGGTGTGGCCGCTTTGTTACTATTTCATTGATGTCATCTCATTCGACATATCCCTCTTCATACCTATTCTTTTTCTGTTACTCTCACAGAAGCATGGCATAACTCGGCTTCGTCTAACATAACTCCTACTCCTTTCTGAATTCACTGTATCTTTTCTTCTTTTCCTTTTATCTTTTACGACTTTGCAAAAACTAGTTCACATGCTTTTTTCCCTTTTTTATGCTTCTCATCTCGAATCGAACCATTGTTCAGTTAATGAGGGCTGGTGATAAATAACTCACACAACAGTCACTCAGCTTATTCCGGACCAGGGAGACTACGCATATCACCGATGTTGGGGACTTGAATTGACCTTGTGTCAGCTTACAGGCCTTCTTCGGTCTTTATCAGGTAGCTCTTACCTCTTCCCATTCTTATAGTCTGTCAAACCTATACTCTTGCAAAACTTCCAACACCTACTTTAACTTTTCTTTGTTCTCGGGGAAGGCTTTCTGAAAATTACTTTGTTCCTCATTTCTCTACATTCTCTGAAATCGTATTCCTAACATTCTGCATGTGAAGTCCTAAAAGATGTCAAACCCTTCAATTCTTTAATCGCTTTGTTTAGTGATACTTGGCCTGAGTTTTGCGAACATTCAACTGGTGGCTAATTGTTTTTCTTTTATTTGCGACTACATGTGTATGGACTTACTTTCTTCTTTTTTTTCTATCTTCTCTGAAATCTCCGCCAGTATAGTTCGCTCACAAAAGCCGTGCTTCTGTCGGTAATGTTTCGTTAAGTCGATACTCCCTTATACTACCCTCCTGATTTTGCTTCATGATTATTGGTTCTAACATTCTCCTTATGGCTTTTTTTTTTTTTTCCCCATGAGGTGCCCAGTTTGAAGGCCGCTGCTACGCGAATTCTCCTCTTGCATACTTAAGTATTTACATGTACATGCCATTACCTCTAGTGCGACGCAGTTGCTGGTCTGAGTGTGCCTTTGCCACCAGGCCGCTCGCTTTGCCGGAGTTGGTGACCTGTTCATTTTTTTTGTTTACATACATTTGTGTCTTGATTTTATTTTGCTGCGACGTTACGAAAAATCCATCACCTTGTTTCCTATTATGTTGTCTGCGATTTGATATTTTGTATGTGAGCTTGACCTCGCCGCTTATAAGTCGACGGTTCGACTGATCCCTATATTACACTTTCTAGTCGTTCCTTCCGAATTTCTCTAGTAATACACTATTTCGTCCTCGAGCTCCACTTTTCCCACTTTTTATATGTTGATGTATGAGAATTTGTAATACGAACCTTCTAATATTATCTTTAAAGTGTTAAATGGCACCCTAATCTTGGAACTACTATCAAAGTGCGCCCAGTCGGAAGGAGTTTGGATTGTAAATTCCGATATGTACAAAAATCTGCATATATACAACAGCTCGTATAAGGTGCTAAGGTATGTCATGACTCAGCTGTTGGCGATCTGGCAGAAGCCAAAATTGTCCCCAATCAAATTACCCAAATTTGTATGATCTTGGTGTAAAGGGTCTAGAAACCAATAGGGTTGATCCGTTGCGAAACTCGAGTCCATTTGGGTAGCTCTGTCAGGTAGTTCATAAAAATTAGCAATGTGTCTTCCTATAGCCATAACGAGCATGATGAGTAATGTCGTGATAAAGAGAAAACATACTGTGGATTCCTTTCCGATATCCCTTGTGCTTCTTATCAAAGATGGTGTACTTGTCCCGTGGCAACATCTCGGCTTCAGTAGGCATTTCGGCCTTCCAGGTTTCGACGGCCTTGGAAACCATTCCCTGTTGCGCCAAGGCATTGGAGATTGTTTCGACTACTCGGTCGACACGACGGAGACGCTGACGTTGGCGATACTTTTGAAAGCGGGAGAGACGCCATGGGATTTTCCTAAAGTAGTGGGGTTAGTAGACGAGCAATTGAAGAGAGAGTAAAGGTTCTTACCATAGCAGACCACCCATGAGGGCGTTCGTGGGACGGAACGCTCCAAACATTGTGGGTGGGGTTCACGGGTGCTGATGAGGTCGAGAAGAGGTCAAGGTTTTGACTGCATGGGTAGTCGTCTGAGTTTTGGTGATGGTGTTTTCGGTTGTACCCTTTTGGCGCTAAATTTTCCTTGTCCATAAAATTCTACAACGCCAGAAGAATTCCTATCCACTTAGCTTGACATTTATAACTTTGACTTACGATCCACAACCAGATGTCTCGACCCTAAAAAGAAACACCTTAAATGAGCCTACTGTGATGCCAATGGAACCGGCCCGAGTGCTCGACCTCTCCCAGAGTTTATGCGACGGTTCGCGGGTAGACTGGTGAGGTCTTCCTGGGGATTTTACAATGGCCCCACCGAACTGACACCGCCGTTGTCTATACGCCATCTATCAACTACAAAGGCCATTGTACTCGTCCCGGATTCGAAAGATACAATTAAAATTGTATCATATCGTTCCCGAAAGATTGGCAAGCCTCAATTGAATTTGGGTCTCCGTTACAGCCAAGGTACCGACGGCAAAAGGCCAAAGATCCAGATTCCCGCTTGGCTGAACCCAGAGAGCTGGCTGGCGAAGGAACCTCAGGATGTTATCTACGGAGACGACAGGGATCTCGACAACTTACCACCAGTACCGAAGAAACGGGAGTATTGGATGGATGCTCAATACCCGACAGGGATAGTTAAACAAGAAAGAAAGCAGCAGAAGAAGAAGAAGAGGCAGAAGCAGAAAACAGATATCATCCAGAAACCTGGAGATTTATCACTCCAGTCTAGCTCTCCGTTGGAACCGGAACGGCCAAGAAATTATCTTTCTAATCGACCAATTACCAGCAAACAGGTATATACACGGTTGTTCGGGAAAGAGTCTCGGCCATTTCATGATTTCATGAGAGAGGCTCGAGTTGAGCGCCAATTCACACTTGGAAGGCTCATGGTTGATACAGCTGAAATTCGGAACTACCATGAATACTGGCTACAATTGCTCAAGTTTCGGGCTAGGATACATGGAGAGAAAGGAGTCAAGGATATTTGGATCGGGTTGTCTATGCGTATGGCTGATATACCACTCACTGGCCCGGTGGCGGATGGGATGTGGGGTTTTTTTGTCAAAGTTGGGCTAGAAGATGAGGCTTTTTTGCTCAGATTATACAAATACTTGCGGCAGAGATTTGAGCGAAGGGGCCAGCTACGATGGAGACCGATGTATAATACTGTCGTGGGAGGTCTGCTTTCAAAGAAGCCACTACGGGCGCTCTGGTGGCATTACCATATGGTTGATATGGCCCCACCTCGGGGTTTCACAACCTTCTTTCAACAACATGCGACGGACCCGAAAAATATCCAGACTCTATTCAAAATCTTCCAATCAAAAAAGATTGGGCCGGTCTATGAAGCGGTCATACCCTTTCTCTGCCGCATGGAGTACTATGAAATCGCGATCCAGTGGCACAAGATGCTTATGAGCAAGGGAGACAAGCCTGCAGATTCCCACCACGCCGACAGGCTGATGGAGTATTATGCGTTCCACAAACCACTGAAGGATCTAGAGATGATGCTCCGCGAGTTCAAGGAGCACGGGATCGAGGTAATGGAGAGTACGGTGATCACTTTGATCAAGGCTCGATATAGGACTCGTGCAATCATGGATTTACTCTGCGAACTGTACACTGCAAAGGTCATCTGCAAAAATTGCTTTGGCGACAGGTTCTGGGCGTTCTTGCTCACCTACCAGCGGTTCTCTCAGGCTGATGTTACAACATATATGAAGAAACTTGGTATCGAGAGGATATCCCGCGAAACTACCAAGGAGTTTGTGAAGCGGGGAAAGACGACAGCAGACTTCATCCGAGGGATCGCATTGTTAAACAGGCGGAAGATTCCAATAGATAACGATGTCTATTCTAAATTTCTCGAGGTGAAGGCACGGTGGAATCCGGAAGAGGCTCTGGAGGAATCACTTCCTATCGAAGACCTGGAAATAACTAGAGGCAATGCACTCCTTCAAGGGTACCTGAGCACCTACCGCTGGAAATTCTTCAACCACGTTTACAAAAATCTACGGCGACGGAATGCTGTCACATGGAATTTGTTTCTGAAGAGATTGTTCATGACCCGCCAGCTTAAAACTGGTTTGGAGCTCATGGAAGAAATGCGCGCGTTATCTATACCCATCGGGTCATCCGCCCAGTCGGAGCTCCTTCATGCGATACTTCTGCCGCGTCGGTCATCTCATCGTCCGATTACTCAAGACCCCAGAGCCCGCAAGACCAAGGATCTACGGATTGCGACAAACTACCTGCGCGCGCTTCTTATGAACGGGGATCGGGTGGATCCCAGGTTGTGGAGAGAAATAATCAAAAGATATGGGATGTTTAGGAAGCTGAAGGATCTAGAGAAATTATGTTTGTGGTTAGCGGACTGGTACAACCCTCGGAGACCAGCATTGCGACAAGCCAGTATTCCGATAAAATTCACGGACGTGGGACAGATTGCTTCGCTGGGGTATGACCAGACCCAGCACGTTGAATGGACCGATCCACCACTTGCAGAATCTAACAGAAGTCCTAAAAACCCCTTGCGGATCCTCTTTCCCGCCACAACGATCCGGTCTATCGTTGAATATGGATTTTTATCCATGCAACGGTCCTGGTATCTAGGCCTTCTGCGCCGCAGGAGCAGGATTGAATTGAAGGCACGGTTATCTCGTTGCGCGTGGGGTATCAGGCTCGTAAAGCAGCTGCAAGAAAGAGGAGTATGGGTCGATGAGAGGAGTGTTTCGAGGGCAGTCAGAGTAAGATTGAGAGCTCTCGAAGGGAGTAAATATCACTGGGAAAGTTTCGATACAAATATGAGTAAACATGAGCCGATAAACCTGGGTGTGATGGCGTCTATTGCAGAAAAGGCATGGGGCAAGGAGCTATTTCCAAAAGGAAGCTGGGATACGGAGGAGGGTCTTATGCGGATGTTGAAAGCCCCTGTGAAGGATATCGTGCTTCCGCGGCGGCTGAGAGTGGGACGACGGCCTTGAATCAACGCGCTCTGCTGAAAAACTCGATGGCTAAGCATGCAAACGAGTTCCAAATAGTTCATCTTGGGAACAAGTACCGGAAATTTCGAAACCTATTTCCTTATCGATTACCTGAGCAATCCAAGCTAGAAGCCCATGCTTATTGATTTTGCGTCGCCTTGAATGTGGGTGCACTATACCATTTATGCGGGGTTTGACAATCCCGTGTACTCGCCCCACCTCACTAATGCAAAGACGGAATTGAAGATTTCATCTCCAAAATCAAGGATTGATTGCAAAGCGGTCGGAACTCGACTGCTTCAAATATGTCCCCTCCTTCGCCTAGGGATAAGATCTCGATGGAAATGGCGTGGATTTCTTACCCAACCTGCCGGATGTTCCGTCCTATTTGGGGGCGATGACCCTGTCATATGCACAACCGGACCTGATATTTCTCGTGGTGGTTGCTGCTACCCATGGCAGGTGGTGTACCTGCTGATCAAAACTAGACAAACACCAGGGAAGAGCTACACGAACCAAGTTATCAGATGGGGTTACCATCGCAAAATTTACGACAGGCTTCAACACGCTAATAGTGATCTCTCGATAATCACTTCTTATTCTATGACGTTAGCTTCTAATGTGAGGCCGTCAGCCGTTTAGTAGTGATCTAGGGGGGCCGCTGTCGAGAATTCTGAATGGTTACGATGAGCAAAGGATATCTCGATCCACTTTCTAAAGAAGACTTCCATCATGGCGATGCCCCATGTATCAGATAATATTATATTGTTTCGATGTAACTGCCAGAAATATCTCATCACACACCGCCGCGATCCGTCCTTACGCTATCAAGAAGAGGCAGCAGCGGGCAGCGATCATGTTGGAGTGACCAGTTGTCTTATCTGAGCTCTTCAGTTCTCCTCATATACCCCGCCCCTAGACTGGTCGTCCACGGCGTGACCGCAAATATATTCCTCAGCTGGGTACTTTGAAATACAAGTCGTAGATTATATAAGGCACCAAGTGAGCCTTTTTTCGGGACATGCATTCACCTTTTAGAGCGGCGGGACATACTTGCATAAGGACCTCAGCTCTGTTTGGTTCCCTTACTCGAATCCAATCACCTATCCTTTTCCTCCGTCGCATTTTCCGTCCCCCGGTGGCCCATCATATCATATTATAAAGGATGTATGTATAAAATAGCCTTTGAAGGATAGTTCTACCGTTCGAAAAGCTCTTGCTTAAAAAAACAAAAACAAAGTAGCATATTGCATATAGACTGACGCATATAATAATTCCTTTTTGAACAGCCCTATTACTCACGTTCTGGACACATCCACGGCTTCGTACATCAGAAGACTTGCATTTCATTAATATCTGTCCCGAAGGATCGGATTTTATTTCCTATAAAATCCTGATATCCCCCCCATCCTCGATATTTCCACCGTCGATAATTTTATATATTTTCCCTCTTATCACCCCGCCTGACGGAATGGTTCCTGATTGTCGGTACACTCGTTTACATTTTCTAACATTTGCCTAAATATTTCATACCGGTTTAACTTCCTAATATCCATCGTATTTATATTCACATACCCTTCTTCTTCTTCCTTTTCCTATCCCTTTTCGAATTTTCTTTATTTCCTTTCTTCCCATTTGAGTTCGAATTCATCCCCATTCTCGATGCGTATCAAAAACATTTTCCCAGAAATCCAACGTCAACACAAAAGCAAGAAGGACAAAGCTATTCTCATCCGTCAAGATGGAGGAGAACATATACCTAGAACGCCAGTGCTTACGGCACAGCGGCCTAAGCGTATGTCAGACTTCATAAAATCACCGTCACTACGCTCCATGACATTTTCACAGAATACAAAATCTTCTTCACGGCCATCACAAAAGAAACTCTCGTCCGTGGCTGAGGAAGAAGAGATTGCGTTTAACTATCAGATGGCACTGTTAGAGGACCCACCAGAGTGGGACCTTGATGCTGGTATTGGATCCCGAGACTTCGAGTCGCCGTCTATGACGCCGCCAGCGATAACAACAAGCCGTGCTAGTTCGCCTTCACATATCGAAAAAGTTACGGAGACATCGAGGAAACAGCTCCAGCGGCTGGCAAGTAAGCTACACTATCTACACGACAATACGATGACCAGCCAAGGTGCAGATGGAAAAGAGCGTCGACTGAGCAAATCCGAACCAGATTTATCAAAGCTGAAGAAAGAAGCTGGAAGTTTATCACCACCTTCATCACCTACAAATCAATCACACACAGAGAACCTACGAGGCCGCACCCGTACTATTAGGGAGGAAGACGAAGAAAGAGAACATACTCCACGTCGTCGGTCAAGGTCCGGACCTCCTTCCTGGAGGATGCCACCGAAAAACATCCGACGCGGTATGCCCCATGTGCGCGAGGCTTCGCCCCTGCCGAGCTTTCCATTAGGGCCGGTAGATATTAAGTACCACGAATCCTCAGTTATGGCACGAGCTATGTGGAAGAACGGCGAGGTGAGGTATGAGGATCAGTGGGGTCGACGGTTGGTTCCTATCGGGCGACAGAACTCGTTTATGTTTGAGCTCTGGCCGGTTAGTGAAGAGTGAATGGTATAAAACGTAGGGACACAACAAAGAACTGTCGAAACATGTGTCTCCGAAACAAAGTTGTTATTGGTTTTGAAGTTTTCGGGTTTCAATATTTTTTTCGTGTTTTGAATGCAATGTTGGGATGTTTATGAATTTATGCTCCGCCACTTCGTGATTCGTTAGTTGGTGGAGCAGTTAAACATGGGTTTACGTCTACGATCTAGCTATGGCTACTTCTAGGTTTCAAAGCCATGCCATCACTCACGATTGTTGTTGCATTTTCAGATTCGTTCTCGTCGTCGTCTTCAATGTCGTCGTTAGGAAAGCTTCTGTCTTTTCCGTCTGTACAGTTGGGTGCCCCTTACCTTCCCTCCATATATCGTTTCTTTCTTCTTACGTCTTTGGGTTATACCCCCTACTTTTTTTTTTTTTTTTTGAAATTCTGCGTACATACGTACCTTGCTTTTCGCATTGCATCTGCATATTAACGGCGTTTTGGTGGTTGCGAACTGGATATCATTCTTATTCTTTCCTTCATGGGCATTATTATCAGGAAGACTAGCACTTTTACTCTCAGTTGCATTTTCTATCTTTCTTTTGCATTTTATCTTATTATCTTCTCGAATTCTCCTTTATTAAGTTTCTATATACTATACTTTTAATCCCTTTTTATTTTTTATTTTTATTTTCCTTATTTTTAGTGATTTCTGTAGCTTAATTAAGGTATCTGGGCAACTTTGTGGAACGATGTGTACATGTGTGCGCTAGTCTATCTGTGATCGCGAGTTACACTTAAGTTCAAGGTTGATCTTGCGAGCTAAGTATTGAGTTACGATGCTGCTTTATTTTTCACTTTGATCATGGGGGGTGCGAGCGAGCTTTTCTCCCTTTCTCCTTTTCTTTTCATTATTGCTACAGCTTGCAAGGAGCGATATATGATGATTGTGTGATTATGGAGCGAGCATGAGCGCGAGCGTGTTCGAATATGTTGCAAAGCGCGATACTATCTTGCGATCCGGGAACATGTTACGCACATATGATGCCACCATCTGTGGACAGATTAGCATATCAGAAGGATCCATTCTTATTACAACTACTATTTATATCTGTATTTTTTTAGGTTATCCTCGAAGGTGTTAAACATTAAATGGATGCGATCATGTAATTAGTTCGTAGGAGGAAATATGGTGATGTATAATTATTTAATATTAGGACACTTCTAACCAAATCCCTTTTGAAAAAAGAAAGAAAGAAAACCTTAAAAGAAAAAACCTATGGTACATAGAATTGAACGAATGAACGTTTACCTCCTTGCCCAAGTTTTGCCTCTCTGACTGTAGATACGAGGAAAGACGGGAGACAGGATAGGTAGTTGGGGTATATCGTATCATATCACAAAGAAAACTTGGACTGACATCAACGAATGAAAGACGTCAGCTAGGGGGAAAGACAGGACAGAACAAGTAAAATCGTATCGTAAGTTCATAAATAGACTTCGAAAAAGAGGCGCTAGGAATAACTTCAAAGGATCAATTAAATGGTGAAATAATATTTGGCAATTGCTGGGGGGGTTGCCAGAACTATTTCCCAACAGGTTGTGATCGATATCCAGAATCGAAATGGGGGGATATATAAAAAGGGAAAACAGCTAATGGTAGAATTGACAAAGGAAATCAACGAAGGAAATATTTGATTTTCGGCATCTACTTTGCCCTTCCCCTCTGTGCACCGATCTTTGATGTGAGGTGGAATCCACCAAATAGCCAGTCATTCGTGTGTCTACCCACATGGTTGATACTGGCTACTCGGGAAGACTGGCTCATGATGTCGATATTTGGAGATGGAGATGGAGATCTCCTAGTTCGAGATCGAGACCGTGAACGGGAGCTAGAGCGAGTGTTTGTGGTCTCGACGACAGTGAGATGAGTGGACTTGGACTTCTTGTTCGAGACCATACTGGCTGAGGCTACAGAAGTGTCGATAGTAAGCGGGGCACGCTTGTGGGACGAGCGGGAGGAAGAGCGGGACTGAGGCCGCGAGGATGTGTTGTCTAATGTGTTGTTGGAGGGAACCTCGGCGGGCAGGTTGAGGGTTGGAATTCTGCTATGGCTGCCAGAGGCTCGACGAAGAACTCGGTCGATGAAAGAGGCAGAACGAGGAGAAGTAGAGAAAGTGATCTCAGGAGGAGCTTGGGACCCGGTATGTTCCATCGATAGCTTTTTTTCCAATTGGAGAGAGGTACTTGGTAGTTGTAATTTAGTGTTTGAAGGGTTGATTAGCTAGTAATTAAGCTTGAGCTTTGATTGTTTTGTTCTGATATATATATATAGACTAGACAAGCTTCAATGAATAAGGTTATATGAAATCGATTGAGTTCACAGTGAACAGATGATGATACGATTCTCTGGAGAGTGAAGGAATATGATCAAGATATATTTTTTTAACAATTCAGCCTCAAGCTCGGGGGGGATAGCCGGTTCTTTATACACTTCCTTCGATCCCAAATATCTGCTCCCAAGACGGCACAGCTTCAAGGCCCTGCAAGGATCACACACCGACATATTACTTCTGACTAACACACGAAAATCACCGCAAGAATCGAACTAACTGAGGAGGACACTATGGGGCGGCTGTTCGGGGTAGCCTGGTGTCCCCTCCCCATGCATGCTGCATGACTATGCACCAAAGCCTGAGAGAAAGAGACTAACCACGAAGATGCCTGCACTTGGATTTGAGTCGGAACATTCCCGTCTGCAATGGTCTTTGTTACACACCCCTCTTCCCCATGTCTGCTACTTACTCATCGGTGTAGGCAGAAGCAAAAGCGAAACTGAAAACCAACCTCCACAATGGGAACTCGCCCTAGAGGGGGGATTGACGAACAAAGAATACCGAAAATGAACCTAGGCAAGTAGTTTTTCGTATCGTCTACCTGGAATCTATGGATAATGTGACCTCCCTCGACACTTTGGCTTGGTCAGTTCGGGTTCACAGACAACGCTAATTGTCAGCCTTGTCTGTCGGCATAGTTTTATCCTCGATGTTTCTTAGAATACTTTCCAGTCTCCTCAGATTCGTAATTTTTCCTCGTGCGATGCTATTTTTGCAACCTACCCAGATGATACTAGTGTCCCACTTGCCGAAGTACCGAAAATGATACCAAATACCCCTTCTGGGGTTACGTCCATGACGTTGGAGGGTCCATAAAATTCGGCCGGGTCGGTTCAAACCCTCTTTTTTCCCCTTTCGCAAGGGCAGAGTTCGAATCTATGTGAAAGTATTTCCGGCAACATGACTTTCCTTTTTCATTTTCAGATTCTTTGACAACGTCTACTGATATTTTGAGTCGAATAGTGATACTGTTAACGTTGGTGTTCCATGTGCCATACAATATCGTACCGTTTAGCCCGGACGGAACTCACCCATTTTTGTTTAGGGAAACAGACTTGGTCATGTAAGTACACCAGGCCTTGAGCGTCTTTTTTTTCTTTGCCGCCTCGTTCGCATGAAACTTTTGTAGCTACCTAGGCCGACATCCTTCAGAGGACACCGTTTGAACTAAAACGGTTTAACATGAACTACCAGCATACACTTTATTTCAAGTCATCTGGCTACATGTATTTCCCCCCCATCGATCGATGTGTTATACTATAGCTTGTAATTCACTCGGTCAATATATCACTCTCGTATACACCAAGCAATCACAAGGCTGACATGCATCCTCACCTCATTCTTCAAAATGGTGCACGGTGCGAGCCAAACGAGTGAATTAAAATTTCGAGAACTTGGGAATTTCTACCCGCCTGGCTCTCAACCATGTACGATATTTTTGTTCGGGCCCGTTTATAACATATGGGTTCCATTACATAGACGCAGACAGGGGGTTGGAAGTATCGTAGCAATTGTGCGCAGTGGAGACCTTGGCTTGACAGAAAGGGCATTCGGCATCGGCCGAGCCACCTTGTCCCAACCTCTGCGCCGGTCCTCTATCTTTTCATACACAGTTCGCTTTCCTTTTTCTCCCCTTCTGTTCCCCACAATAGAAATAGTAGACTTGTTGATTGCGGAATCATCGGGCAATGAAGGTCTCAGATCTCCGTCCTGCTACGTACACACGTATGTGCGCACGCTATGAATTTTAAATGAACCACATCTTCACGCCGGATAAGCTGCTATCTATAGTCGGCGAGACTGTCTTGTCAAAAAGTCTTTGGTAATTGTGTCTTGGGGTTTAATCTGTTAATGTTGCCATTGATATCATCCGGTCGCCGGCCCATGCTGCCCATTCCAAGAATGTTGGTTTGTGTTTCCTGAGCTCTTAGCGTATGTAAGCCCTAATCCTCACCAATCTACGTAATCCAACCTGCAGCCCTTTTTCATGTGGATTTCTTGGCTCCCCGTCTAGCGTCGAAGCGAACAGAAAAGAAGGAAAGAGAGGAGTCCAAAAGCGCAAGAGACATACTTGGATTAAAGATAGAAACCCGACAAAGATAGAAGGAGGAACACCTAGCAGAGTTAGCCTTACGAGATGTACGGTCTCTTCTTTAGGAAAATATCTCCAGGCAGTTAGGGTTTAGAGTTCTTCTAGAAGGGTTTTGGAAGATTATACTCGAATCGATTGGGGGCGTGAGGACTGGTTGTCTAAGGGTTATAGATCGTCGACGTTATGCATTAACTAGTGAGGATGGGGGTGCCGTATGACCTTCTCCCAAGCCCAGGGTTCGTGCGTTTCTTGGAGCTTTTGCCACCGCGAGATGTATGCAAGTTGTCGGAACTTGCGAATTTGCGTTTGTTCCTCCCTTTCTTCCTTTCTTTTTTCTTTTGCTCAATTCCTCGTAGAGATGATGATCCATATGTCTGCAGCCTGGGAAAGCCGATGCCTGGTCAGGCCTCTTTAGTGATCTTCGTGGTCGGCCTGTAGTTCGTTTTGGCAGTTTTCGTACGAACCTATCTTATACATATTTGATCACACTCTGTCGACTCTGGTTGAGTAAGATATCTTTTGAATCCATGAAGGGGTTTCACTAGTTAGTTATGATATCAGTTGTCGACATGTCAATGGTCATGATCCTCATACCTTTGGCCTCGCGAGGTGGTATCGGAGGGGTCCGGGTCTCTGGTATGTCTTTTATTTTTGACCTAGAAACTATTCTTATCTATAGATCTATCGAAATTTCAAGGTTGGATGCAATGGCAGAGCTGCCTGAGCATGGTCTCGTATTCTATTATCATAGCGGCGCAAAACTGGAAGAAAGACATTAAGACGGATTACAACACTCCTCCGTACTGCGTGCCGGCCACGGAGCTGGGTACTTTCGATCTGGACGTCTCAATCTCGCCTAAACCACAGCAAGCAAGCAAAATCGTCAACCAGCTGTCAAGTACGGGAGATATGTCGTGCGATCAGTTCCTTAAACCAAACAGCTATGAACACAAACCATCACAATGCACAAACGAGGGAAATGGACAAAGAAAGTTTGTATATACCGAAGATTTCGAAGTACACATTGCATTTCTGAGTTACACGACGAGGGAAAAAGTAATCTTGGCCGATGTGTTGTTCGATGAGCACTTAGTACCTGTGTAACCTGGGGGCTTTGGATTGTCTATTTCCTAAACCTGATACCTAGCTCACAATTGGGGGAAAGAGAATCGAAAAGAAGAAGAAGAAGAAGAAGAAGAAGAAGAAGAAGAAGAAGAAGAAGAAGAAGAGAAGAGCGAAAGAAAAGAATACTGCTCACTAGAACTCATTCTATTTTACTCTGATTTGGAGCATAAAATTAAGTGAGTAAACTCCTACAGGTGTCATAGAGTACACATATATAAGTGACTATGGGAATTTTGCACGGATTGAACTGATTGATGGACGTCAATAAGTTAATTAATAAGCTGGGAAGTCCAATAAAGACCAGTACGCCCCCCGAACAGCGTGGAAATAGCCCAAGGGGATTCACGGTATATATTGATACTTTGGTATCCGGCTTCAAGTAGTTAACTACAGTTAATTCTATCGATCTAGGATACAGCCATAGTGAGCTAGCTCTAGGTATCAGACTTGAACCTGATAGCCCACGGCCAGAGCTGTAGGGGCTATTGCCTTAGTATATATTTCCCATCTGCTACTTTCCTAGACCCTGTACCATCCCGCCTGGCGTGTGCAGCGCTGCATATGCAGTGAAACACCGAGTTCTCAGAAAACCTTGTTATCGGGAATTTCTACGCAATAAATCAATACAGATCATTCACAACATACCTCGCTTTCTAATAGATCTAGGATGGCGGGTTTTGAACAAACTTTCTAGGAATAAAAGTGTACATTCATTTTCTTAGGAAACAGTTAGTCTGGAATTTAGTCGAAGCAGTCCAAGAGATAGATCTGGGGGACTATGGTTCTTTGCTTGTTTAGTGTTACGTGCACATATGCACATGCTGAGAGGAGTGATGTGGTGATATAAAATGCAACAGGCGGACTGGTGATGTGGAGGACCTTTTAGGATTTCCCCAAGTTTAACCTTCTGTCTTTCCGTCTTTCCTTGCACTTCCTTGTATATTTTTACTTCGCTATCTCTATCCATTTAGGACTGTCGCATATCTATTATTATTTCCCTCCGAAACAACCTAAATTTTAGTGCTCGATGATAATTTTGCCCTCGGAAACGTTAACACTGCTATGGGACAGTGTTAGGTCGCCTCTCATACTGTTTACAAAAGAGATATTTATATTGCCCTCAATCGTTTCTCTTTTTCAATACTATCCTACCTTTATAGATTTAGGAAACCAGTATAGGGCATTGCATCTACCTGCTCGGATAAAGGAGTGAATAAAGGAGAATCAAGATGGTGGTTTTGGAGGACATTCACGACAATATTTATGCCTCATGACCAAAATGTTTCCTGAGATATTTGGTTACACACGTCCTCTTAACTCTCGAACAATATTTCATCGCTCAGCCGACCAAGCCGACCAGACCGTTGCTACTGTCCTGGGCGTCATATTCGGTGTGATCGGATTCATCATATTCCTTTGCATATTTACTTGTTGCTGTGGCGCATGCCGAGTACGTTCGATTCCTGTCGAGGATATTGAAAAGAGCAGTGATGGATACTGTAACGGAGAAGCCTTGGTGAGAGAAAGTAGGGTATGCAGAAGTCCTAAATCGAAGGGACAGGCTTGGAGAAAGGTTGAGACTAGGAGGGAGGAAGTGAGGGAGAGGGTTGTAGGGGGTAGAGGGGTAAATGGAATTAACAGGCCTGCGATGGCATATCTGGGGGGACCTCGTCCTATGATGTTTCACTCCGCCCCTCCTAACCTTCAAGCCTTACCTCCTCGTCGACATTTCGATCCTTTACAACCTCGTGAGGTTAGGGGTGGGCCGAGGCGACCGTCTCTGAGGACTGCGTCACCAGCTGTCCCTCGAGTTGGAGCTCCTGTTGTACCAAGTCTGGCGACGAACGTTGTGCCTGATTTGAGGTTTCCTATTAGCGAAGGGAGTAGCTCTGATAGTGAAAGTATCGGGGCGGGTCCGACTATAGTGCCCGCAATGCAAGGCCGATCACCGGCGCTTGGGGCACCTATTGAGCCTTCTATGGTACCATCGACGGCACGCCCACCGAGAACGATCATCCAACCGGTGGCAGTACATCCAAGGAATGTAGTTACCAGGCCTGAATTTGAGGATGCGATCGACGATTTTGAGAATTTGATGGGGAGGCAATTAGAAGGGATGAGAACGAAGATAGAAAGGGAGGTAGACGAAGAGCGGCGACAAAGACAGCTGGAGACATTCGAATCGAATGCTCTACAAAACGAAATAATAAACGAACTTGACGAAGAAAGACAGAAGCGCCATTTAGAGGCACTTGGATCAAACTTACGGCAACAAGTAATGAGGGAAGATATCGCGGAATTAAGGGAGAGGACCACGAATCTGGAGTATGAAAGTCGACGGACGAAGGATACTCTAATTTCGATTGCTACTCATCCCAAAACCCCACCACCTCCGGTTATTATAAATAATAAATGTGCTCATCGTTCCAGCTCTAGGAGAGGGCTTAATGATGATGACTCCAGCGGTTCTGGTTTTGGCGGGGCAATCCGACCTATCGGGCCTGGACCTCCTGGACCACCCCCTTCATCTGTAAGCTCGGGCGATGATTACCTACCGACACATCTCGGCCAAACTCGTTTCAGATCCTCACCTGGTACTCCCCCAAACCTGCGGTCATTAAGAATGCCTCATGACCCATCGGGTGGGCCGTCAACTGGTCTCGGTATGATGTTCCCAGAAGGATCACTCGATGAAGGAAGCAGCGGTTTCCGGACGCCAGATTCCCAACCTGCATCGCCGAGAACTACACCACGACCTCATCCAATTCGGCGGGTGTCGATAGAGTACCCTATGCCGCCACAAGTACGGCCACAACAGGAAGCATCGATCCCACCACACTCGAAACAACCGCCACAAAGTGCCTTTAACCAGGGGTCCAGACGACCTCCACCAAGGCCGGTGTTTCTCCAGCCAGGGGAGATATATGCCCCTTCCGATTCTCCGCTTGAACCAGAAATGGAGGACCTTTCTTCACCAAAGTTTCGGGGCATGCCACCGATCGGGCGGCACCCCGTTGCCCCAGGGCATATTCCTAGTATTAGGCGCTCGAGAGAAAATATGAGAGGTCAAAATTCTTCTCGTTATTCACTTTTTTCTGAGGGCAACGGGAATAGGGGATATAGTCGAGACCAGGGTCAAAATCAAAGAGGAGGGGGAGGAGGAAGAAGAAGAAGTAGTGACGGTCTAGGGGGTCTTGGTCCAAGAGACCCATTAACTGGGTTTGGCGACCCACGTGGACGAAATGCATCTATTACCAGCAACCATGTATCTTTCGTGCCATCAGACCAATTTGAGCGGTATTCTGCGGCATCTCAGGGTTTTGATGATAGTAGTATGGATGATAGCATGACTAGGGTTGGGACTGGGCGCGGTTTATCAACTGAATTCCAGCCTCAAAGGCCGGATACACAGAGAAGGAATAGCTTCCACGTCCACGATCCACCTGAACGATTTGGGAATCATACACGGCCTAGTTTTCCCGTCGACGCAGCGTCTGTGGATAGTTACGATACTGATAGAGTTAGAGGAGCAGCGAAGAGGACGCCAGGTACGGTTACCGAACCTTGGGTGGATGGGGAAAGGGAAAGGTATTTGAGGAATATGCAAAGAATGGGAGGGATGGAGGCTATTCAGTCGCAGGATACAAGTAGTGATACGAATATGGGATCGGAGAGGGATAGGGAAGGTAGTGGGGGGAGCGGTGTGGATCGGGATGGGAGGTTCCGGTATGAACGATACTAGGGCGTTTGTTCGTACTAGCAGATAGCTAGCTTAATTTGAATTGTTTATAATGGAGCCATGCGCAGTTCGAAGAACTGTGATCATAGTATGGCAATTATATATTTGAAATTTATTCTTCAATGATCGATCGATATCGTATGCATATGATCATGAACTACTAGCCTGTGAGTTTGGTATATATGTGCCATGGGTATACGTATTTACGTAAATTTACATCGACTCTCCTATTCGAATTTCCTTATGGACCCTACTTTATTCTAGGCTCAATCAGTCTCAAATTGACAAGGATCAATCCCATCCGTACATTATTATATGCCTAAGTACCTCGTCTTGTATCAATTTAAATACTTAGATATACCCCGAAGCGTTTTAATACAAGACTGGATATATATACAAATGCGGCACGTTTCCATTGTTGCACTTTTTGCGTTTGTCCGCAGGTGGTGGCGCTGAGGCGTCCAAGTCTTGGCGCACATACGTCAACGTAACCGGCGACGACAGCTCGTATCACACAGCCTTGAACTTCTCTTTACGGCTGTCCTTCATCTTTCTCTCCACAGACATCCTTCTTCCTAATCTCTCTCCACAAGACGACACTCGTCGGGCCTCTCATATCACCCACATAGTCTTCCAGACTTCAGAACTATTTTATTCCGGACGGCAAGCTGGAAGTTAATATCGTATTAAGATACGAGCTCGAGCCAACTTAACCGAACAAACAGGCTAGCTTGCCCCTCCATCCCGCTTCGGTTCCAACGTCGCGAGAAATAGAGAAAGGGAGAAAGAAGAAACTGCGGTCAAGCTTCCCTTCTTCGCAATAATGTGGGAAGACAACAACCCCCTTTCCTACGGCGCTTCGCCGCCGGGGTCACCGTATGGTCATATCCAGTCACCATTTAGCCATCACCGACCGTCGTCTCCGAGCGCTGAATCATCTGAAAATGACGAGGTTCCGGATTTCACGAGCAAACCGAGAGATCTTTCGGAGGATAACGCGGAGGCACCGGATACTGCTCCTGGAAGAACAGTACACGACGAAAATGATGATGATATTGATGAAGAGGAAGAGGATTACTATGGTGGGAGAAGGAAGAAAGGGGGGTATACCAGCAGAGCCGAGCAGATAATGTGGGAAAACAAGGATTTGGAGATTTATATTGTTGATGCTGGTAAGAATGTTGATGGGAGTGGAGGGAATTTTATTGTTTATACGATACGGACTGGAGTATGAATTGGATCTTTTCTTCCTTTTTTGGAACGGAAGTTACTTTGGGCGGGAAATTATGTTTGGCTAATGGATTTCCGTGCGTGGTGTCATTAGGATCTGGAAGTTCGAAGACGGTACTCAGAGTTCGCATCTTTGAGAGCGAATCTAGTGCTTTTGCATCCTACGTTGATCATCCCACCAATACCAGAGAAACACTCAATGTCAGATTATGTAGCTGCACCGACAAGGGCAAAAGAGGATCAGGGGATAATCGAACACAGAAGACGTATGCTGGGTGTCTTTCTCAATCGCTGTGCGAGGATGAAGCAGATACGAAAGGATTCGGTTTTTCTACGGTTCTTGGACCCTAATGCTAGCTGGGTGGGTCTTTTGCCTTTTTACAATATTACAAACGGTTTACTGATAGTTTGCAGAGCGAGGTTCTCCATTCAGCTCCGATATCTGGCCTACCGAAGCATCCATTACGGGCACCCCCAATAGATCCGGCACGACCCTCGCCAGCTCATCAGTATCTCCCGATTCCACCAGCAAATGCGAAGCTAAAGCATATCCCCTCACCTCCCACATCGCCACAAGATTCTCGGCCTTCGGGGTTCACACATGTTCGCAGTCTCCCGTCGCCAAGTGCAAATTTATCAGAAGCTGAACTGGACCCTTATTTCATCACATATGAAGGAAACACTCGTGCCTACGAAACTTTACTCACATCCGGCGTGGAAAAGGTGAATCGTAGAATGCTTAATAGGCTTTCTAACCTTTCAACCGATCTAGCGGAGCTGGGCGCACGGTACAATGCATTTTCATTATCCGAACCTGCTCCCACGCTGGGGCCCGCAATAGAGAAAGTTGGGCAGGCAGTTGATTCTACTTACTTGGCGACTGAGGAACTGGCGGCTGGTCTCGCATCTGGGTTTACGGAGCCTATTCGGGAATCGGCGCAGTTTGCGGGAGTGGTGAGGAATGTGCTGAAGTATAGGATGATGAAGAGGGTTCAAGAGGAGATTACGAGGGATGAATTGGCGAAAGCAAAGATGAAGCTTGAACAGTTGGAGAAGAGTGAGTTGGAGGCTAGAAGAATTGAGCATTACCTTGCGGGGAGTGGGGTTGCTGCGCCGCCGAGTGTAGAGGCACAGAGAAGGAATTCGGAGAGTAGTTTGAATCAGCAACAACAGGGCGGTGGTGGTGGGGGTAGTAGGAGTAGTGGGGATTCGGATGCTGGGAGCGTGGATAGTGATTTCCCACCAACACATTCGAGCCCCATGCCGCCGCCGATTTCGACGACACCGGTACCGTATCCTCAAGGACCACAGCAAGGAGGGGCTGGCGGGGTGTCACCGCAGCATAGGAAGGCTAGTTCATTTTCGAATCCGTTGTCTTACCCTGTGTCCAAGATCTTTGGGAAGTTGACGCATGCGGTATCTGGAATTGTGGATGCAGATCCAGAGACTACAAGGCGGAATAATATTGGAAAGACAAGGGAGACCTTGGTGCAGTTAGAAGCAGCGCTCCAGGTGTCTGGAAGAGATGTGGAGGAGGCAGGAAAGAGTGTCCTCGCGGATCTACACCGATTCCAGGCGGAGAAAGAGGAGGATATGAAGAAACTGATGGTGAGTTTTCATACAACTTTCCCCCCCCCAAAAAAAAAAAGAGGACAAGACGCTAATTATCTTGAAAGGTCAACTTTGCAAAGTGCCAAATCGAATGGGCGAAGAAGAACCTAGATTCTTGGGAGGAAGCGAAAGCTGAGGTTGATAAGATTACTGTGAGGTAAAAATTTCCCTCATTTCACGACTGAAGTATCATTTTTTATAAATGTGCATATACCTACTTAGTTATTTTTGCGAGTCCCGCCCTCCAAATTTATAATGTTTTAATGGTGGTACTTTTTTTTTTTTTTTTGAGTAGGGCTATAGGTAGTATCCGGATCTTGTTGACCAAGGTATTTTTTTTTGTCAACATGTTAAATGTTAGAAAAGCATGCGATTCGCACAATGAATCAAAGTGAGAAGATTCAAATGACAGAGATGAAACAAGAACCTCAAGCAATCTGGGTCTTATGGCGCAACTGGTTAGCGCGTCCGACTGTTAATCGGGAGGTTGTAAGTTCGAGCCTTACTAGGACCGGATGCTTCTTTTTTTGTATCTTTCTCATCCATCCCGAGTAAATCGTCGATGGATCTGGGGTTTTTTATTTTATTTTTGCCGGTTGAGCAATTTCTGTTTTAAGGTTGGTTGTGCCGGGGTGGTTTGTAGGCGAGTTTTCCACACCACACCACGGGGAATCGATGCTACAGATATTAACAATTTGAAGCTTGGTAAGTAACCTAAGCAGATATGATGAGATAGCTAGCTCTAGCGCTGGAACGGAATGGGAATCAATATCAAGGCCGGGCCAAAAGCGAATGCATCAATGGGTGGGAGCTGCAGCGCTGGGCTGTCAGTAAGCGGGAAGCGAGGGAAGGGAAGAGAAAGATGGGAGTCATGACTCCTAAGCTCGTGCCTTTTAGGAGCCTTGAGACTGCAGTCACTGGCTAGCTTACAGAGCCATGCTGCAAGCCTGGCTTGTGTGTATGAGGAACTCCCGTGATTCCCCCCGACGGGAAGCAAGCTTGCTTAAGCTTATTTATTATTAGGAGCTGAAGAGCATGCTGTTATGAAGGATTATAGTGAAAGTGCAAGCCTTATTATAACCGTAGCCCTCGGTATACCAGGTATATCAGCAAGTTGATGACTATATAAATCCAGATCCTGAAAGCTGACCAGCTGCCCTTTTTTTTATTTATTTCATTTCATTTGATTTTAGTTTCTTCCTTTAAAAGGTGAGAGGATTCATTCATTTAAATACAAGTGAGAGGTAAGCTTGACTTGAGAGCTGCGGTCGTTAAATATAATTCGGATCCTTCTGTCCTTTTTTTCTCTCACTCTGACTCCCCTTCTTGCTCTCTCTCTCTCTCTCTCTCTCTCTCTCTCTTCTCCTTCTCGCTTTCTCTTCCTCTCCTTTCGCTTCACAAAAGCATCTATCTTTTATCTACGTGGCTGACGATAAGATTCGACGATATGGAGTAGTTGGTAGAGATCCAGACCCCACGATCCGAAAAAGTGGTTAGATCGATCTGGGTATACCAATACCGATATCTCGACACTATCGATATTGGCAATTCCCGGCCTGCTAGCCTAGATCAAATTTAACCAGGCCCGGAAGAGATTTGGATAGGAAGGGTTATCGATAAAAGCTGATCCTGGTTGGTTGGAAGCACCTCTCTCCACAAACTCTTTTTTTTTTGCTATTGTTCTGCCATTAGACATCGATTGTTAGGTAAGAGCGCCTTCAGTCTGTTTTTGAAGAAAGGATACCAAAGAGAGGAGAGAAGAGGAAAGGAGAGGAGAGGACATTACATTCTTCAGGCTGCTCAGATTGGCGGTTTGCCTAAGCTAAGTACTGACAGCCGACTTAGTCAAGTCTGTACCAAGTCAGTACTGAAGCAGGTGTATGTAATTGGTTGGTTGATTGATTCTCTGTGTTGAAAGGAATCAGTGAAGAATTGAATAAACTTCAACTCTCCTTCTTACCATCACCAGCTTTCATCACCATCAGCCATCACCATATCTTCTTCATCTTCATCTTCGTCTCCATCTTCATCATCAGCGCCATCAATAAAACCATTGTCGCTCTGGTATCAGATATCAACCTCTGTCCTGTCCCTTCTTTTGATTGCCTGTCTGTTAAGATCTCACCCCGTCCCTTGTTTCCTTCTCTCTACCAGCATCATCGCCCTTAAACCAGCCTCATTTCCCTAGAAATCCCCCAAGGGAAAGAAAAAAAAAAAAAAAAAAAAAAAAAAGCGGCCCTGCTAGGTCTGCTGGATCCTTCCTGCCTGCTTCTCCCCTGGCTGGCTGACTTGCTTGCCTGCCTGCTTGCCTGCCTTGTTTGCTTCAAATCCCGCCCCCACCAAGCTAGCTAACATCTTTTTCATTAAACCACCTAGTTCCGTGGAAGTAGCTGCTCAAGCTAAATAACTAAGTACTTCTCTTCATCGAACGAACGGAAAGATCGAACCACACCCCACAAAACCAAATCTTCTCAGGCATAACTCCCTCAACTACCTCCTCCCCAAGCCATTTTCCAGCAGCTGCCTGCGATCCCGGGTAGCTCGGGTGTCATAATCCTTCAAAACGTCTTCCGCACTCCGGAAACGAAAGCTGTTCGAAGGCGGTACCGAAGAGGACGTAACAGGATCCCCTAGAAGCCAGACACCAAATCCTCCGACTGAGTTTCGCTCACAAACCCCCCAGCCCGTCGACCTTTCGACGGCACCACCCTCGCAGTCGTCAATTGTACAACCTTCTTCTTCCTCTCTTGAAGTTGAAGTCGAAGGTGACGACTTTGCACTTACCACCGGGGAGCTTCGTGGTCCGGCATTCAACACACGCCAGCAGCGACATCGTTCGTCATCTCCCTTGGTCAGATCCGCTTCCACCCAGCAGGATACCTATCAACCATCACCTTCTTTCGATTACCCTTCCAACTTACTACTTTCCCAATCCTTCGCCTACGCCAGGTCTGACGACGGACTTGGTACGCCTCCCCCTCACGGATATATATCTTCCCCACAGCCTTCACAGATGGTCGAATCTCAGGCAGCTACTCCGCTGCCAAGCCAATTGGACGCTTCGGAGAATCTAGGACATGTAGCTGATATTGTCAATGGAATTGACAAATCATCACCCGAGGAAACTCAGGCTGGTATGTTCAGCCTTCTTTGCTCCTCCCTTTCTTTTCTTCTTCTTTTCCAATCATTAGACCACAAAAAAAAAAAAAGATAGTATGAGGTTTTATAGGCTGATAAAATCTAGATAAATCCGAGATGGACATCGATACGCAGAATCCTGAAAAGACTGCCGTGATCCGACGAAGTCCTTCCATTGACATGATAACTTCCCCTCCACCAACCATCGAGGAACCAATCTCCGAACCAGTAGCCGAAGATTTGGATTCAAAACTTGAAAGAATTGTGGGGGCGGCTAACGCCGCTATCGAGGAAGGCAAGAAATACTATGTTGTCCCCGGTGTTTGGTGGAAACGTTTCCTCGCTCAAGCGTCAGACTATGAGCCGACTAAAGAGGATGACTTCGATCCTTCACAACCTGTCCCGCCCATCGACACCACACCTCTCGTTAGTCATGTTGAGTTGCTCCCGAATGGAAAGACATTCCCAGTTCTCAGGGAGACCGCTCAGATGATTGTAGATTTTGATATCGTGCCTCAGGCAGTTTGGGATGAACTTGTCCGTGACTACGGACTCAAGGAAAATTGTCCAGTACTCGTTAGAGAAGCTATCAACACGGCTGATCGAGAGGCTGTATCGAAAAACATTACGGTGGACCTCAACCCACCGATTTATACCGTCTTCATGCTTACACCGTCGGCCAATATCACACACTCCCAACTCCGGGAAAGTGCACAAAATAAGAACCCATTGAAAATCCTCATAGGGAAAGCGGCGAAATTCCAAGAGCTTTTGCTAGATATCAAAGGTCAGCTTGGTCTAGAAATGAAAGACAAGATCCGCCTATGGAAATTTAAAGAGTCACACGCATTCAAGGCTCCAAACACCGCTAAAATCGACATGAATTCATTCATAGAATATGAATATGGCACAAACAAAGAACAAATTGACTTACCTGATAATACCAAACAGCTAATGGCCGGTACATATAAATCAACTATGACGCTTGTAGAAGCCGGTATCTCTCAAGAAAAATTTCTTATTGTCGAAGTAGAGGAAGATGGAGAATGGCCCTCGGAGCGTGTCGCCAAAGCTCTTAAACTCAATGGTGCTAATGGCGCGGTTGTTCGTGTTACTAAGGGTACACAAGTTACACAGAGCGTTTCGTCCGCAAAGACGACCACGGCGAACAAAGCTAAGGCCACAACTGCCAAGGCGTCTGCTCTATCAGCTCCGGTTATCCAGAGGAATGTCATGACTAGGAGAGATGGAAGGGCAGCTGGCGCCGTTGGCTTCTCGAACTTGGGGAACACCTGCTACATGAATTCGGCTCTACAGTGTATCAAATCGGTCGAGGAGTTATCTAGATATTTCATCGGTGCGTAACTACGGCGATTTCCCGATCAGTCTTTTTTTGTTTTGACACTAACAGCTTTTCAATAGAGGGCCTCCACAAAAGGGAACTAAACCCCAGAAATCCGATTAGTTCCGGCGGAAGGATCGCAACAATGTACGCCCAGCTAGTGGGTCAGGTGTACGGTCAAACAGCTGGCAGCACCGTCGCCCCCCGTGAATTCAAGGGAGCAGTCGGGAAGCATAATACTATCTTTAGCGGTTACGGCCAACAGGACAGCCAGGAGTTTGTGAGCTACCTATTGGATATTCTCCACGAGGACCTCAACAGAATCCATCAAAAACCTGTTGTTGAATTCCCAGACAGTACCGACGAGATGATTGGAAACCCTGCCGCCATTGCTAAACTCGCGGAAGAGAACTGGGAGTTATATCGCAAGAGGAACGATTCTGTCATCATTGATTTGTTTGCTGGTATGTATAAGAGCACGGTTACTTGCCCGATCTGCGAAAAAACTTCGATCAAGTTTGATCCTTGGCTCAGCTGTCAACTACCCTTACCGGTGGAGAACTTATGGACCAAATCCATCACCTTTGTACCCGCTGCAAAAACCATTTCAAAATATGAAAAGCTAGTTACGGTCCACGTTGAGATGGAGAAGTTTGCCACCATCAAGCAGCTTAAGGACTATGTGGGTACAAGAGTCGGGGTTGGCATCAAGAAACTCGTTGTTTCGGAAGTCTTTAGGAATAAATTCTACAAGCACCACGAAGACAATAAGACCGTCTCCGAAGCCATTATGCCTAACGATCAGATTTACGTCTACGAAGTCGAGGAAACGCCTACGAATTTCCCACCACCAAAGCGAAAGAAGCAGAGGACGTATGGCGGCAGATTAACTATGTCAAATATGTTCATGACCTCTTGGGATGACGACGAGTCAGAGGATGACTTTGACAAGACGGAGACTAAGGAGCTATTAGTACCTATTTTCAACCGATTATATCGGGATAACCGAAGAATGGGAGCTGACCTCTTCGGCCTTCCGTCTTTTATCGTTCTGAACCGAGAGGAGCAGAAAGACCCGGATGCGATCCTGAAGAAATTGGTGACCAACCTGCAGAAGTTCACTACCAGTGATATTTATTCCCCGGAGTTAGCACCAAAGAAACCTAGTCCACCGGCTGCGTCTACTGACACTGCTTCTTCTGATTCGAACACTTTGGACGGAGAAGGCGAAGTTGTCGATATGCCTACCACAACTTCGAAGGAGAGCGACACTGATACCAATACTGAAGACTTTGTGGATGTCAAGATGGGTGATGCGGAGTCTGATGTTAATGTTGAGATGAGCGGAACACCTGCAACTACAACGACTATGCAAAGCGAGATTCCCTCTGATCTTCTTGCTCTCTGGCGTACCCTTTTTAATACCAAGATTATGCCCAGGAAGGGATATGTGGTTCTGCCGACTGCATGGAACGGGATTGAGTTGAACCTTGAGACTATGAAATCGAGGATTGTTGAAGTCCCTGAGCCAGTAGCTAAAAATGGTAAATACCTGAACTCTCCTCCGGCTTCTGATGAAGACGATGAGGAGTCGAAGGATGATATGGAGAGTGAGGAGGATGTTACCGAACCCGCTGTTTTGGAGAAGAAAGGCGCTTTCAGCACTATTGCACCTTCCAACTTCTATGGAAATGGCAACAAGTCAGCTTCCAAGAAACCAGTTTCAAAGAAAGCGGGCAAGCAGCCTGTAATTCCGGATCCTGTTCAACCTGCACTTATCCGACTGGGTGAGGGGATTGTTTGTGACTGGAACCAGGAAGCCTTTGATGTCGTTTTCGGTGGAAGATCCGGTGACTCTTTCCGAGGAGCCTCCCATTTTGATGCTCAAGAAGAGTTTGTCGACGAAGATTTGCTGAAGAAGAGGAAAACCCGCGAGGCTCGAAGGCGCCGTGGGATCCATATCGACGACTGCTTTGACGAATTTGGGCGTGAGGAAATTCTCAACGATGACAACCAATGGTATTGTCCAAGGTGTAAAGAGCATCGCAATGCGAAAAAGTCGATGCAAATCTGGCGCGTCCCGGATATCATTGCATTACAATTCAAGCGGTTCTCGAGTACTAGAAGTTTTCGAGACAAGATTGATGCGGCGATTGATTTTCCTATTGAAGGGCTGGATCTTACAGGTAGGGTACTAGAAAGCGATGGCAAGAGTCTAATTTATGATCTCATTGCTGTTGACAATCATTTCGGAGGACTTGGTGGTGGCCACTATACAGCCAACGCCAGAAACTGGGTCGACAAAAAGTGGTATTATTTTGACGATTCGAGTGCTAGGCAGACGCCAGCCTCGAGTATCAATGGTAGCGCGGCTTATCTCGTGTTCTACCGGCGAAGATCTTCAGATATTCTTGGTGGGCCGACCATAGAAGGTATGCTTGAGACCTCGATAAACCGCAACCTCGACGATGAGAGCGATGATTCCCCAAACGGCCGTGGGTCCCCAAACGGGGACCCTTCCTCTTTTTCTGGAGCGCGTTACTCTTCGGGCTCGCAACTAGCTTCATCCTCACAGTATTATTCGGCGGGGGACGGGTCGCGCTCCTACGGGGTTGGTGGAACCTCGTCGTCGATAAGACAGGAGACTTTAGGAGGCGTGAGTAGAGGGGTCACTTCATTCGCTTCCGGGCAGTCAACACCACCACCCGAAGAGAAAGTTTACCAATCATTCCAGATTACCTCAGATGACACATATTATGACGCTAGCCACCCAAGCAGACCGCCGGTAACTTCGACTACATTGTTCGGATCGCCATCTTCAGGTATCGGTTCTTCGAGTGCGTATCGGGGATCTACTGGAGCACAATACGATTTTGGTTCTTCGACGGGATTTGGATACGGAAATGATGGAGGCTTGGACGCCGACGACGACGATTTCGGGATGGGAGGGCCAGATTCGCCTACGTATTTCCAGGATTCGGAAGATGAGGAGGTCGTGGAGTTAATCCACGGGCCTCGGCCCTTTAATATGATGTCGCCTGGTTATTTCGACACCTACGACTCTGATAGTAATGTCCCCGGATCCGGAACGCTTTCCTTTGCACCAACTTACACTGTTATTTCGAGGAATAGTTTACATGTCAAGCGGTATGAGGACGTAAGGACGGAGTTGATGTCGACACTCTCTGAGGGGTCGTACGCCATGACGCTTGTCATGAAGAAGATGGTGGGGCCAGCAAAGCCGTGCGTGTTGATTATTACCGACCAACTTGCTTTAGGGCCCGAGTTGGAAATGCTGTGTGGGGGGATGGGGTTAGAGATGGAGATTATTGATGGAGAGGTTACATTCAACTATGAGTTGCCGGTGCCCATTATGATGACGGTTTCACCGACGATAAAGGGAAATAATGATGTTGGGGTGTTGATTGGGCCTGCTGATGGACCTAGGCGTTTTTCAGCGGTCAGCTTGTATGTGAGAGATAAGAAGGCACCCAATGAGGTTTATGCACTTACTACGGCGAGCGCTTTTGCCTTGAGGGAGCCAGAGACAGAGACAAATATTCCTCCAAGGCTACTTACGGCGCTTCTGCCGGAGGGGAGTATTGTGAACAAGTTTGCAGGGCAAGAAGGTGCAGGGGATGCGTTTGGAACTCTCACTGGGATGTGTGAGTTCGAGATTGTCGAAGTAGGATTAGAAGAGGAGGCAACGGACAGCGCCATGTTAAACTATGCCCTTGTAAAAGTCAACAACAACAAGGTCGGGTCAAACGCTGTGCATTCCAGAGGCATTAAGCGACCTGTTTCGACGATACTTGGAGTGGAGAGCGTGCCCGAGAAGATGAAAGTTGTGGTTGTTCAGGGGGCTGCAGGTGGCGGGCAGAAGGAAGCGAAGTACAACGCTGTTGTGGTAGACGTACATGATACCGCACGATTCCCTCAACGGCCGTTCCAGATGTATGCGCTCTTCGGTGAAGGGAGGGATTTGATCACTCCTGGGGTATTGGGAGCCGTCTGCTGTTCACCGCAAAAGAACAATGTGTTTGCAGCTAGTGGGATTGTTGCGGGACGGGCTAAGTTGACGGGTGGCTACGGAGAGGGTGGTTCCATTTTACAGTTTGTGGACAGTGTGGATTGGATTCTGGAGAGGATTCGGGTAAGGTTTGATGTCGAATTAGAGGTCCTGCCAGCGATGCCTTGAAGGAGGGGGGGTCATGGGAGGGTGTAAATGATTGATTGATGGTGGGATATTTCCCGTTATGTTTTCTCCCCTGGCTCTTTTTCCTTCAAATGCTTATGATGTTCCTTTTCTTTCTTTTCTTATCAGTCTGTTCTTTCGCCTCTTTGCCCGGTTTCTTTTCTCATATAAAATACGAATCGTTTGTCTTTTAGGTTATAAATGATTACTGTGTGTCCATAGATGGGGTCAGCTAGAGCAATGTGAATTTTTTGGTTACCAATAGATAGTTGAACAACGCATATTTGGATACAAAATCCAACAAGGATGGATCGAAGGTCAGGTCTCAGATCAGCTCATATCGTTACTTACTTGCTAAGTACCTATATATCTTGTATTTATATTGATATTTTATATAAGATCCGCTGGTTTATCAGTGGGTGGGTAATATAAAAGTATAGGAGGTGGTTTATTAAGCTAAGCTCCTACTTGCTTCACCATCCATCTCCTCGAATAGGATGGAGACCAACATATACCTTTTCCATCCGGCGTACATACATTTATAAACCACACCTACCTCTAGCCTGACGGATATAACAAAATTTCCTTCTTCCCTCTTGCTTCCTATACCGTCCGTTCCTTCTTCCTTTCTAACAAACATTTTTCACAAAGATGACAGCGGAATACTACTTCGGTCATAATCACATGCCACTCTGGCAATTCATCGGACTCCTAATAATCTTCAGCATCCTGATCGGTTCTCCGGCTTTCGTTTGTTTCGTTTACCACCGTCGCAAAGAGCGAGATAGATTGCAAGATGTCAACCGACGAGCTTTGGCACAGAAGCATCGACCGGAGTTTGTAATCGATGGAAGGGACTACTATCTACTTCCTTTTCCTCACAAGGATATTGAGAGGAGACCATCAACTAGTAGGGGGGAAACACCAAGGCAAGAAAGTAGCGGGGGGAGCACGGTACCCCTGTTGGTTTTGAATGGTAGAACAACCGAAGGGTCAGCGAGTGCCTCGCCAGTGATGGGAAGAATTCATAGGCAATCGAATCTAAGTTTTGATGGAACCTCCATGGCTGTATCGATGGAGCAGGAAGCCGTCTTGAACGCCAATTTTGCGGAGAGAACGGGGACGGTTACTTCTGTTGCGTATCCTCAGACGGCACACAGAGGTTCTCGGTCTGATAATAGAGGAAGAGGGGGGACAGGGAACTATGGAACCTTGGGGAATGTGATGCATAGTACTTACACTGCAGCACAGCGGGCGTATAGAGGTCGACATCGGTTGAATTTTTGGAGTGGGTTGATGCAACAAGTTCCTTGGGTGAAGGACCGGGGAGGGAGGTTGGAGGCCATTGACGAGGAGAGTGTGGGGAGTAGTCGGTTTTCGAGGGGCGATAATCAGAAGGGGGGTAATAAGAGAACTACTGCTACAACTACGGCTATTACGACTAGTGGAGCTTCTTCAAATGCCGATGTCAATATTATGACAGCTAGAGGGAGTGTCTATAGGGGGGTAATAGTGGGAAGCACAGGAACTTTGAATACTGAGAGTTCCGCTTATACTATGAGCAGGGGGACACCGCCAACGTTTGAAAAAGTCGATTCAAGAGAGCCGTATAATCCCAATATGGCGAGGAGTTTGACAAGAAGGCTTTTGAAGTTTGGGTTTGATCAAGTTAGGGACGGCGTTGGTAATCCTGAAAGAAGTGAAAAGGGGGGTGAATATGAAAGGGGAGAAGAGGATGAGGAAGATGGGAAAGGGAGGCAGATTAGTGGAGTTTGGAAGAAGGGTGTTGAATTGAAGAAACGGGCTTTAGAAAGAAAGAAATTGGAGACTGGAAATCGATTGTTTAGTTTTCAGAAAAAGAAAGTGGGCGATGATTGGGGTGACGAAGAAGATATCGATGAGGGGCAAGAAGGTGGTGACAGCCACGCTGAGGAAGGCGGGACGAGTCCAGATGATTTGGCAAAGACCTCGATTAGAGACTTCGCTCATGCATTCAAGAAGGATATCGTCGGTAGTAGCAATGATTACGAGGAATTTTCACCTACGGGAACCGTTCGGATTCATCACATTGATGATGACGATGATGATGATGCAGGAGAAGACCAACAGTCTACTATTCTTTCCGAAGACAAGGAAGCCATTATATCTTCGTTGACATCACCCGAAGCAACTTCTTCTTCTTCTTCTACTTCTTCTCCCACCTTCGACGATGTTGCCGTTGATTCTTCCCCGATTACTAATGAGAACGTCCCTACAATTACCATTAACACGACCTCATCTTCGACTACCACACAAATCGAGATTTCGACGCCACCAATGGGGACCCTACGCGGCAGGAAAACTTTGAGAGATAAGGGTTCCGTTCCCGGGACCCAGAAGATGAGGATGGCGAGAAATACGCCTAAGAATACTTTAGGCAGGTCATCTTTACAGGCTCCCAATTCCTTTGAGAGTCTCCCTAGTGAAGATACAACCGACCGAGTTGTTGGAATCAAAGTTGATATAGAGGTTACTGATGGTGGGGAGATTATTATGCTGGCTGAAGATAGTACTAAGGAGGATTTGGGAAAGAATGCTTGATGTTTCCTTCATCTCCCTGTCTTTCCTTCCTTTCTTTTTCGGCTTGTTTCCTTAAGGGGTTCTGTGGTGTTATGATATCGATGGGTATTGGTTTTGGGCACAGGAGTCTTTTGTTCATCGTGGTTTCCTAAGTTTGAATAAAGGGTTAACCGGCCGGGTTTAGTTTAAAGAGCATGATACGGAGCTGCATTTAGTCCTTATAGACTACAAAGAGCTGTGCGGGTTTTAATTCACGAATACTATAAAAATTAGGGGGTTCATTGCATTATCATTTGGGTGTCTCGAGTGGTAGTAGGTGAATTGAGTGAGTGTGGGTGTACATGATACATGAAGAAGCGTACAAACATTAAGGCGAACCGGAAGCAAACGTAAAAAGAACTAGCATCCATGTGAAAGAACACTTAGCTGCCTCCTTAGAGCACGTACAGCCAAATTGAAATACAAAACAAATGGAAATACAAAAAAGAGAAAGGTCATATGAATATGCGTGCTGTGCTGTGCTATGTGCAGAAAACAACCACATCCAACCGAATTGACGCCGGTACGATATCACAAAATTAACATAAACATGATGGACAACAATGAAAGGTCGCCGATATCCACCCCCCCTCCACCAAAAAAAAAAAAAACCTTGAAATCCGAAATTTAGCCTTCCTTATCTCTTACCGTTCAATGCCTTCGTGACTCTCGAGGTAACGGTCTCATTCCCACTGTCACCCTCGCTATCACTGCTCAAACTACCCCGACTCTCCTGTCGATAGCTTCTAGCTGCGACAGCACGTCTATCTGCAGCAGGCTGCGTTTGCTTCCCCCGTTGCTTACCCATAACAATCTGACCAGTGGGGACAGGAGAACTAATTCTCTTAGGGTTGATACCAAGACCCAAGGGATGGTGATAGACTTTTGTTCCCAAATCCCCACGGGCGGATTCTCTGAACTGCTGGGAAAGATCGGTTTCATTGTCTGAGTCTGAGTCTGAGTCGGTGGTACAGCAGGAGCAGTCGGATGGGCATTCGCTGTCTGAAGAGTCGGTGCTAGCAGTTCGGTATGTACCAGCAGACTCCTTGCGGCCGGTACGGGAAGAAGAAGAGTATTGTGATTTTTGATGGTTACGCCGGGATGTTGAGCCTCTCTTGGTTGGATCTCTACCCATCGGGTACGAGTATGTCTTTGTGCCCTTGGAACCTGAGGTTGCTGCCATTTTCTTCGGCGGGGAGGTGACAGCTGGCGATGGACGAGAGATGGGTTCGGAGTAGACTGTGAAGGCAGCGTCGTCCGAGGCCTCGAAAGACATACGGCGAGACCCTTCGGTTTCATCTGGAATAGTGGAGAGATCAGGGTGTGCGGCTGCTCTTTGGGTTGATTTACGCTTTGGGGCAGCGGGGCGAGAGGACGATGAAGATTCGGCACGTCTGGATTTCTTGGTAGATTGTCGTGGACCCATCGGTTTGGATTTATCAGAACCTTCGGTTGGGGCGTATGCATACGCATAACGGGAAGGGTTTCGACCGACGTTCTTTGTTGAAAAACCAGTACCCCGTTGATCAAGCCTTGCTTCAGAGATATCGGATTCAGCGATGGTGGATGGGGCTGGGACAGGGTGTGGATTGTATGACTTCATGCGAGCTGGTTCCTCATCGGCGTACGATTCAAGATCCGGGTCGCGGTTTGTAGAAGTCGGCGAATTGTCCCGTTTCCGTCCCCAGCGAGAGAAGATACTACGCTTGCTATTGCTGCGTTCCGGTTTCTTGGCCCATTTCGCCTTGGGGGCTTCTTTGTCGTTAATTGCACGATCGCCGCCACGATCTTTACCGCGACGACCGCTGCGACCGCTGCGACCAGCTTGAGACTGTTTCTCGGTTTGGGCATAATCGCTCGTTCCTTCAGTTTGGTAGGTCAAATCGGTGACAACAGTATCCGGAGCGCGAGTACTACCCGAGGATATAGTCTTCCCATCTGGGCCCTTCTTTCTCATAACCGAAGACTTGTAATCATCCCAATCATCTTCCCTCCACTGAAATCCACCCTTCTTCAAGAAGAACCACCAGACTGAAATAGCCATTGTCCCTCCGAGGATAGCGAAGATAGCGATTATTCCCTTGGAGAAATCTTTGGGATTTGCGTATGGATTCCTCTTTTCGAGGGACTGGGCCATTGCAGCGTCTATGGGAGTGCCTATAAGGCTGTCGGCAGAACGGGTGTAGATGCTGATGATTGCATCCTTGAGAGTTGATGCTGTCGGTGCCATCTTTAGAAGAAATCTTGGAGAGCTTATGCTCTATCCAGTTGGTTCCCTATTTTGGAGGTCAGTCTACCAGAGAGGGTGGTGAAGGTGACCCGACCAGTTATAGTTTTGATATTGATATTGATTGATCCTGGTGATATCTCGAGCTCTTCACTTAACTCTATTAGCTTGTGAATAAGTCAAGCGGGATGAATCGCTGGACAGGGTAAAGGACATAACATACCTTTGAAGCCTCCGTGATTAAAAGATTGTGAAGTTCAAACAAAAACCCGCCGTCAGTAGATGGTGAATGCATTCAAAGTCGCACACAGCTGCTTTTGCAGTCGAAGAAGCTATGCAAGTTTGGGTGTGTTGGCAACATTGTTTACTAGTGGCGGCGTTGCCAGGCCGTTGGCAGAGCAACACACCAAGTTGCCTGGTGTGACGTCAACACATTTACTATGTCGATTCCTCAACACAACACATAACTTCCAACTCATTGCTGTGCCATGCCGACGATTCTGGTTACGAGACTGGCCGACGATGGGTTACATTCTGTATTTCTGCGCTCTAGGCTGTTGCATCTTGACATATCGATAGCGTATGATTGCGGCAAGCCGGAACAAACGGGAAGGTGCAGAAGCGCCGATATCGTATTATACTTCTTTACTCTGCCATTGAGATACTTTGCAAATGTTGCTGTCATGTTGGACAGTGAAAATGCAGTTCCGCGGAACACACCTTCATGAAAGATATCTGCAATTGATGTTAGCTGCGCCGTTCGTTGTATATAGGCCAGTACGGTGCAGCAGGTACGCCTGAAGAAAAGTCAATAGCACAGCATGCCAAATGCATTGAATGGCAGCTGCCATTAATTAATTCTGCAGGACGGCCCGCTCGCAAAATAACTCAGGAAACTACATAAGTAATTTCAAGGAATATTGATCTGCAGTTTGATCCTGACGGCACGGAGTATAACAAAATATGTGTACATCTACGGCACTCAAGGCAAAGCAATGATATATATCAATCATTTACATTTTCAAGATACATCCAATACAGGAATATTAATGTTACACAGCAGTTAAACCACTCAGTTATCAACCAATACCGGCATTATAACCCACAATGGGTTATTTTCTTTGGTCAACCCTTTGCCTTATCGCTGCATAAAAAATGCAACAATGGCTTAGCCAGCTACGGATTATAGCGAATTAAATGGTAAGTACAACCGAGACTAAGCATATTAACCTAGCGAATACTTAGTTACAGGCGTCCCGGTACAAATTCCGAGTTGACGGCCCTGGCAGGATCAAAGACGCGAACGACGTGTCCACCCCTCTGTGGCATCGCTCTGCCAAATTCATGCAGTCGAGTGGCTGGAACCTCTGTGTTTTTCGCTCATACCCGGTCACGGCGGCACTAGATTCAATCAATTGGCCAATTGGTGTGATAGACCCGAATCACCTTCACAAAAATCCTAAAAGGTTTAATACACATTGATGACGGGGTTCCGGAATCCTCTTATACTTACTTGGGAAGCTACATGTACATAGATCCTATGGAAAACAGCGTGGCACCCTACAGCCCATTCAATAGCGAAGAGAGCTCGAGAGGCTCAATTACAATTGCGAAGCTGGTACATACGTATCACGTATCCATATTATGCGCGTCAATATAGCTGTGCCGTCGATATGCATGTTTCTCAATCTTCCATTCCTTATTCGCATGGGAATTCCCTCCTTGTTTTTACCTTATAGGTCGTATGAACTCCCTTGCAATATCTCAACCATGTAATATTTCTCCGACCGACGGGGTTAACTGGATTGGGTAGGTATATGTGAACTCGGAGTTCTGCGTGGACTTTTCCCGGAATCCAATGCAAGAGCAATTCAGGCAGGGACGGTCGACGCATAATGCTTCCATCGGCGCTAGAACTGAAGTGCTGTATGGCCCATTACGGCACATTATAGTTTTCGTTCTTATAGAATCTCCAACGTGCACTTCAATTGAATCCAACATGAAAGCTTTGAATCCAACACTTGATTTAGGCTTTCTTGAGCCGCGCCTTGTATCGAAGTTTGACATTCTAAGCCTTAATATAACCGGGGGATTACACTCACCTTTGGGGCTTCAATTGCAATATATCCCATTCACGCGGAAATGCCGTCTATTTCAAGAGCCACCGTGCATATCTTGAAACGTCGGAATCACTATCACGTTGGGCTTGCGCCTAAACCTAAGCCATGAGTCTAGTGCCGGTCCGCCCGCTTGTTTCAGTTACGGCCTGGCACGCTGTCAAAAATTGGGTTCTCGAGCTAGGAGAAAAGCAAGAGAAGCTCGAGATGGTATCCACTTTCTCGACCATGTTGTTGTTCAGATGTTCCTAATAATAAGCCTTCACACCACCACCACACCCGACTGCAATTGCGCAAGTGTAGGCGCTTAGGCTCAATATTTCGTGGAATGACCAGAGAGAAGCTTATCCTGGCTGAGGTGAACCAATCATGAGGTATCATTCGAACCGCTTCCAGCTTTCGGCCCTGCAAGCCAAGGCAGATACAGCCAATCATAAGCGATAAACCCCAAAGAAGATGAGACCCTGAACGGGAAGCCCCACTACCAACAACAGCTCGAACGACACACCTCAGAAACAACGTTGTCGAATCATTTTCGCCCATTCTCACTGCTACGCATCGGTTAGGTTATGGGGGTAATAACAACTTTGGATGATCATTACTTTTGTTTTACTTTATTTTATTTTATTTTATTTTTTTTTTTTTAAAGATATGAACCGTTACGTTCAATTGTGGTATCCCACCTAGCATGTATGATCCAGTCAGACGACCCTCTCCATTTCAAACCTTGAGAGGGCCGGGAAACATCTCAACGCCTATCGATATCAGCCGCTATGTTTTGGTTTCATCTCTTCTCCCAAGAATTCCGCATTGGGGAAAATCCGATAACGATACCGCTTCTTTGGCCTGTAAAAATAGACGGAAATAACAAAGCTTTGAAATGGTGGGTCTTCATTCTTTGTTTTTAGATCGAAAATATTTCCCGATTGAGTCAATCAAGAGCGGGGAGAGTCAAGGGTACCCTGAGTGTATGTATCTGGTACATGTCAACTTTGACAGCGAGCTACGAAGTCTAATAGTACTATAGTAACCCTTTGATATAATAGTGACAAGGCGTAGTTAAAAAATCCCGTTTTCATCGAACACGCCCCTGTAACCGGTCTAATGGTTAGGCGAAGTACTGCATCATGCGGGTACATGTACTTATGACATGTATTCTAAAGGATGCCGGGTAACCCTGGACCGAGGGACAGCCCATTACATTTTTGAGACTTATCCCATCCGACCTGGCCAGGCCTAGATGTGTGTAAGGTTGAAAGGAATGGGTATATTTACAGTCGAGGATCGCCTCGTCGGATTGCCTCTTTTTTCTCATCCAAACTTTCAAGCGGCATTGAAGCGCTGGATTTCGACTTCGTCCTTCTTCTTCTTCTTCTTTTTTTTTCAGAAACCTCTCTTACATTTCAATTCGAGAATTTATATATTTCCTCCACTTTCGATAGAAAACATTCCAACATATACAACACTTTGGGATTTCCTCGAAGACTATCTCTTTATTGACGATAATATACTATACCAGACTATTCTTCTACAAAAAGTCATTTCCTGTTATTCTTGTTATACAAGCTATATTGTCCTTTCATTACCACTTCCAGTTTCTATATAAATATTTGTCCTGCTCTTCGATTTCTTGAACAACAAACGCTAGCTTCGAATTGTTAGATCCGACATATACAACGGAACTTTGTACAACTTTACTATACTGCCGCAACATCCAACAGAGGACACCTACAAGTTATACAACAGACACCTGATACCGATAGTACTCACCTCGCAAGCTGATCACCTCATCTTCATACTCGGGATAACCGTAAATAGTTACTTTGAGCTCTTAAGGTGTTTTATAAATTTTATAAATACCCAGAAGCTGTTGTCACATCTTGTTAGTATACATCTCTCCCTATTGCATAGCAGAACGATCGATCCAGAACAGTTACCCCCAAAACTAATATCTAGTTCTTACAATCATAAAGATTATATAGTGGTCTTATAGAATATATCATCCAAGATGCCTTCCGTTTTTTCCTGCTTCGGCCGCATCTTCAAGCGCCGTAAGAACATGAAAATCTCCTCCCCAATGGAAACCACCCCGGAGGGACCTCGTCCCGCCCGTAACGCCTCTAAACCTCCATTGAGCGTCAAAACCCCAAACCTCAGTACATTTGGTGCACAAACTGCTCCAGGCCCACGAAGCCCAAATCTAGTCTATAGTAACAATAATAGTCGAGGAAGCATCATAAGTCGCCGTCCGAATGTCACAAATAGCAATCCCACCATCTCAGTCAGTACCCCAGGGGCTACTTCGTTCCCTCTTACATCGCCTCAAGTTCCAAATTTCTTTACAAAGTCTTCCTCCTCTTCACCTTCACAAGAAGAAGTTTACTTGACCGATGAAAAGAAGAATTCTTCTTCTTCTGAATTTCCTCGCACGCCTGGAACATTCGACTTCGACGCCACCCCCCGCATTCACAAGATCTTTAAAATGCTATCACCGCCACCAACTAAGCTCATTTTTACTGAAGCCGTAAGACCGGAGCCTGTGATCGTCGAACCGAAAAAGTCCATGGCGAGTCGGATCTCAAAGCGTCTAAGCAGACGCTGGACTAGCAAAAACATGAATTTTAACACCAGCAACACCAACGTCTCAATTACATCTTCTCCAAGGCCTCGAGATCTAGGAACCCCACGATCAATACCAGAGATGTGCTATAGTCCACAATATATACCAGGAGTCTCTTACGAAAGTAGTCTTCCATCGTCACCACGTGTGTATACTACACCACTATCTCCACCTCCAATTCCTTCGTTACCACTATCTGCTAGGAACGGGTTAGGACAGTGTCTTACCACCCGTCTTCCAAATGGAGAAGTGAAGCCCGTCACGATGGTTCCACAGTTGAAGCTTTCGGTACCGATTTTCTCGAGGGTGCAAGCCCTTGAAGCGACACCTATTGAGGCTAGTCCCGTTTGCGATCCTTGGAGACACAGGAAGGAGGAGATCGAGGGGATGTCTGATCGCCACCAGGCTTGGTTGCTTTGATCCTATCTACATATAACCATCTCTTTTGTTACTATATTGTAAACTTTTGTTCTTTTGTTCTTTTTTTTTGGTGTTGGAAGGAGTTCAAAACTGATATTTACAGAATTATTTTACGGTCCGTTCTTTGGATACCCGGGAAGGGTTCATCATTCGTTGAAGCTATATAGATACAGGAGTTTCTTTTCTTTCTTTTCTCTCTCTTTTTTACCTTCCTTACCTTCTTTCCTTGCCGCAGCTGGAGCGTTTTGCGAATGGCCATTTCTACTTTTCATTTGTCAGGTGGTTGTTTCCCTTTCTTTTCAAACTTACAATATTGGAGCTAGTCGTTTCATTTCCTTTGTCTTTACCAAACGCACTTCAGCTTTTCAGACACCGGTTTGCAATACAAAACCCAGTTTTCTTTTGTACTTAAAAAAACTTTTACCATAACTAAGTATATATAGATACATATTCTCTTCAAATCAATTCTGAATTCAAGACAAAAAAAGTAAAGCAAAATGCTTTTAATTCCCTTGTGTTACTACTAACAGTGAGTGATTTCTAGGCTACAAGACAAACCTAAGATATCATAATGAATGCTGGACTGGAGGAATTGATAAGAAAAAAAAAAAAAAGTTAATAGTTCTATGCTGTGGTCCCCAAAGCGGAATTACTCCATCAGGCTCTCTTCCTTATCCTTTTTTTCACCAATGAAGACGTCAATCTTCCCGCTCACGGTAGCGATGGACCCCTTGCTCTTTCCTTCACCCTTGATAACCTTCCAGAATCTTCCAACCAAGCTTTTATCCTTCTTGACGACTTTAGTGCCCCTGCCATCAACTTCAATATGACCACTGGTGGTCTTAAGTTTCAAACCACCTTGCCAGTCCTCAGGGTACACAACCGAGATATCACCGCTGACGGATTTATGCTTGGAATATAGTGGGCGAGGGTTAAGCTGGCTAACAAACTTGACTTTATGGTTACCATTTACGGTAGAAGTCTTCAACCAGCCGATCTTTTCAGGACGGTCGGAGGAAACGATGTTGGCAACGATATCTCCCTTTGTAGTTTCCAAGGCCAATGCGTGATTGAGTGGGAATTCACCAGCGATGTTACCAGATACAGTGTGAAGACGGAGGTTGTTGATGTCCAAACCGTTCTTGTCGGATGATTTCCCAAAGGAAGTTATTGTTCCAGCGACTGTGGAGAAAGAAGTAGAGTTGATGGGTGTGGTGAAGGAGTTTTTGATCCAAATAGGGAGTTGAATGGTGCTGACGTGAAGGGTATCGAGATCGTAGTCTTTCTTCTTCGGAATAACAAGGAATACGGTGGCATTAACTTTTCCTCGAGAAACTGGCGAGAAGGGATCGAGTTTGAAGATGATACCGTCTCTAGCTGGCTGAACAACAAGCTCCTTACGAAGTGAGGAGTCGGAAACATCGAACTTGAAGTGAGCAGAGATGTTGGAAGCCTTATCACAAGCATGGACAATGAGGTTTCCGACGACCTCGACACGGGATGGCTTGTGGAAAGATTCTTGTTTGATGTAAAAGTTCCTTAGAGAGGCATCGAAAGTGTAGTGTTCGACTGGGACTTTGAATGTGGGGTCTTCGAAGTCCATGTCCATATTTGGCTGTGGCATTTCCGGGGCAGGCTGTGGGATGATATCAATGTCACCAGGGCGGCGATGTTTCTGTATATTCTGATATCAGCATCGATCCTTCCATAGAAATTAAAAAGAATAGATTACAGAAGAATCAAGACTTACGTGACAGCCAAATCCACCACTGAAAACAGGAGCAAATGCACTGAATACCATCCAGAGACCTGCCATGGTGAGGAAAACTCTAATACATCTTCGCCAAAGGGGACGCTTCGGTTTCGGCTGTTGAAGTTCGACTTCCTCGATGAGGTAGACGGTCTCCGGATGCTTCTCGTCAGTATATCTCTCCATTTTGTCTCTTTTTCTCTTCCAACTGATTGTTTATTTTCCCATAAGATTCCTCAATTATCTTCAATATAAAAAAATAACTAATTGAAGATGCAGAAGTTGATGTTTAAATTGGAATTAAATTGTTGAGGAGGCCGTGTTGTTTTATATGGGTAATTTTGGCAGAGTGGAAAATACGTCATGGCACTGACGCGGCCTAGCTGAGCCTAGCTTAGCCATAACTAAGCCAGTCGTCATAATGAACGCTCTTTCGGCCTGATCATTCTAGTTTTACATTCCGTTCCGCGTGTATGCAATCTTATTTCTGTCCGCGGATTGCGCCGTCTTCATTCGGCTGCCGAAGGGCTCTGGCATGTTCCGCCTGCCGAACTGCTGGGCCTTTCTAACCATCTTTCTGGTTGGGGATCTTGAGGTAATATAAAATACAATCCGGGGAGAAGATCGAAGATCGAATTCGAAGGAGGCTAGTGCTGCTAGCTGGCTAAAGGAGCGGAATGGAAGGCTTTCTTGATCCAACGGTTTTGGCCACCAAATCTGGGGTAAAACAGCCGCAACCGCACAAACAGCAGATGGCCCTATAAATAGGTGGAAGTCCGAGGAATTGGCTAAAAGGTTCGGAAAATTGGCGGGCGATGCAAGCAAGATTATATATTGGCTTTAATTATAATCTTCGAGTTCTCAGTCTGGTAAAAGCTATACAGTGGCACATGCTCGTGCCATACTGTATTCGGTACTGTTGTACTACCTCCCTAACTGCCTGCTAATATCGTTAATGGCTGCACCATGGTAGTATAGGTACAGGTATAAGCAATGTAATACGATCGGATCGATATATCAGAGTAGCCATGGTCGTGGGTGGTCTGTATAGACGTCCGTGGAATAGTTCGAGACCGAAGTTGGGGTGCTTGATACCCAACCCACGGTTGTGTTGTGCCATGTGTTGCGGCCTGGCTCAACCCTCGAGCCAGACAGATTTCAGACTCCAAGCACGGGCTCTAGAACGGCTTCATGATAGGATGCCGGCCGCCTGTCAGACCTTCTCGATTGATTGATAAGTCGTCCCGAGCCGAAACAATGGGAAGTTCGCTTTTTGTGGATGTCTGGGATCAAGCATTTCTTGTAGTGCATTTCTTGGTGTGCATTGGCAGGTGGGCAATGTGGAGCTGTCTCAGACCTTCTTTCGAGGCTTCTACTGTTTTTGGCAGCTGCTTCTTCACCATAATCTGCAACTTCCACTGCAACTTGCTTCTTGCAACTGCAAACTCTATACTATGCGCAGTACATCTGGCCTGGTGTCTCCTGGTCCCAATTTAACATTTAATCGATCAAACTTCAAACATGGTATGCCCTGTCTTCGAAAAATTTTCACTTTCTGGTCACCGCTATACCTTATTTCGATGCATGTGCTCAATAGCATTGTACGATAAGTGATTGATATTATACCGAGAGTGTCTAGCTCTAGCTAGACCGATTAATATCCAGTCCCTGGAACCGGCGTTTGAATCTTGATTGAGGAAGGTGATACCGCAGATACCCTTTTCGAATTCTTCGGAGCGTCGGCAGCTAGCTGCAGGAACAACATCGAACATATCGGCCTTAGATCCGGGTTCACCAGCATTTGAATCTAATAACTATAGGCTAGATTGATGGATTGAATTCAATTGAACAGCTCGTTCTAGCAAATACACGGCCAATTGCGAAAAGGAAAGCAGGTTAATATACTTAGATTGATTGACCCATCATATCAGCTAGTTCATTCAATCAATGCATCCTGGGGTACTATCGAAATGAATCCATGCACGAAATTTAAAAGCGAAGCAAAGCAAAGGCTGGAGCATATCGACCGGAGTCCACGGCTAATCTACCAGGCAGACAATCGAATCGGGCCTATAGCGCCTACTCAGCTTTTTTTTAGTTGACATGATGCATTACAACATCAAACAGAATATATCGGCCCATCTACCTAGTTCAGCTTGAGCTTTGTTGCATTGCAAAGCCCACCGGCACCGGATTAAGACCGATCGAAAGCTAAGCTTTGTGAAGGCCGTGTCCAATCATCACCTCAAGTTCAAGGTCATGGCCATGATCTAGCCAAGAAAAGTCGTGAGGCTTGAGGATCGACAATCGGTCAACCCCCATGGAAATTTCCTAATGCAATTGACGAGGATACGAGCATGCTCCCCACGTTCTTCTACTGTTGACATCAACGTGGAACCAACGGCGACTTTCAGTTTGCTCGCGTCGAGACCCTCCCGGCTCACCAACTCATGATTTGACGGATCCTGCAGCAAGCAAGTTGGATATCGGACTTGGTGAAAAGAGGTAACTCTGCCGTCTCGTTAATCGCTCTCATTATGACGCTCCTTCTTTATAAATTCGCATTTAACGCCAAGTAGCATGACAAGACATCTGGGGCATGCTCGATTCTGGGCTTCTCATTCCTCGAAAGCTTCGAGAGTCCCCAAAACCTACTATCGATATGTGGGTTGCAAACGCTACATGCAAGGCGCCGGACATGGGGAATTTCGAAAGCTGGAGGGCGAGAAGAAAAAAAGAAGCACCAGAAGGCTAACACGCCATCCGTTATGATTGCTACATACTACTCACTTTGTGTAACTGTTTATACACAGAAAAATACTACTAGGAAAAGGTTCAAACAAACGAGAATCCAAAAAGAGATCCTCTTATGGCGTGGGATGCATGATTCGGACCTGCGTTTTAGCTTTTCGACAGATCAGAAAAGCGAAACGAGGGAGGGTCATCCCGGGAACGAGCCAATCGCCTTCCCTTATACAACCACGCGCAGCGACCGCACCTTAATTCAAGACATACGCTTCTCAATCATACCGCTCCTTTCCCCAGTCCGCGACGTCCGGTTCATGCCTGCTATCACGGTCGCCTTCGAGTGAAAAGCAGTTGCCTAAACTGGGTCGTGGTTCTTACTTTCCCGGTTCAGTTAACAAGCGAGCCACAGACCAATAATGCACCCAACCATGTATATTGGAAATGCGTATGGAATGCTATGGGGCGTGAATTATAGGGCTCTCCCGCTCCCGGTACTGCATGTGTATTCCTGCTAATGACGTTGTGTAGGAAAAGGCAGGCGAGGATGCTTGTCCTTCTTGTCAGGCTCGACCAGCTTTGATATGGTGATCCTGTCTGCTTGTGCTTGTCTCACTGCTCTGCAAGGGCTGCACGCTACACCAAAGCCTGTACACCCCTCCAGCTGCAATGCGCGGTCCTCCATACCGAGGAGAGACAAGGCCAATGGGTTCTATTCATCGGCACGTTGAATGAAAGAGGGTTTGAAAAAGATATAAGATCATGGGTGTCCGCTGTTCTATCCTCTTCTTCTTCTTATTATTCTTCCATAGATCATCAATCGCGACAGCGACGGTCTAGTCTCTCTTTTTATACACTGAAACAAAAGTTTGAGGTCTTTGGGTTTTTATAGTTTCGTAGTATTTTTTATATATATATCTAATCATACAAGATGGTTGTCCTCTCCAAGCCAATTGCCGCTGTCGCGGTCTTTATCAGCCTCGTCTCTGCTCAGTCCTTCCAACGTCTGGGTGCTTGCCCGGATCTTGGATGTATCCTTCCTCCAGATCAGTATGGCTAATTTTCTCATTCCCCTCGCCCAATTGACAATTTGTATGAGATTGGACTAACATTGGTATAATCTGTAGGGCCGATTTCCTGGCTGGTCAGCGATTCGATATCCGCCTTGAAGTCCATGCTCCAGTCAACGGATCCGAGGCTACCGGAAACCCAAACCCAGACGAGAACTTCGAGTTCACCATTGAGCGAGTTGGTGGTCACCGTGGTATCCTTTCCGGCTCCAAGTGGTTCAAGATTGCCGAACCAAAGCTCGAGAAGTGGACCTTCGGATGGTTCGAGGATTACTTTGCCCGTGATGCTGGCAAGCCATCCATGGTCAACGTCGCCTCCAAGGCCTACCGAAAGGTCTACCTTGAAGAGGCCGGTGAATACAAAGCCACCCTCAAGTATGATGGCAAGACTACCACTGCCATCTGGACCGTCCGCAAGATGGAGGAGGTCAGGAAGACAAGGAACATCCTCTTCTTCATTGGAGACGGAATGACCACCAACATGATCACTGCTGCTCGTCTCATTGGGCACAAGTCCAAGAACGGCAAGTACCAGTCTAAGATGGCTATGGACAAGTTCCCAGTCCTCGGCCACGCCATGACCCACTCCGTTGATACTTTCATTACCGACTCTGCCAACTCCGCCACTGCTTTGTACACTGGCCACAAGACCACTGTCAATGCTCTCGGTACATACGTTGACTCCAGCCCCAGCGTCTTCGACGACCCAAAGATCGAGTCCATTGTCGAGATCTTCTACCGTGTCTACCGCGGACACGTTGGTATCGTCAGCACAGCTGCTGTTGCTGATGCTACCCCAGCCGGTTTGACCGCTCACACCCGTGACCGTAACCAATACCCATACTGTGTCGATTCATTCCTCCATGGTACCACCAACTACAGCTGGGTTGATTGGCACGGTCCCGATGTTCTCTTCGGCGGTGGTGCTGAGCAATTCTATGCTGGTGGTAGAACCTACCAAAACAAGGACTACTACAAGGAGTTCGCCAAGGAGGGATACGGAGTCTACTTGAACAATACCTCCCTCCAGACCGCTCCTAACACCGAGCGTGCCCTTGGTATCTTCTCTGTTTCCCACATGTCCAAGTGGCTTGACCGTAACGTCTGGAAGGAGAACCTTGAGAACCAAGGCAATCATCCATCCGGTAATAAGGCTAGCGCCACTGACCAGCCCGGTCTCAAGGAAATGACCCTCAAGGCCATTGATATCCTCCACACCCGCTCCAAGGCCGACAAGCGTCACTCATCTCAAGGTTGGTTCCTCATGTCCGAAGCCGCCTCGATTGATAAGATGATGCATCTTCTCGACTACGACCGTGCCCTTGGTGACCTCCTCGAATTCGACGATACTATCAAAGCCTCCATTGAAAAACTCAAGGAACTTGGTGAACTCTCCAAGACTCTCATCGTTGTCACCGCTGACCACGGCCACGGTTTCGACGTCATGGGTTCCGTTGACACAAAGTACATGGCCGCCCAAACCGACCAACGTAAGAAGCGTAACGCTGTCGGTGTCTATGAACAATCCGGTCTTTCCGAGTACATCAACACTGGTGACTTGACTTACACCGAAGGTTCCCACTTCCCCACCAACTGGACTCCCCGTTATGCTCTTTTCGCCGGTACCGCTGCTTCCACCGATCGTCGTGAAAACTACAGAGTTCACCAGGGCGGTCCCCGTCTACCCACAACCAACACTCCCGGCCGCGCCAGCAACGACTACTATGCCAATGACAAGGACGGCCAGCCAGACGGTTTCGTTGTCAATGGTACTCTTCCACTCGACCAATCCCAGGGTGTTCACTCGCTCACCGACGTTCCGGTCTTTGCTATGGGCCCATGTCAAGAGTTGTTCGGAGGTGTTCAGAACAACATCGATATCTTCTTCAACATGGCCAACTGCTTGGGTCTTAGCAGGACTGCACACGGAAAGGGACAGGATCCTATTGGTAACTAAGCTTAGTTACCAAATGGATTTTATTTCCTAAATTTGTCTGTTTTTAGCCACTTGCCAGCTAGTCGATGAGGATTACACCTAGCCTAGGCAGTAATTTGTGTTTTTGTTTAGGTATCTTTTTATGAGGATGTGTGACGCCTTGTAGCTTTACGTGCTGTTGAAGTTTTTAGCATTTTATAGAGTAGAGAGAACTCTGCTTTTGTACATAGATATAATAATATACAACAATCTTGATATAATATATACCCCAACTTCAAGTGCATAGAGACCGATTGCAAATTTAGAGATCTGCCATATACCCTCGGTAAATAGTTGGAAAGATAAGTGTTCGTGCTTGTGAAATGTTGTATATTGGGTGTTGTCACCGTTCATTCTATACCCGCTCGCCGTCCCGCATATGCTCGAACAGGCTTATCAATTGAGATTATTTATTAAGAATGTTAGTAGCAGATAATGAGTCGCGAATTATTGAGAAGGTCGTTTTAGGATCTCAAGTATATAAGAGACCCGGCGTTCCAAAGTCTGGCCTTTTTGGTTCTTCTTTTCTGCAAATTCGTCGACTTTTCTTCAAATATATTCCCAGGCAACCTAAGTTCGCTAAAACTTGCCTATCCCTCTCTGAAACCCTCGACTTCATCAATAGCAAGAATGTCAGAACAGGATACTCGAAAGACAGTCCTAATCACCGGTGCCGGTGTCGGAGGCATCGGCGGCTCTCTAGCTGAAGAGTTCAATCGTAAAGGTAAGTTAAGCCCAACGGTATCCCTCCACGTTCCACCGCATCCAACATCCGTTTCTGGCGGACTACAATTTAGAATTTACCTTGTCCATCGAGGAAAAAAGTGCAACGTTTTCAACACATGTGAACTCGTGTAACGTTCCTCGCTGATGGCGAAACGTCAATGCAACTCTGCAATGGCGACGCGATGAACCATGCATTGAGTTTCATTTTTTCGCTACACATAGGTGATGCTGTTATATACATATACATATACCAGCGACATCAATATGAGTATCTTGGAGAAAGATATAAATTAATTGACATGCCGAATACGTGTGTGTGTGCAGGCTACAGAGTCTTCGCCACCGCCAGACGTACCGAAACCCTCGAACCCCTCTCAAAACTCGGCATCGAACTCCTCTCCCTGGATGTCACGAAACCCGAGTCCATCGCTTCTTGCAAATCCCAAGTCGAATCTCTCACAAACGGGAAACTCGATATCCTCATAAACAATGCGTACGTAGCCACCGCCGCCTCTTCTTCTCTACCTTCAGAATACTTAAATATTCCTGACCCTAACATACATAAATTTCATATCCTACAGAGGAAGAAACTACACAATGCCAGCACTTGACCTCTCCATCCACGAGGTTAGGGATATGTTCGAAACCAACGTCTTTGGCGTCATGGCCGTAACCCAATCCTTCGCACCCCTTATAATCAACGCACAGGGGAAAATCGTCATGATTGGAAGTTTGGCGGCCGTTATGCCTTATGCTTTCGGAGCTAGTTATGGAGCCAGCAAAGCGGCTATACATGCTTATTGTAATACGCTGAGGGTAGAAATGAAGGCCTTTGGGGTTGAGGTTATTAATGTCGTTACTGGAGGGGTTAGGACGCAGTTGGCGAGGGTTGAGAGAGAGTTACCTGCGGATTCGTATTATTTGCCCATTAGGGATTTCTTTGCAAAGAGGGTACAGTATTCGCAGAGTAAGCTTTTATAATATATTTTCTCTCCCCTCTTTTGGATAATATGGAATGACTAACACAATGTTAGAAAATTCGATTCCTCCTGAGGTATATGCCAAAAATGTTGTGGCTCAATTAACGAGACGACATAGCAGCTCTTGGATCTGGGAAGGATACTTCGCATGGAGGGCTTGGGCTTTGGATACGTTTTTCCCGAGATGGATTTTTGTAAGTTGACACTCTTAAATTCTCCTTCCCTGCTTTCTGTTACGGGTGAGAAGACTTCGAACGCTATTTTATTTTAGGAGAGCGAATGGGGAGATTCTTTTTATTAATGATTACGTATACACGTAGGATTCTTTCATGATGAAGCAGTTCGGGATTGCAAAATTGAGGGGATTGTGGGCGGAGAAGAGGAAACAGGCATAAGATATTTTGATAACCAGTGAAGCCCTTTCTGTGTGGGTGTTTTATGTGCATAATTGGGGCATTTTCGTAACAAGGGAATAGCAGTTCCTATACGTAGTAATAATGCTCAAGATATACCTAGTTCCGGCTAGGAATAAACAATCTTGAGAATTGGGGGAATGGGGCGTATGTGTTCGATTAAAAAAAAAAGTGAGAAAAATACCGCCTCAAAAGGTTCTTTTCTTCTCGGAATCCTTCTTTTTAAACAAGTCACGAATTCCATGTCCGCTAAATCCCCACTGCCTCATCGTCCAAAACCCATATTCGTTGCTATTTTCGAACAATCTTACATAGCGACTCGGTCCAAGCGCAATCCTCATCTGTTCCTCTTCAACTGGATCATGAAATGGGCGCATCCCCATCCCTTCCTTAGGTCCAGGAGAAGCAGCTTGACCTTTGCTGCCATGTGACCAAGAACTTCCATCTCCACTAGTCGTCTCCGATGACTCTCGAATAGAGTTATCAAAGAAACCTGGGATGTAACCCGCAATTAATGGATCACAAATCCTAACGATCTGCTGGATAGCACCTAGATAGTGCGTTTCAAGGAAAGTGATGACTTTAGCGGTTTCCATATCTGCTGGGGAAATTTCAACCCTGAACTTCATTTTATCACTGAAATGGAGTGATTTCATCAATGATAGAATTATTCGTCTACCGCCACCTGACCCTGGCTGAAGAAGCGGTGAGTGACGGATGCAGAGCCACATTAGGAGGCGCTTTTGGTAGAGGATTTCGCCGGTATCATTTTCGACGTCGCGGGGCTGGAAGATGTGGGTTATGTCTGTTGGCGGGGAGGATAGGTGGGAGAACAGGATGTCAGTACAGAGGATCGTTAAATTTACTTGGGTAGTAAAAAGATCTGTGAGGTGTGGTTGGGTGGTTATTATGTTGATGTATTCTTCAAATGTATCGTCCCAGTGGAGATCAAGGTAGGTGTCTAGGGGTGAGATTTTGGGATCCCATATTGTAGCCGGGTTGTATTTTGAAAATGGGGTGTAGGCGTTGAAGACGAGCTTTGTTGTGACCAAGAGGCGGTGGAGGGGAGTCGGAAAGAGGGTGTGGTAGAGTTCTGCTTGTTCGACTGAGTCGAGAAGGTGGACAGCAGGGGAATGGTCCCAGGCCCAGTACGGGCGTTTAGTACGCTCCTCTTCGACGGTAGTGAGGTTTGCACGAGTGGAAGGGGGGGTGATGTTGGTTGAGTATGGATTTGAAGTGGTGAAGTGCTGGGTCCAATCAGTCGTGGGTGAGATGTATTCTTCGGAGTACTCCTTCCACCAGAGGTGAGTGGTGGTTTCATAGCGTTCAGTCAGAAGCTCCAAGGAGTATTCTTCTGGTTTGTCGAAGGAGTGGTCAACCTGACAGTTAAGGATTTCAAGGCACCAGCGGTTGTAGTAGGCTGGGTAGAGAAGATGGGTCCGCCAGACTAACTCGATTGCGATGGTTGGGAGGAGAGGTTTATCCGGATGTTTTGCTTTAAGTTTCATGAATTGTTCGTATTTAAGTCCAATTCCTTGAGGGAGAGGATTGTTGATACCGTCTTCTTTCTTGCCATGCCTGAGATAACTGAGTGTTTGTGAAATGAGACCTGTATTCGCGACTTCGGGAGCGGAATCCTTCGAGATATCGTACAAATGCCTAACACTTGCTATGAAATTGCGTAAATTGGCAACTGATTTGGTGAAGTCGACCGTCGTAACCATATTGAGAGTTGATTTGTATTTAGTAACCATATCCTGCCAGAATGTCCTAGACTCCGATGTCATAACATGGTCGTACAAGTTTGTGGAAGGGAGGTCGGCATCGATAGCTTTAACCAATTTCATCAATTCGTCCCAATCTTCTTCGTATCCCAGTTTATATTCCAATATCTCTAGGATCTTACTCCAACCATGGTCGCCAATGGAGTGTCTGAGAACCCTATCAATAGCATGTTGCCCATGGAATGGACCGAGGGTGTAACGTCCAGGCATCTCTGGAAATTCTCGTGGTTTCTTACCTTCAGGGTTACGATAGTATTCTATCGCAACGTGTAGAGAAGCCATATCGTCGCGAAGGGACATCCATCTCAGTGTAGAAAGAGAGTTCGAGCACCCACAGAATCTACAAAGAACGAATTCGTCTTCTAGAAACGAGAACCAAGCCTCTCCTTTATCTTGTGTGAAGTAGATATCCCGAGCACAAAGGGTACACTCCATACGTTCCGGAAGTTCGTCAAGAAGTCGGGTATGCCCCTGGGTCATAGGACCTCCCTTAGGCCAGTGGAGGTAATCTGGTTCAGGATGTCGGCCATTAAGCGGTTCCAAGTCGAAATTTTTGGGTGTGGTAGCTCTGTTATTGGGTCCATCCCCGCTCTGAGGGTCGATGATTTTTGAGAGCGGGAAAGGAATCGCTGATATTGGAAGTGGGTTTTCGTATCGAGCGTCAGCCTCGCCATGAATACGGTTGATGTTTCTCGTGATATCATCAATGTAAGACAGTGGGGAGAGCATATGACAATATTGCAGGATAGCGATATCGCTATCGACTACATATTAGCAAAGAATACATATCAACCAGAGATATCAATGACCTACATGTAAGGTAAAGGCATCAAACTCATCGCGCGTTTCGTAAGAGCCAACGTTGCCCCATTTCTCAGAAGATGATCAAGTTGATGCTGGTGCATTTTGATATGAGCACCGTACTTTGCTTCTACGAATTTGAGCACATGACCAAGCAGTCTCCGCTCACTGCGTTCTGCAGCCATGAGGATAAGTGGATTTTCATGGCTGGTAAAGTGGGCTCGCTGATAAGTTAGTGGAGCCTTGCTCGCAACGTTGTCGAGTGCCTCTGAGAGGCGGTTTAGAAGTTCACAGTGTTCCTTGTATATCAGTTAGAATGCATTCTTACAATCTTTTATGTGACAAGAGGTGTACTCACAAGAACGGCCTTGGTTTCAAAACGGGGTGTCTGGCCTGGATGATACTTAAACCCGACATCATGAATGAAAGGATAGCTTGTAAGTTCCTTCTCAATCTCGACACCGTTCGGGTGGAGGAATCGAAGAAACATTTTGATGAATGGAAATAGGACCAGTTGACTGTGCAGAGAGTAGTTATTGACTGAAGGTCGGGAAGGGGAGGAGGAGGAGGAGGAGGAGGAAGAGTTAGGGAAGAGAGGTATGTGAATAACAGAGAAAGATGGCGATAAGGATAACCAGATCCAGATGCGGGCAGAAGGAATGGAGGCGATGAAGTTGATTCAAAAGAAGACAGAAGTTGAAATCCGGACGAAGGAAAACGGCAAAGGAATGACCACGATGTTGAAGACGCTTGAGGAGCATCTTCAAAGCACTATCTAATCCCAGCTTGATCTAGCTGTGGGTAAAATACTGTATATTGTATAATCCTGCAAGGTGTGTATAAAACATCATGAAGAAAGGATATGAAGGAAGGATATGAGAGGTAAAGATATCAGGATATAAAGAAAGAGAATATGGTAAAAGAGACTTCATTAAACTCGCTAAACAGGAATCCAGCTGTCGCCGCGCCCGTGTTTCCAAATCCGAAAAGAAAGAAAAAGTGGAAATGCAAATATCTTGCATAGAAGAAGGAGCTATCTTACATGTATAGTAATAATGGGATACGAAATAAAGAAAACTAAAGGCCGTGCCCGGGTAAGGAAACGTAGAAAAGCAAAATCCCGAAAATATATATAAAAATCCAATCCAGTCCAGGATCCAAAAAGGAAACTCGTCGCAATTATCGAACTCCGTAGGACCCATTATACACTCTCATCTTTCATGGTCGTTAAAAGACTAACTTGATAAAGTCAGAATCAAGAAAGGCCGGCTAATCTGAGTAGCCACACAGATGTCTATCTCATCCTCTTCATCAAAGTCTTCATGGCGACTCTGAAATGCGGCATGACGCTCTTCAAGAATACCAGTAGGGCAAACCAAAATGCGAATAATGTTTCCTTCCTTGTCAGCGTATCTAGGTGCTTGAGCAGTGTGCCGCAGACGAGGACTCTCATAGACTTTTTGCCGCTTTCACGCATGCCGCGCTTCATGTGTCTAGCCAGGAAGGTGCGAGCATACACACGCAGGGGTTTCATAACACGAGAAAAGAGCCATGGGACGATTATAGCGGTAAATATATATTTCCCAGCCGTTCCCTAATAGCAATGATAAAAAAACAATTAGCACTCGTGATTACCAGTATTGTTATTACGACAGGTTTTTGTCAGGCGATTGCATTGCGAATGCGACTAGAATAGAAACCTTACCACCATCTGATTGTTCCCCGCTCTGCCTTTGCCTTTGTGGCTTCCACCAACACCGAACTCTTTCAGAAGACCCGAGATTTGATCCATTCTGATTGGTTTTCTTTGTTCTTTCCCTTTCCCTTTCCCTTTTTTGATTGACGTAAGGATACTATAAGAAGGATAATGAGCGTGAGATAGGAGGGGCGTGTGGGTTCCGTATGAGAAAGGAGGGTCCTTGCGATCGGTGGACGGTCGGGGAAGAAAAAACGCGACTGCACAAAACAGAGACTGGGCTGGGCTAGCCTGTATGCAAGGACGGCCTGGAAGCTTTTTGTTACTCTGCTGGTCGGCAAATGATCAGATATTCAGTCCGCTTGAGTAACTAGTACGAGATATCGAAAGTGCGACAATGCAATGACGGGCGATGCGACAGTGATATCTATCCTTGATAAGTCAGCGCCCTGGGGTTTGAGGCTTGGGTTTTGAGTAAGATGTAGAAGAGGAAAGGGAAAGAGAAGTGTTTTTCGACGGCGAGGAAAGAAGGCCGGTCAGATTTCGATTGAATGATTGGAGCCTCGGCATGTCCATGCAATTGACTAGGCAATGTGCTGTGCCTGTCTGTCGCTGTGGCCGAAAAGGGGAGGCTGGCGGGCGACAACACAACAACAGAGAAGACAGCCAGTTGTACAGGGACATGACATGTTGCATGTTGCTTGTTGTACCTGCGCAGCTCGCGTAGACATACAGACATTCCAGGCCTCATGCAATCCTCAAACCAATTGAGATTATTTGAGGGGTAGCTGGTATGTATGTGTGTACTGAGATACTTCTATTAGTCCTAAGGGCTTAATTATCTGATTGTGGGGAGGGATACTATTGATGTTTTATACAGCATGCCAGGCACCAGAAATGCACATACTACTTACATTAAGAACTGTCCTGTCCCGTGTTGTACCGTTGACAAGGTTCTTCTTTAGGTGCATTCCAGCAGGCGAATAATGCAACATCCAACAAGTTAAGGGCTGTAAAAGCTTAAAAGATGATCAAGATTAAGCCTCGCCCCGTTAACCGTATGCAAGTCAATATAAACTTACTAAGTACTTAATTAATCTTATCAAATCCCCGTTGGTTTGATATGATTTTCTTATCGCTCGGGAACATCCGTTACATAAATGTGATCCAATAGTTATAATTCGGGCTCGTCACATATAATTTCTGCCGCAGTTTATCATCACCATCATCATGACGTCGGTGCGGCCAAAAAATGCGTTGGTTTTTTTACATCTTATAGCGGATATTTTCTGTATAAGATGGTTTAGTTCTATGTATTCAAACCTGTTAAATATGCTATGTCGACTTCAAACTAGTTATCCTTTGAGTTCTGTCTTTAACATCAATTGCAATACTATCCGTACCCAATTGACCCATCACGTTAATCCCAAAACAAAACACTGTCAACTATTCCACACATCTAAACCAATATCGAGATACTCTGCATTCAAACCTACATTAGCCATCATGTCTGCTAACCAACAGAAGGGATTCGGGGGTGGGATTCCTGCACACTCTCAGCATCTTCCAGGGTACGCTCAAAGCCCGGCCTTTTCTGATGCATGCACAGATATGTTTTATACCTAGACGTAGTAACATTGGAGATAAAAAAACATTTAGGAGCCAAAAAGATATGCCTAGTCAGTAATCATATCATCTAACATTCATACCAAATGAATTACATAGGCCAATTATGAGTGGGCGTGTACTAACAACCATTAGACCCCAAACCAGAAGTTAGCCGCCTCGAAGGGCCTGGTGGGAAACTCTACGAATACTGGGTACATTTGTCCCCAAGTTGTACCGGTCAAAAGATATTTATCATAAGTTAACTCGAGCACTATGGGCACATAGGGCGTCGGAAAACTAGGTGGCAAGAAAGTTCTAATCACGGGCGGAGAGTCAGTATCCTTCCGGTCCTTCTCATTTAAAGTACTGTGGACTCAATTCATCGGATGATATCTAGTTCCGGAATCGGCCGCTCAATCGCCGTCCTCATGGCCCGTGAAGGAGCGGACATCAGCATCGTCTACCTCGCTGACGAAGAAGCTGATGCCAAAGAAACCAAAGCTCTTGTCGAAAAGGAAAAGCGCAAATGTCTGCTCATCCCGTTCGATCTAACCCAGTGGAAGATCTGCAACACCGTCATTGATGCCCACGTCCAAGAGTACGGCAGGATTGATGTCCTCGTCAATAATGCTGGGAAGCAAGAGATGGAAAATGATTTTGAGAAGATTAATTTGGGTGAGTATATAATAGACGGTGGCTTTGGCCGGTATATTAAGGCCGTATACGGGACGTAATATAAATGTTGTGCTGATGTCGAGAGTACAGATACTGTTGAGTCGACCTTCCAGGCCAACATCTTGCAGATGTTCGCTATCACCAAGTATGCTCTGCCGCATATGCACAAAGGATCCAGGTAAGTATAACATAACTACATCCTAGGCCTTCAAATAGCCAAACGCAGATCCCAATGCTGATACATGCATGCGGTAGCATCATCAACTCGACTTCCGTTGTCACCTTCCGTGGAACTTCTTCAATGGTATGATTGTCTATTGAATTCAAAGGGCTTGAAAATACTGTTATCGGGTTCGAAGTACTGAGTGTGTACGGCCATAGATCGACTATGCTTCGACGAAAGGAGCCATTGTCGGCTTCACGTAAGTAATATTCTCGCGGGTTCGGTGTCCTAAAATTCACTCCAAAGCTGTAAAATTAGATACTGACACCCAACGAATAGTCGCTCATTAGCCAAGAACCTCATCAAGAAGGGAATCGTAAGTAAATGTCCACTGTCGGTCCATGTTGTAAAATGCTGATAGAAAAGTATAGAGAGTCAATGCTGTAGCGTAAGCTACCCCCCTCAAAAAATTTGATGAATGGTTGGGTGGTGCAGATCGTTAACCATCCGGCCCTACAGTCCCGGACCGGTCCACACACCCCTTCAACCAGCTAGTCGACCTGCCGAACAAATGGAAGGATTCGGCGAAGGTACCCAACTCGGACGTCCAGGTGAACCAAGCGAAGTCGCTCCAAGGTAATGAAACTGCCATATATCAGCACCAACATCCCTCAAGCAATCGATTAAAGGCACATATACTAATTGGTTTTTTTTGCCGTAGCTATGTCTTCCTTGCGAGCAATGAGTCGGAATTGTATCGTAAGTCGAACTAGAGAGATATATCACAGAAGTGTAAGAAGAAAATGCATACTAACCGTAACCACGCCTTAACCAGACGGTCAAATTCTTCATCCATATGCCCTTGGTAAGTCATCGACCAAAATTAATGTATACCCCTCATCAACATTTCTTAGATCCTGACTAACCACAAACACCCCCTGCAGGCGATTAAAAAAAGAAAGAAAAAAAAGGAAGGAAGACTCTTCCCTTTGTGAAAGCCCGGAGTGATGCTCCGGCGATAAAAGCACGCCTTTCATTGTTTTCTTGGTTCTCTCCCATTTCGCAATTGCGAACCGTATGCTATAAGGATACCTCTATTGGCGGCTACGGGAGATAAGCACAAGATAAAGAAGAAGACAGGGTCCCTCGTGGGTCATGAATCATGTCCACATCCACAATTCCTTTACTTGCTTCGTGGTTTACTAGTATAAAAGCATTATCCGATGTATACCTCGAAACCCATATTTAAGGCCTACCGCAAATGGCGAAATGGCAACTGCCGTCTCTTCACTCCGAAGCTAAAGAAGAGATATATTGTGTGTATACGTACTCCCTAGCCCATCTTGTGATAACAATATATCAAAACCCCACCCTTCTGAAACCAACCCCGAAAAGAAAGATTCAATGCCAAACCTCAGATGATAGCTAGTACAGACAAATATGTCTGATACTTGCATATATGCCCATAACTACCCAATGGCGTGCACTCCCCAGATAGCAGTGAAGATAAACAGAGAAGAGAAAGAAAGAAAAAAAGCTTAAATCCTCGGTGGCTGAACCCGTAAAAAGAAAGATTATACCAAGACTTCCAGCTTGCGTAACACAGACCAGGATCGAAATTAACGCCAGGGTTTAACCGTTTAAACCCACCTCAGTACGACTCGTCCGATGAGAACACTGTTGTTATAGTAGCCCCATATACCCTATTATGTTAAATTACCAGCTAGAAAGCACGCTTTCTACCCAATCGCCTTCAAAGCGAGAACGTAAGAAGAACTTAATCCCGTAAACCAGGTTATCACATTAACAGACACGGTAATATATCGACCGGGCCCTTCCCCTCTGTGAGAAGGAAAAGCTAAGGTTCAGTCGGGTGGCTGAACCGAAGATTAAGGTACGAAATTGGGATCACGAGCTGTTTTCTTTGGTGGAAATGTACATGCAGGGTGGATTTTATCCGGGATACAGACAGTTTAGCTTCGTATACATACACATGGAGTATATGTACATATCAAGGTTTATTTTTTATGATCCGCGAGTATCACAGGTAATTCTAGAACTCAGAGTGTAGGAGGTAGAGAGATAATGACGATCGTTCTGTGCCCAGAGTCTTGTCATTCTGTTGGCCCATGGATTAGACATTGTGGCGGCTGATAGCGAGCTCGAGATTATGTCAGATTCGAACTCCACACTTCCAGGCATATCGACTAATTATCAATACCTTTAATGCGGATAGGACTGTCATGACATCGCGAATGAAAGTATAAATGGAAATTGAAGAATAAGAAATAAACCAGAATTGTCTATTCTTGTACATTGACCATGGTAACACTATACGTATTTACCGGTCGTCTTTATTTACATTAAAACCAACGCCAGCCGAAGCCTGTCATCACAAAAACGAACTTAAAAAATACATATGTAAATAAATGAGTTCGCTGTGGAATATGCTCCCCCCAGATAGGAACCAGACGAACTCCGGATAAAAAGAACCAAGTAGACGGGATTCACCCTCTCACGTATGGTCCGTGCAGTTTAAGTAGCCTGTCCTTGCAGCTGACTAACCGAACTGACTTAGCCATGCCGGAACAAAAAAACCTGCGAATAACCAAGGAAATTCAACAGAAAGTGGGCCTGCTCATAAAATTTTGTATGATAAACGCCATAACCGTAGGAATGATACAAAGATAGTAAGTAAGGAGAGAAAACAAAAGCGAGCAGAATTTGCCAGCGGAGTGCCACATTAGTACTTATGACTACTAGGGTGAAAGTAGCGATATTTCGGGAAATGTATATGAAAGAAGGAGTATAATGCGATCTTGCTGGCTATTAGTGGCTAGGTATGTTATTCTTCCAGCCCACTTTTGCTGCTTCATGCCGGTTGTATTTTGAGGCATAAACTTTATGTGTGAAGGTGGCGCGGTGTGAACCGATTAAATTTCACAGAAAGCTAGTTGGATAGCGGGAAGCCGTTCAAAACCCGAAAGGAACTGGGATAAAGGCTTCCTCAGTGATTTCACGCCTTTCATTCGGGTTGTTCCTATTATAGTTGTTGATTTCATCTTGCGTGCATCGTTCGCGCTCGAGACGCATTTTCATTATCATTTTGATTTCAGGACTATTGAGATAAAACATTAGTAAATCACTTCTAGTAAATGTCGTAGAAGAGTAGAACATACCAATATTCATAGATCCTCTTCCTGTTGTCTTCACGATCCCATACTCCTTCTGGTAATCTCTCCCCACTCATGCCGAGATGAAAGCCCATTGGTGATGAATGCCAGACATTCTCAACACTGAATTCAGCTTCCTGCCTTGCTGTCGCCATGTTTGCCCCGGGGAGAAGGCCGATACGTTTGATGAGCCAGAGGTCCTCGGGGTCAGTTTTAGGGATGCGCTCTTGGAATTGGAGGACTTGTTTAATTTTTGAGATTTTGCGGAGGGAAAGGCCGCCATTTCCGCCGAATTTGTCTTGGAGATTCCTGCTTCCGGTATTAGTATCATTCGATCAATGAGGGAAAACGAAGTAATAGAGAGCTTACCATGGAGCCCCAACCCAATCGTACTGAAGCCAATCATTCAATGATAACTCGCTGTTGGCGCATAGAATGCTATCAGTTTGGAAGACTAGCAAATGTTCAACGCCACGGTTGCCGCCTAGAACTTCGTCGTAGAACCAGAGGTTTGTGAATGTTTGCGAAGTTTCTTCTGCACCGGCGACAGAGATGTTCTCTGGAATAAGCATAAGGTCAAGCTTTCCATTCCTTTCATGCCCCTGTACAGGTAGAGAGGAGTTCAAGTGGGATATCGACTCATTTGTTCCCAAAAAGAGGAATCTCCAGTCTGGTGGCACGATAGTGATCATGTGAAGCAGTAGAGGAGCAAGATGGCCCATTGGTCGGGTTTCGATGAGAAGGGCAAGTTTTGTTTCATTGTAGGGCGAAGGAGGAGGGCGGTTTGGATGATAGTTTACTGAAACTTTGGGAAGGGCAGACTTGACCGTCTCGTGGGAAGGGCCGAATAACCACATAAACCATCTAGATATCATACACCACCACCATTTAGTAAAGATAGATTAACGATATAACCAAAATGCATTAATGAATACTCACACCAAGAACAAGCTAGCTGGCAATAGAAAGACGAACTTTCTGTTTCGAGGGTTGACAGAGTAGTACTGTGTCGCTGCATATGTGTATGCATTGTCCAAGTCGATTGTAACCTTCATTTTGGCGGATAGAACAGCACAGTGCCCTGAGGAGACAAGATGATACGAGATTCTAGCTGGAAGGCGAACTATCTCTCAAATTAAGTATCTCGAAGACGTCCGATCTGGCTTTTAATATCAAGGCGTGCTATAGGTATATTCGCTCCTGACCCGTTAAGACAAGGGACCCGCTGTATTGCCTGTCGAAATGTGTTGCTGTCGTTTTCGTTTGACCTCGTTCAAGGCGGGCAGACATGCAACGATCAATTCCAAGGACCACCTGTCGTCCAACCTGCAAGCTATGCTTGATTCTCACAGGGCCAAGGGTTCTTTCAACGGACAGGAAGAATCTGAGGCAGACCCTAGGAACTCGACTGGTCACCTGCAGGCGTCAATATGCAATATCCCTCGACGGACGTTGGAATATCGGACGATATGGTCCGGATTATTTTGTGATTGAGGCCCTCAATGGAATAAATTTGGGCTTCAGCCCAGGTCGAGATAAGCGGGTAATGATGCAGCCTGGCTCTTCCGCCCAATGGCAATCTTTCCGGGGTAAAAGGAAGAGAAAAGGCTGGCGCGGGTATACCGTAGATACAAATTCGGGAACCTGGTTTTGAAGGTGAAAGCGAGAGTAATATACCGGGCTAAAGAGCTAAAGAGCGGTTTTTTGAACAGGCCCTGCCGAACTCGAAATATCCAGAACAAAAAAGGACAGGGACCCCACGAGACTAGCGCTGACTCGAGAAGGTAATGAAGAAAATAAGCTGTTGAATCCCTTCTTTACGCCGCGACTCAAGGTTTTTTATGTCTTTGATTTTACGCGGCTTCGAGGCGGGCAGGATGGTATTTAAAGCCTCTCAGGTTGGTATTCAGCCCAGCGTTTGAATAAATGCTATCTTGTAGATGTAGGCGAGTTATAAGTTGCCATGAAACGGATATAAATCGTTGAACTTCAAAGCTAAGATCCTTTTTCAGTTGTGTGTCATCGGCTTTGGTTTCCAAGTCGGGTTGTGAAAGGTTGGATTGATAGCGAGCTGGCAAGTGTGGTGCACCAAGTTTCGTCGATCTTGTTGCCGGTTTCGAAATGGAGTGGGGAGGATACACCAACTGGTTAGAGATTGGATCCAGGTGATTCCGAGGATGGGTAGATATACGAGAATCAAGGTCGGTCGAGAAAGGGGGTGGTAGGATGACGATAAGCAAATTTATAAAATAAAATAAAAGAGGCGGCACAGCTGCGGGTTTAAAATGAGGAAGAGAAGCAAGGCACTGTGAATAGCAATTTTCCATGGACAGTCAAACTTTAACAGCTATGATGCATCTAACTTAGCTACCTCCATTGTAGTAGTTCGAACATGGTGATTTAATGGTGGGACGTTGTTCCCATTGGACCTAATTCTTCGAACCTGCATGTCAGCTCCTCGATGCCGTGAACTCACGCGAGAGCCAAGCATGCAGCGGGTAGCTAAGCTCTTTTGAATGGTTCACTAATCCCACTCCAGCAGTTCCTCTGAGGGCCCACCGACGGCCATGAGCTAATTACCGAGCGGGCGGACGAATAAAACAGTCATGCCAACTTGATCTACAGCTGACTGCTGAAAGCAGCACCAACCTTTCTTCCTTCAAAATTTCATGGACTAGCTTGGTCACCGTTTCGTAGACGACTTAGCTTAGAGCTGAGAGTTAACTAGCTTTGCGCCTGGAACCGTTGCAAACAGCTTGCACTATGCCGCAATTTTAGGCGCATTGCCACACGTACAGTGCGATATCCGATACTTGGGTAGATTCGATAGCTACTAGGTAAAGGTAGCTAGGTATCAACATATTGGGGACTTGGACAACTAGGCCTAGATGCGATGTTAGTATCTACCAGGTGTTATCAGAGCGGAAGGGTATCAATTGACCTTTGTGACCCGATCGCGAGCGGGGCGACGACGGAAAATCGGAATTCACATGAATTCACAAGTTTTAATTGTGGAATATGCATATGCCTGCTCAATATACGGAGATATGCGTATGAAGTAAGGGATAACACAAAATACCTGTATAACCGGACCTGGCACCGATCTGTGCAACATAATCTCGAGTCTAGAGGTCAGTCTCCCGATCGACACGACTCGCATTTTCAACCTCAACCTCAACACAATTGCTAACAAAATTAATTCTCAACACTATAGCAACAGACCGACGACTGAGGTCCGGCTTCATAGATACCTAGATAGCTACTAGGTAGCTACGTTCGGCCTATAGCTAAACCGCTACCATCTATGCTGCCCTCAAGACTACGCTCAGCTTTACTCTGATGCTGCGGAATACCGCGACTGTTAGCATACACATGTATTATTCATGTAACGATCACGATCAGGTCTATCGATGTATGATACTCAACAGTCCTCCGGGGCTAGAAGAGCCATACTTTAGATGACCCCCAGCACAGATGGCGATCACGATATGGTTACCATATTCTGAATTTATTATTCTTTTTTCTACAAGAGAATACGTAATGGAGACATCACAAGCAAGACCATCTGCGGAATCAATTCATTCACATCCGAAGGCTTTAATCCCGCCTCCGGATTCTCCTTCTGTTCAACCAAAAGATGTCTAGCCCCTCCCAACAGCACCAGACTGCAGACCTGGGTGATGAAGGCCAGGAGCGGCAAGATGACTCGGATGAGCTAGGCGAAGAAGCCCGTCAACGATACTTAGAAGGATTAACCTACATTCTCAAGGGTGGCGATGCACGTTTCATCCCCCAATGGGATGAACAAATCATCGGGTATGATGCTGCGTCAAATGTCGTCCGAGACCAGAACAATCCCCCAAAGCCGACCCCACCAACTGAACTTGAGCTTTACCCCTGTACGGAATGTGGACTGGTCTGGATAGGTGGTCACGAAAACTCTGGTCTCACCAACATCCATCCGAGTCACAGCAACCACGTTGTACATCCGGTGAATCCTTGCCGCTCAATTTTGGTATATACCAAGGGTATCTGCAGAGGAGGTGGAACACCTGACGCCAAAGCTGCTATTGGTGTATACTTCGGCCCGGGATCACCCCACAACCGTTCCATACTCGTCGAAAGACAAGCACCCGGCTCTCAAATCGCTGAGATAGCTGCAGTAGTCGAGGCAATGCGATATATGCGTACTGTGATTCTCCCAAGGCGCAAAGAAATTCTGCGAGAGTCACTGAGAACGCGAAGTCGTCATCTATCATCGTTCATAGCCTCCGCGAGTGGCGTTACATCTAATGAATCTATCGCTGTTCGGCTGATTATCGCTACCGACTACCAGTACCTCGTGGAGTGTCTCTGCAAGCCCCGTCCGCTTCCGAAAATGCAACAGCAAATTAGGGACCAATTCTGTGGCGAAAATGTACCCAAGGACAATGAAGGTTTCAGCCAGATCCTCAGTGAGAGGAGGAAACTTTCGATTGAAGGGGCCCTAGTTACTTGGTATCGCATTGATCCGAGCTTTAACTCGATGGCGAAAGAGTTAGCAGAATCGGGTTTAGGCTCTACCAGCACGAGTACAGAGTAGTCCGGGGAGCGATTGCATACAAATAATAGAATTGCATGTCAGTAGCTTAGGATTAAATAACACCATCGCAACTGCCTACAAACGATAGTGTCCTATCCTTAGATACATCTGTCGGGACTACCAGGCAGTAAATTCCAACACATTTACTTCCCCAAAATCCAACAGTAGGACTCCCTTTCGAGGGTATTTCTTCGATTAATTCGTTCGATTGCTTCGCAAAGGGCCACGGAATTACAAAATAGGCAGTCTCGGTGACATTCTAGCCACGAGACTATAAGATATGTATACGCACTACATAACATTTTATTGCTTTATGCTGTTATTCGTGAAAAACTACCGTTACTCAAAAAAGCTCCTAGCGGTAAGCTCCCGTAAATCGACAACTGCCAGTCTTGGAACATGCACTGCAGAGCCACAAAGGTATTTCTACCCTGCGTAGTATCGACATGGGTCGCTGGAGTACAAATCAACCGGCCCTTGCCAAAGCTTTGAGATTGATTTACTATCATACCAGGTATGATTAACTTTGTAAAATTAACGGCGGCCCCGTACGCAGATAGAACAGAAGGAAGAGTATCAACTAAATCTTCAATAAGGAACTTTTCAACCCTACCAAATTAGAAGTTAACGAAATTCTATACATACATAGGTAGCAACAATTCGTTATAGTTTTACTGCCGCGCCTCCCCGATCTCCGTCCTATCTGCATCATCGAGGCGATCTAAGGCATTGGTAACTTGAACGTCCCAGTCCGAGAAATAAACCAATGCCCACTCGCAAATTCCAATGCCGTATAGCGCCAAACACTAAAATATATCTTTATGAGTATATGCATGGTCCACCTTTACATTATACCTTCAAGGTATATATTTAGGGGCTCTGGGGTATCTTGAGCTTACCTGTCCGATCCAAAGACCTACAAGGCCCCAACCATCATACGCAAGCCAGATACCTACTGGCAAAGCAACTACATTTAAAATGTGAAATCCGTCAATAAAACGCACGAATTTGCCAATCTTTCCTAAAAAAAAAAATTATAACTTACCAAAGTAGTAGGTGACGATATTCACACTTGCTCCCACATGTTGCCGTCCCATTCCCCTCAAACTCCCACCGCAGCTCCCATTTAAGCCATCTGCAATCTGAAACAAGGCAACCCACGGCATAACCTCAGCTGTCAACTTAACGACCTCTTCATCGTCGTTGAAAAGTTTGGCGTAGAAATCTTTGACAGCGAGCAATACGATCAGTACAATGACCCCCACTCCCAAGGCCAATCCGGCGGCCACATTTGCTGCCCGACTTGCCCCTCTTGCATCCCCCGCTCCCAAAAGATTACCGACTCTCACAGAAGTAGCGATTCCGATACCAAATGGAATAGTACTGAGAACTCCATCCGTAGTCATAACAATGGCTTGTGCTGCTAATGGGATTTGTCCTAACCGTCCGGCTATTATAGCCACAATCTCAAAAGCCCAGTATTCAGTTCCCACCATTACAGTGCCTAGAATCGCAAGGCGGAGGAAAGTGGTTGTATTTTTGAGGCATGCAGTTGTCCAACCCCCCCAACTTTCGTAGCCTTCAACGTACTTGGAGTACAGACAAAGGAGAAAAAAGCTTAGCCAGTAGGTTATTGATGTTGCCATAGCAGCGCCATTAACGCCGAAGTCGAAAGTGTAGATGAAAAGATATTGAAGGAAAATGTTGAGAGGGGTGGTGATCATTACGACGTAAGTACCAGCCTTCATTATGCCTGTATAAAAGTTAGTTAGTTAATTACGCTGGCTTCATCCATGTGTCGATTGTACTTCAAAGCATTCAGTACTACCCACCTTGTGCCTGCAAATACTTCTTTAAACACTCAAAATAAACATATCCCAACCCTCCTGGTATCAACCATCTCAAAAACATCGGCCCATCTCGTACAATATAATCCTCCTGCCCAAGCAATTCAAAGAAGGGCCCCGTGAACCACCAGAGAGTTGCTAACGGTACATATAAAGCACCCAGTACTACAATTGCTCTTTGGAGTAGTATCCCAAGGTCGGTCTTATTCTTGGACCCTGTAAATGAGGAAGAAGCTAAAGTATCAAGCGCAGTTGTGCCACCAAGAGCTACCATCAATGCGGTACAGGTGGCGAACATATAACAAAACGCGGATACTGATAGCGCAGCTGGCGATAGCCTACCGACCACAAGGACTGAAATTGCTTGAATTGAAGCCTGTAGAACATAAGCTATTATTACAGGCACCGCATTCCTAAGAAGAACTATCGATTCCCCAGCAACTGATATTTCGGCATCCTTATAGTATGCCGAATTCTGAGGTCTGGCCGCGCTGAAAAGAGGGCTGGAAGGTGCCGCTGGTACCCGAGCGAAAACTCCGGTGTCAGGAAACAAAGGTGATCTTGGATCATTGTAACTGTGATGTAAATTTGGAGCCTCTATTGAAGAATTGCTTTGCGATAGTAGCGGTGTCTGTTCAGATATTTCCGGAGATTTCGGACTTTTATTGAGTAGCGGAGTTTTGAGAAAGCCATTATCGGCATTGCTTTGTTCGGGTGTCATGTTGTACACGTTCTCCACGTTATTTTGGGACACTATATCTTCGTCGTCTGAACCAGAGGAACTACTACTGGCATAGGAAATAATTCCAAGTCCGGGAGGGTTTTCACCATTTTTCCTTGATTTGAACCAGCCTCTCATATTTTTGGGGTTTGTTTCCTTCCTTGCAATTGCCGCAGAGCGGTCTAGATTCGTCGATGTTGCCAATCAGCTGGGCGGGCTTCGTTTTATAGGCAGGTGTATGCAGAGTTCGCGCTCGGTGTAACTCTTAATTATAGGCCGTTAAATGTAAGTTTCCGCTTCACTTATACTTTTACTTGGTGATAATTATCGGGCCGATCGGGTTATTAAATTGACAGAGAGGAAAAATTTTTTTTGCACAAATGTAAGGGCCAATGGCTACGATATATATGGAGACTGTACACGAGTGCCCCTCTGTTGAACATGTCATCGCGCTGCAGTAGATGCATTGTATCGAATCAACTGCAGGAGATCTGAAAGCTCCCCAGCGCACGAGCCCAATACAGCAAGTGCTTCTGAGTGATTGGTAGGGAACCTAAACACGCAAGCTAGCTAGCTAGCTAGTGCGGGTCGTCGGGAAAGCTAGGGCTGGTCACACAATCGCCTATCTTGATTGGGATTTTCGCATATGCAGTTAAGGTCCCAGACCGGGTAATCACCACGACACGCACACGCGAATCGAATCCTTCATCGTGACTCGGATACTTCGAGGTTGCGTTTCCTATCTAGATCGAGAAGGTTATTGTTGGTTAAGCTTCAGGTGCGCTCCCCATCTTACACTGAGCACGGTCCAAAAACCCCTGACGAAATTAAATCCCAGCACTATCATGCCCAGACAGTATGTGCAGTCTTGCAGCCCACGGTTAACGTTCTGTGGATGAGGATATTGGGGATATGGGGTTCAGGAGGGAAATATTTTTAGAAAGTGTCAAGCCGAACGGAATCTTTGGAAGCCTTTCGACCGGAATTTGATTTCGGGAAACCCCTTCCAATGACATCTTTGTGCGACTCGGGTAAGTATTCACTTACGTATTCGAATTCCAGGTTCGTGCCAAAGCAGAAATTTGGGTTTAAACATGTCGCGGGTAGCCAGCGTAACGAGCCGAATGTATATACTTTTGAACCGGCCGGAAAGTTTTCTCCAGTTCCAACTGGGGAACTTTTCGAAGGCCATAGTAATTTTAGGACGGGACTTAGAGCCTCACAGCTACAGTTAATATCTAGCCTCGACAACCTAATTTAAAATAACATTTTCGTATTATTACTCCGAGGGGGGTGGACATGGAGGACCATGCAATGCACCACATGCGAAATCTGCAGCTAACTACTTACCTAGGTAAGCAGTAATTCCTCGCGAAACGAAATTTCGAAAACAAGATTCTATCGTGGTTTAACCAGGTCGGGGCCCAGGGGCGTGCGTACATATACGCATAACTAACTCTAATATAAACTAATTTGCGGAGTAAACACCAGGCCATCGGGAACGGGGTTAACTTCAGACAGTCAGTGCGACATTATCTATGCATTTAAATTATAGGTTTTGCTATGGCTGCAGATGTAGGCAGCAATCTTGTGGAGCAAGAGCAGTTTCTGGCTCATCTACAACATAGTTATATAGCTTTTCAAAAGGTAATTCCGATAAGACAGAGCTCGCTATTTCCTATTGTTGCAACTAAGCAATTACTGTGGTTAATACTGTCCCCGATGTCCGAGCGAAGGGTCCAAACCGCAACATGCTAGCATGGATGGTTATAAGCCACATGGCATCAGTTCAAGATCCACGGTGCACGCCACTTTCATCCCGTGGGTACGGCTCTTCGACGTAAAATTGGTTTAGGGATGTGGTCGTATCGAAGTCCAAAGTCGATCGATTCCAAGGAAGGATAAGAATCAAGCGTAAACTCTCTTTTTCAAACATAGCGGATGTCGAATTTTCTGGAACGGAAGCCGTTAGATGTCCAAATTCTAAACTTAGGGTGTTTAGACCCGGAATTCCTCGGGTAACGACACTCTCATCTCACGCGGTGGCTCCGATGGTCTTGTCATCTTTGGGGGTTCGTCGAGGTCGATGGAATTGCGGTCCATTCGATGGCTCGTTTCGTCCCAATATGGAACCTCATTTCCCGTGTATTTGCTATCAGTTACTGGATAAAACGAGAATTTAGCAAACACGAAGCATGCAAGGTACAGATAATATAATGGACAGGTCACAATTACCAGCGGTGAAAATGCCGAATATTCCTTGTCGTTGATCGAGACCCACATGGGACCACTTTCTATGCTGTTGGGACGGCTCATTTGGAAACGACCCAAAACAGTGTGTCCGATAGTTAGGGCCTACATCCCCAGAACTAAATTCTGACAAGGAAATGTTTTTTAAGACTTTTTTTTTCTTCGTATTGCGGCTTGGAATAACCCCCCGGCTATACGTGCATCGAGGTTATCGAGCCACATTTGATATCCTAAATTCAAAAGGTGGTGGACACGTCTCATCCTATCATCAGCAGCATCATGGGAGGTCTGTGGTTAGTAATCGTGCTCCCGATCTCCCAAGCCATGCAAGCAGGTTGATTGACTGCTGCACCCCAGTAAGATCGGTGTCGTTGTTCCGGGTCCACATGGGAGGGAAGCTGGGGGGTTAATCCGAAGTATGGGCACCAAGAGCTTCTGACCGTTAAAATCTAGCGACAAAGCATGGAGCGTCTCCAACCAACCGGGAAGGCTGCCAAAGGGACAGGCAATTCGGACATCGATCCTTCTTTTACAAAATCAAGGCGATTGTCGATGTATGCCCATGTACATGTGCATGTACGTATGTACATACATAAATACTCACTTACAGACAGTACGTCAGCCAAATTCTGTCGTAATTGCGGGGAACTCCTACTTCTATGCGCATGATGAGTGCAATTGGTTGGCAATGGAAACTGAATTGGCTCAGCAATGTAACCAAGTTTCGCGAATCGAAAGAGCAGAATGAGTTCGATAGGGCATCGCAATTGCGGAGCACTGTCGACTAACAATCAGAGCCATCTCCAAATAGGGAACCATGTCCGGGACGAAGAAAACAAAGCTTCTCACTCCCTGCATGCATCTCTACTAGTAGCTTCTCTTGTTTCGAGAATGTGACGGTGGAAAAATTTTTCCCCATAGACGGCTTGGGCTCTGCGGGTCACATGCAGCAACCGGACGGGTACATCCCACGCAGTTTTGCCATCTCATCGAAGAATTAAACGGATGGGGGTTACTGGCCTGGCCTGGCCTGGAAAAACTGCAAGACTGTACCGCAATTGCAAATCACCGGGTTAATTGCTAGCTGCAGAACCGGTTCTGTTCAGCAGGTATATATAATATAGGAATATAAATATAATCTTTTATCGTTTAGCTTCAAACTTTGGGCAATTGCTTCGAGTCGAGAAGGAGCCTATGTGGATATCGCTTGTCAGGCACAGGAGCTAGCTTGCCCATGTCCCATATGTCGAGCCCAATTTCCTTCGGTTAAAATGAGAAGAGTCTGCCAGGGCCATGGCCAACAGAGAAGGAAAAAACCTAACGACGAAACACACAACCATGTCCATACTTGAAACGGACTTAGGTACCAGTACGGAACCTATGTGTCGAGATAGTCGGTGGGGCTTTTTTGGTTCCTGCGCGCTTTGACAGATTCTGGCTTGTGTGGGCTCAGCAAGAAAAGGTCAACAAAGACAGCAGCCACTGGCTAGCCATGGCTGCGCTACAAGCGCCAAATGATGAGGGATAGAACGGAAAAAGCAATACCTGCACGGCATATAATCTGGGCTTCTGGAAGTCGAGGAAGGTTCTTCTGGGTGATGCGAGGGTGAGGCCCTGAACGGGACCCGCCCACTTACATACATACGTACATGTGAGTTAGGTACGCTCTAATAATATGGCGTTCGGGGTGCATGTTTGGAGCTTGCCCGTGCAGAGAGGGAATAGCTGTGAGTAACCCCCAAAATATTAATGCAATGCGACCATGGCCACAAATGATGAGGGTAGAGTAGCTCAGTCAGCAAGGATACTTGTAAAGCGGAAGGGACATGAGACGAACAGAGCCCGTCTTAATAAAGGTAGGACGAAGTCATCTGTTCATAATCCGCCCTTGACAAATGCGCCTAGTTCGAATCTCACCTGTTCAAGTGCCTCATAAACGTCATGTAATACATATATTATTATAATAACGTGCAGGTGGCTCGCCCCACTTCGCATTTCGTCTGGCTTTCGAGTCTTATTTAGCTTGATCCAATTCGAAAACGGTCCTGTCAAGGGATTCAGCGTAATTATATCTCCACTTGCGCCGTGCTCTGCCGTACGTACCTGTACCGTGCTCTACCACTAGTCGGAACTTTCCTCTCACATAGCCTGTTCGCTGCTGTTAGCTCGTTCAGCATCTATAAAGGATCCGAAGACCCCGTCATTCTTCAACTTGCATGATATCAAAATCTGCATTCAAAGGCTTCTCTTCACCAAATTCAAAGGCAAATATAAACTACCCCCACGGAGTACTCTGGGAGGACTATATACCTAGGTATATATATATGAACGCACTTCCACACAGATTGTCATAGAAGCTTTGGCTCAATACAATCATCAGGAAACGGACTTCATCTTTTCTACGCTCTCTATAAAACAATACCAGCTCCAGACGATTGCCGTGAATGCAGGGAACCAAGAGCTAGCGACCATCGACCTAGATATATACATATATATATACATATATATTCTTGTCTCATCCCCGTCGCCGACTGCACCTTTATATTCATCTATCTTCTTCTTTCTCCTCCTCCTCCTTTTCTTTTTCGCATCTCCTTACATATTCTATACAAAACGATATACATCTCCACGAAGCTACGATGGCGTCGGGTTACTACAAGTATCGATGCAAGAATTTTTACTCGCATAATTGTGGCAATTGGGTCTGGGTCAATAATACGGCTTGTGCAGAATGCGTCGTAGGTTTTCCGTTCACCCATGCTTCTCTACGGATTAACTTGTATTCGGTACCATTGTATTATCTTAGTCCCAGCTAACATACAAGCTCTACCCAAATAGGCAGCCGGGCGTGATTCTCTATCCTTAAATTCCCATAGACACCATTTGGC